GTCAAAAAATCAGGAAATTGTCCTCTTAAAGTGGATTAAGGAGCTTACTGCAAGTGGCTACGCTCCTAGCCATCGGATATTACGTGAGGTTGCAGACGAAGTTCGGTCAAATAAGTGTCGCGTTTTTCAGCCTCAACACCTACAACTACAACAACAACCTCAAACTCAACAACCTCAAATACCTAACTTACCTCTTGGGCAAGAGTGGGTGCCACGATTCATTCAAAGGCATCCTAACTTACGTGTTAAGTTAGGACGTAGAGTTGAGGCACAGAGGATGAATGGGGTTACAAAGCAGGTGTTAAAGGGGTGGTTTGACGCGTACAAGGGCCTTATAACAGAGCAAAAAATCGAAAACTACAACACCTACAATATGGATGAGACTGGATTTTCAATTGGAACTATGCAATCTACACGAATTATAGTCGATTCTACACTCCGTACGCGTTTTCAAGCTCATCCTGGCCGACAGGAATGGGTGTCTGCTGTTGAATGCATCTGTATGGACGGAACAGCTATTGAGCCCCTTATTATTCTTAAAGGACAGAACATCCTACAAAGCTGGATTCCGAAGGAGGTTATACAAAAATGGCACTTCTCTGCAAACACAAAAGGATGGACAAGCAATCTTCATGGATTAGAGTGGCTAAAACGCGTTTTTGAGCCCTCTACAAGAGCAAAAGCAACACAAAATGGAAAACTACAACAACGCCTCCTTATTTGCGACGGTCATGATAGCCATATAAGTGGAAGCTTTATATCACACTGTATTCAAAATCGAATATCGCTCCTTATAATACCTCCTCATACATCTCATGTTCTACAGCCACTTGATGTTGCAATTTTTGGACCTTTAAAGAAACACCTTACAACAGCCCTCTCGCACCTAAATGAAGCACAACTACTACGTATACAGAAGTCGGAATGGATAGAGGCATACATTACTGCAAGAGCAGCTGCTTTTTCAAATGTAAATATCACTTCTGCTTGGAGAGGGAGTGGGCTACAGCCATTTCAACCACAAACAGTCATTCGGGCAGCTACGCTTCCTACAACAGACGTTATATTAGAACGCCCACATACTCCTACAGAGCATGATATTTTTGAGAAGGTATTCTTAAACAGCAGTCCACCTGATTTTAATACGCTCCAAAAAGCGAATTCTGTGCTCTCTACAGCCTTAAATCAAGGTGTTTTGAATACTCCTACAAAGCGATATATTCATAAGTTAGCAGACGAGACAGAACGCCTTAATACACGTAACACTCTTCAAAAAAGAGAGTGTGATAACTTACGCTCAATTATTCAAAAGCGAAGAACACAGAATAAGGGTAAAAGAGCAGTTTTAAAGGGTCAATTCCACATTTCTACAGAAGAACTCCGGTTGCAAGTTGTAGAAGCAGAAGCAGCAACAGCTACAGCTTCACAGAGGCCTAGAACAACGCCACGACCTATAAATGAAGCTATAATTGAGGAAATAGATGAAGAGAGTGAAGAAGAGCCTTTAGAGGATGATATAGATGAATTAGGGTGGTAGTAATTGAATTATTTGCGATTTTCTAAGTTAGTGGTTTAGTAGATTAGCCCTAGATTTTGGTGGGGTAGCAGGTCCGGCCATGTAGCAGGTCTGGCCATGACCTACGTTACTACTCTAATAACATGTAACTTAGAACTTTAGAAATAGACAAGCTTTTTACTGCCAAGCTTAAGCTCTATAAAACTAACAATTTCTCCTATGCATTTACTATCTTATGCCCTAGCTTAGTTTTATATTCTAAACTATAGTTAATGATTTCGCTGTCTTTATATTAGCAATGGAACAGTTTTATAACTAGCTTAAGATCGAATTTTTAGATGATATATAGATAGTATTCGAGGGCAGTTAGTCTGATTCATTCATTAATGGACTTATCTGTGACATAGGTAGCGTCAATCCTTCTTACTGCTGGCGATCAACTCTATAGCGAAAGAGCAAAGGTCCTGCCTTCCGCTTCTCTACCGTGTAGTGCCCTACAATCAAAAATGGCAAGAACGATACTTGAACCTTCCTTCTATTATCTCAAAACTCCATAGGGAAAGGGCGACTGTCGTGCCTTCCTCTTTCCACTTTCCACTATCTCACATCCAAATATAGCAGGAGCGATGGTCGTTCTTTCCTGCTGCTACTGCGTAACTCCACAGGGAAGGAGTAATGGTCGTTCCTTCCCCTCGACGCCCCTAACACTTCTTCTCCGAACTCAAAGCAAACCCAAGCTGCTCCCGCTTCTCCTTAACAACATACACAATCTCCGCCACTAACCCCCTCCTCTCCATCATCACACCCTCTATTCCACACCCAACCCCCTCATCACCCCTCTCATTCCCATATTCGCCGCCTTCATACTTATAATTAACTACCTTGGGATTTATAATATGGTACATTTTCAGAAGATGCGGAAAAGTCAACATTGTGTTAGGGCATAAGTCACAGTTACCGTGGGAAAAAAGAAGCACTGGACGTAGTTCACTAGAGCATTAACGGGTTTAACAGTTCGTTATGTAGAAGGTGCATCTGATGGTATTTCAGGCCAGGCTATTTGAACATAATAGAATAGTCGATTAATTTTAAGATGACTTCTTGCGAGCGAATATGGACCGAGTCTGTGACTTATTGCGACCTTTCTTTAGCCCAGATGTATCATCGTCAACGGGGTCTTCCTTGTACTTGCTCTTATGGATCCTAATATCACGCCTACATTAATCGGCTGCCACTCGTTTGGTTAAGGTTGCATAGAAACTCACCAGCTGTTGCCAACCATGCTGATCCCCTTACTTTCGGCCATACGGTAGTATTTGGCGCTTTTCTTCATGTCCTTTTTGCATCCGACCCCCTGAGCATAACAGAAGCCAGCTTCTGCAAGTGCGTCCGCGTCGCCCCATGCTTCAAATTCCGTTAGCAAGTAATCTTACTAAAATAGGAGAGGGAACATACCACCAGCGATCTCAAAGCACTGCAATGCAAGCACTTTATCTTGCTCAATACCCCAGCCATTAAGGTGACTCATTCCCAATTCGCACATGCTGAGTGCGAATTGAGCCTTTCTTTGCTTCTGATCTACAACATCCACAGCCTGTCCTCCTTTGGCGGCATTTTCATCTTCATTCACTTCCAATGTGGCGGATTCAGCAGCCTTTCTGAGCCATAGAACACCTTCCTGCTGATTTGCACGCATACCCCAGCCGTGTCGGCAGGCAAGCGCATACAGGAGCATGCCAGTAGGATGATTTTGCTTCGCCGCAATCCTGAGATGATAGGTACTCTCGTTCAATGATCCATTCTCGTGGCATTCTATTCCCTTTGTTACATGCCACTCTGCAGACTTCTCTGCATTTGGGTCCCGGTTCGCACGAGGCGGAGACGTCTCAGTTTTGCTTGATGAGGGTTGCGGCAGGTCTGATTGGTTTGAACTGGAAGGCTGTTCCAATTTCGGGCTGGTTAATGAACCTGGCTCGGGCATTTTACCACGTGGGAGAGCAAATGTAGAGTATATGGTTGAAGGGGCTGGGGTTTCTTGAGTGCCTGGTGGAGGTATACCGGGTGACAAGTTCGACGGCATTCGAGCTATATCGTCCCTAGACATAAACCGCTCACTGTCCATTGATGACTGCCGCATGAGCATTTCTGGTGGTGGCTCGGCGCGACTCAGTGGCCTTGAAAAATTAAACGCAGGCTTAGAAAGCCGGTTGGTGCTAGCAGAGACGTCAGAATAAATAGATGGTGATCTAGGCATGAATGGCGAGATGGGCGAAGTCGATAGGCTACTACTCGACGAGAGCTTGCGCAGGTTATTTCTCTCCGACGGGGCAATTGCTGCCGACTCTTCATCCGAACCATCGGCAGATATCGACCTAAGACTAGGTATCTTTGGGGAAAAGGGAGATCGAGGAGGGGCAAGAGCGCGAACGTCGTAGGAGCGCTGCTGTGATATCGAATCAATGCTCGGACGGCTTGACAAGTGAGATGGAGAGCGGTCTTGCACTCTACCGCTAGGAAGCTGGCCGATTGGCCCCGGGGACTCTTCCGTTCGGCTGTGCATAATGTTGTTTCCAGTCCCCCCTGGTTTCCGTCCGCGGTTGGTTTCATCATCATCATCGTGAGTAAGGGGGAAATTGAGCATTGGGCCGGGACTGGGGATCTTGCTCATTCTAGGATACACCGAGATAGGCCGAAGCGTAGGCTCATCGACTTCTGTTCTCATCCCAAGACGAGACGACTGAGGATCAGCCATAATGTTCTCTGCATCACGGGCAGAAGCAGAACGAAAAAACCCCGGCCGTGATGCTATCAAAGGACTCTCACTCGAAAGCGGTGGCAAGCGGCTCATACGGTTCTCTCCCTTCATCCCCTCCTCTAGCTTCTTTGCCAGGAGCCGACTCTGTGCAGCGAAGGCATCGAGCGGCGACAGCTCGGGGGGGACATCGCCGGCGACATGTAGGCGGGGAGATGGTAGAGGGCGCAATGAGGGTTCGTAATCTGAGCCTAGAGGGCCATGGGACCGCGATCGGATCTCGATCGCTGGTGGTCGTGAACCCATGCGATTGATCGTTTTGTAGCTTTATATATAAGGTGTAGTGGGGGCAGCGGGGCAGCACGTCAAGAGTTCCGTGCTGCGCAGTGATGTCGTGTTCGAAGTAGTTGGGCAAAGTTCCGGTACCATCCACTGGTTCAAGTCGCAATCTGTTATAAGGTGTCACACCAATCTGGTTCTGGCTTTTGTATGAGCATGTGCCTCATCGGTATGTATGTATTCCTCCCAAAAAGTCCGTGAGGTAGGTCGGCCACTGATATGTAATAATATCTTGCCTCCAGCACACGGTTTTCGGCGGGCAGTAGAAACGACGCGAAGGTCGAGGCAGATGGCACAGTCCGGTGACGAGTTGAAGGTAACGATGCCAACTGGGCGAGGGGTATATAACTGTGGAATGGCGGGCAGGTGGAGTATTGTCTGACGATGCGAGCCGGGTGAATTAGTTATGCGCGTGTGAGGGCAACCGTGGCAGAAGTTCGAGTAGATCGCGACTGTATACACACAAATTGACTATGCGACGGAGTCAATAAAGTAGTGAATTCAATGGTGTTCCGCTTTGCGACAAGACAGAATGAGTTGTTCGTATTCACCGAGTGACGACAAATAAGCGATTCAGGGGATGAATATACAGTGTAAGAGTCTGGCGGCCCATCCCCCAGGGCGAGTGAGTGAAACGGGTGTAGTACTGTAACTGTAAGGGTACAGTGGTATACCTCGCTCCCGCGTCAAACCCCGCACATTGTGGATTTGCAGTAAGGCGGCACTTGAACCCCTAAAAAGTAAGGAGATAGCCGCTTCCGTTCCGTTCACGTGGTTTGGCGCTTGAGCTAGAATTTAAGTTTACTTCAGTGAGGGATGTCACACTCGCTGCAAACTCGCTGCAAACTGCATATCTATTATTTGGCTTTGTAGTTAATTCGATTACAGTTGTGCATTGTGGATGGAGTATCCTCTGCTTGTGATCCAATGACACAGATACAACACAAGGGCATCTCCATGGTTAATAACCTTAAAAGATTGATTGATAAAGCCAATTCCTATCACCTCTACTATAAACTCCTCGCCGTATGCTCCATAATATGACAGGCACGTTTCCAAAAACCCGCCACTTTTTCAGAGTGTCTTCGCTTGTAACTTCTTAATCCGCGAAACTCCCTCATATAAACCGCGATCCACGGCCGCAGCCACGGTCAGAGTACCACCAACAATCGCACATAAGCCGGTAATGAAACCGGATAGAGTCTTAGTACGCTCCTCCCTGTTGATAACCTTCATAGGCGAGATATCCTAATGTATATTAGCATGCATCTCAGGGTTGCCGGGGCGTCAGGGACTTACGTATGAGAAGAAAACGCCTGGGATACCAGTACGAGAATGCAGGCGCTCTTTGTGACCCTCGGCGCCGTCATCTCCACCGCTAAGACTTCTCTTATGGCTAGTTACAGAATACTGATGAGTCTCGACACTTCCATCCATAGCATGGCCATAGGCTCCAAGCCCAATGTTCTCCTCGTTAATCTGGGTTTTAGCTGCACTTTTGCTGTTCCATCCGAGGGGGAGGTAGGAGGTTGAGACGACCTTAACGAAATACATATAGTTGAAGGCAGGGTCACGCGTATGCTGTTGTGTGCCGTCAAGAGGATTGAGATGGTGGTTGGTCCATGGCTGGTTCTTACCACCAAACTTCTTTGAAAGCCCTTCAGGTAGTTGAGGGCCAAAGCGCACATGGTGGATGGTATGCGCGAAAGAGTGTCCGCGCTCCAGACTCGGAGTATCCCAGTAATTGGCCAAATCGTGGACATGCATGTTGCCATTGCTGTAACTGCGTCCTGGGGCGATATGGAAATTGCCAATGACCTTGTTTACCCGCACTCCACCTTCGATGCGGCAACCTTCCTTGCGCTGCTCATCCAGCCTTTCGCTATAGTGTTCGCGCTCGCACTGCTCGACGTTTTCGCCTCGGCCAAATGCCCAGGAAACAGACGCGTAGGCATCTCGTACTTCGTCGCAGGTGTTACAACATCCTGCTTTCTGTGCGTTCGGTGGAGGGGTAGCGCCGTAACACTGGCCACAGTATGAGGGATCCAAGTGCGCGGCTTTTTCTTCGGTCGAGTGCCTGTTCAATATTAGACTCGAGTCAATTGTTCAATGGGGAGGCATATTCACAGGTCAAGTGCCTTCACATCGATAGCTCCGCCACCCGCATCGGGGGAGTTCAAGCGGACTTTGCTGACTCCATGCTTAACACCCGTCTGCATCTCGCCCGACACATCCATCACATCAAGCGTAAGAAGCTCGCACGGGACGTATGGGAATGTAATGTTCATCCAGATCTCCATCTTCTCTCCTCTGCTCTTGTCCACCACCAACTCCGGGTGGACGACAATACGGCGATAGTCCGCCCATTCTCCAAAAGCGAGATAGATTACTATGAGGAGCGAAGCAATTGTAACAATGCCTCCGCTGGTGGTGCGTACTCGCGCCTCATCCACCGTCTTTGTGAAGGCATCTAGCCTTGTGAATCTAGATTTCGGCGGCATCCTGCAGAGCGCGGCCGAGGATAATTGGTCGTTGAGAAGACGTCGAGGTCAATTGATAGAGCCCAAAGCGATATCAGCTCATAGTCGAGATTAGCGCAGCTTCCACGTAGGCGTGGATTGTCGAATATGCCCCAGATTCTGCGATTCTTCTGGGTGACACTTCATGGTTGATGGCTCTCCAGGTACCGTCGCTTCAGGCCACCTTTCTCATACAGGGATCTAGTTTCGTCAGATACGCTAAGTACATGGATCATCGTGTGGGGCGTAATGCTCGGCGAAGTCGCGACCGCGACCGAGACCGGGGTACGGGGGGTCACATCCCGGAGGCACCTCCTCCAACGAAAGGCTATGGATGTACTCTATAATTAAGCATCTTTTATCGACTACTAACATAAATATAAAAAGTGCATTTTGGAAATTAGAATGATATTAATGAGGCTTATAAGCTACTGCTAAATGCTGGCCATATATATAGGCATGTCGAATATTGCTTAGGACATATAGAAGATAATAATTTGTCCAACCAATTTCGCATCTTATGTACCACAGTGCCACAATAGATACGATAGATACATGTACTAGATATCGTTGTGGTTCAATTCCCAACCTCTCAAAGGACAAGCACGCTGAAAAAACGACCCAAACAATCCAGGGGCATAGCAGACCCGGTGGGTATCTCGCAAAACACAAAACCAAAAACAGCAACAACTTAAGGCAGCTGACCGATGCCCGCGCCACCTGCGTCCTCGTACTGTTGCCTCCACTCAATGTTGGCGACGGCACTCTGGAAGGCACCAGTGAGATCAGTGTGGAACAGCGGGCGGTTGAGCCCGTGAACCACTGCGACACGATTTGGCTGCTTCAACTGGGGCACAAGACCATCGGTGGTGGTGGTCGAGGGGCTGTTTCCAATGTCGTCAGGGCTGGAGGAGGTGCGCTCAGCATCCCGTGTCCGGTGCTTCACAAGCTCATCCTTTTCAATACCCTCGGCAACCTCGGCGGCGGAATCTGCCCCGCCAATTTCAGCCACACTGAAGATTGGCTTCCATCGGTGGTTGAAGTCGACACCTGGCTGGGATGGGTTTCCGAATCCAGCACTAACCAACGCCCGCTTCGTCCAGCGGTTGTTGATGCAGGCGAAATGCCAGTCAACGACCTCCGGTGATGTGTATTTGTCCAGTTGGTTGCGCACGTCAATAAGCTGCTGCACCGAGGTGATGTCGACATTGTTCACAGAGCTGAAGTCGAAGATAATAGCTTTAAGAGTAGGTTTTCCGGAGTCGTCGACCTCTACTTGTCCACGGCGAGGTCCCGGGTCGTTCCAAGGACGGTCTCCTAGCTTCCCGTACGAATTCGGATTGGTGCGCCTAGTGACGGCAAAAATGTGATTCGTCAAGTGGTCAAGATAGTGATTGGCGTTGGGATAGTTGAAGCCTTCAGAGAATCTGTAGATGAAGACTCCAGGGTATGGGGTTTTGATCTCGATCTCGGGGTTCGACCCGTCGTCATGATCAATGGGAAGGAAAATGTTGCGGGAGCGTGCGTCCGTGATGGCGGCATTGGATGTCGGAGCATCCGAATCCTGTTGGTTGTATTGATCGGTACTGTCGCCAAGGATATTATCTCCACGGACGGAGTGAATCTTAACCTGGCCAAGGAATCGACCCTTGGCTTTCAACACACGGAAAAGCAAAATAGCGGCCGAGATGACGATCGTGCAGTAGATACCGTTCTCAATAGACGAGAAGATGGTAACAAACACACCGACGAAGAAGATGAGGACCTCCCATGGCGAGACTCGCCAAAATCGGTAGATCGTGTTCGGGTGGGTGATGAGATCACCAACGGCATGGATAATAACTCCTGACAAACTCGCGCTCGGGATGTAAAAGAAGACTGCCGGTAAGGCGTAGATAGCAAGGAGTACCACAACGGCAGTGATTACACCAGCAAATGGGGTACGGACTCCGGCCTTGGACTTAATTGCTGTGCGGGAGAAAGAACCAGTGGCAGGATATCCGCCGAGGAAGGGTCCGAGGATGTTGGTAACGCCGATGGCGACCATTTCTTGTGACGGGTCAATAACGTAGTTGTTGATTCGGCCAAAGGACTTTGAGATCGCGATGTGCTCAATCAAGAGAACAATGACGGAGGCAGGCACTTCGGAGATGAACAACTTGATGATAGGGATAGTGATCTTCGGAACCGCGGCATTCTGGAATCCTGTTTTATATTAGATAAATAGAACAAATGCGCTATAGTGCAGAATAGCATACCTCTAGGAACCTTTCCCAAGATGCTGAATAGCGGATGTGCGCGATGGTTCCTGTTGACGAGATAACTGATAAGTGTGTAGAGCAGGATAACGAAGACTGTTCGGAGAGTCGACACGAAGAAGAACGTCTTCTTTTGGCTCGGATACTTCTTGGCAGCATAGCTGCACGCGAAGCGGATGATGTATAGCATCGCAAGAGCAGTAATTCCCATGGCCGCATTCAGGTTGGAGTGCTTAAGGTTTTTCAAGGTATTGATGATGACGAGATATGTGGGAGCACGTGTGTCCAGAAGTTTGTTGATGCCCATCATAGTTGGAACTTGGCCAGCTGCAATGCTAATAGCCGATCCGGTCATGAATGCGGTGATAGAAGTGAGCGAGATCAAATCAACGATCCATCCCATTCGAAGCAGACCGATTGTCACAATGATAGCCCCACAGAGTACAGCCAATGCAGAGGCAATAACATGCCCTGGAATAGTAGGATCGATGGCATTCGCTTTGATAACGACATTACCAACAATTGTTGACATGACGGCAACAGGCTGTTTCAGGAGTCAACACAGTCCCAAAATTCAGGGGGAAGAGGGATAACGTACACCAATAGTAATATCCTTCGAGGTTGCAAAGAACCAGTATATCAGGACGCCCATGAAGGAAGAGTATAAACCAAACTGAACTTCTAGCTTTGCAAGCAGAGCATAAGCCATTCCCTGGGGGACAACAACAGCTCCAATTGTAATACCTTCACCAAAGTCAGCAGGTGTAGGGGAGATGCGACCGCGGGCGGGATAACTGACCTGCGACCAAGTCACCGATAAGCCATTGCACGTTGTAGCGCGTAATCCAGTAAGTAAACGGGAACAGTGATCTGAGGTAGGATCCCAAATCTTTCCAACTTGGGACCGTCTCATGGATCCATTCCCAGGTCGACGGCTCTTCCTCGACGAAAGTATCAGCCGTCTTGGTTGAGAAGACAGACTCGCCCCTGGTGGTGGTCTCGTAGATATATGGCTCGTCAAGCTTAATTCCGAGAGCTTTAGCCACGAAGTGACCAGCCTTTGCCCTTGACTCGGCCATCTTGGGTAGGATGACCCTTGAGGGCGGTAGCAAAGGAAATCGAGTCGATTAAGATCCGAGGTGTCTAGTGCACGAGTTGCACCGACGTTGCCAGAAGATGACAAGAAAAAGACGAAACTCTTTTCCTAATGAAGGCGAGGTAGTTGCGAAGGAAGGGATGCTGACCAAACTGAAGACTGCAGATGATGGGAGATGGCGTGCCTTATATCCCTTGAACAAAAGAATGCGTGGAAAGGGTCAAGCTTCAGCTGGGCGCGCAGAGTCGCGTGGAGAGTGAAACAGTGACCACCCTGACCCCCGCGTAGGAGCACCGAATATGAATATGGCGCGGCCTGACAGACAAGGGTGTGGTGATGTGCAATGTGAAGTGGGTTGCTGCCGAATTAGAGCGTGTGTAGTATATGCAGAGTAGGTATAGTCTAGGTTGCTAGATGAGCTGCAAGTTTACCTTTGCAGGAAAGGGTCCCCTGTGAAAGCACGGGTGCCGTGGGGGAGGGATCCAAGAAGGGGGAGGGATCCAGAAGTATGGCTCCAGGGATTTCCCGCTGCGGAGAGACGAGAATAAGCAAGTAGGCAAGCTTTCGCAGGACGCCACGAGCTGAGGTTTGGAGGGTATGGTGAGATGGTGGCTTGACCTGAGTTGGTGTGGGAGCAGCACAGCACGCCAGAACCTGGACGATTACCTCACTCTGGACGGAAAAGGCGTGATTTTCTATAAATCAGAAAGCGACAGAGACATTCGCAGTGTGGCGTCGTTAAGTCGTTAGGTGGAGAAGGAGCAAATTGCTTGTTTGATAGAAGCCACTCTGTTGTCTGAGATGGAATGAGGAGATGGGATGAGAGTGGTGAGGGTGGTGAGGGCGTAATTGGGGGCGTGTTGGTGGCCGGAGGTTCTATTGAATTTGAAGGCCTCGGGGTATAGTCGTCACAATGGTGTTGTTTGATAGGAGCCGGAGAGAGGAGAGGGCGAGAGGAGGGAGGGGAAGAGGAATGGACAGGTGACTCGGCTTAGGGTGTACAATAATTGGGATGGATTTATATGTACGACACGAGCGAGCTCGAGTATTATACCGCGAAGCCCTCACAAACCGGAGCCATGACCGGGCCTCCGAGAGGCGGGAAACGGGGATAAATTCACAAACAAGATCGATGTTTGGTGGAGAGGAGTGGGGGGAGGGGGGCAAGAAGGATAGAACGAGCGGGAGTTGTTAGCATAAGGCACGTCCAGTTTGTATAGTACGTATGCATGTATGCATGTACTTGCCTTGGTATATACCCTTTCTCGCCATACTGTATGCTGCAAATGTAAGGCAGTTGGGCGGGTTTACAGTATGGATAGTAACATAGTACGCGTTATGAGTACATCGGCCCGCATAAAAGAGAGAAAAAGAGAGGAACGTTTGGAAGAGTGGAAGAGCACGCCATGTTATCCCTGCAACCGAGGCGGCTCGGTGTGGATAAGCGTGGGCGGAGTGGATAGAGATTGACAAGGGGCAGACTAGGGCAGAGAAGCGATAGGGAACCTTAAAACGAGCCTGCACCAAGCCTGCAGATATGCGCGCATTCCGTATGGACGGACTGGATTGTACGTACTGTGTAGGCAGTAGAAGGCAGAGATACGTACACGTCTTGAGTATACTAGAGAATGCTAGTGTAATACGTATAATGCGTATCCTTCTTTTCATACGTGTGAAGTTTCCCACATGCTTACGAAGATCGCGTGGACCCCAACAGCCTTTCCCTTACTTAGTAAGAATACTGACTGTAGTAAGAATAGTAAGTATAGTATATTACATACATGGCTTACAGAATCGTGGCCGTGGCAGTGGTTGTTGGAAGTACTGTTGTGAGCTGTGTTGCCCGCAAACCCCATACAAAAGACAGGGCAAGGTACATCGTCCGGGGCACAACAGTGCACGTTGTTCTATTATGGTCAAGTTAGTACCTGCACGGAGCTCTCCATACACATGCAAGATCGTCCATCTAGTTAGTACAACCAGAGAGACTCTTGTCCTTCCCAATTGCCACGATACTGCACGACGATATATACAGAAACACTCGCGCTGTACGAGCTGTACGAGCATAGACACGTTTAATTTGTATAACGAGAAAACTACGGACGGTAGAGGACGACACTGCCGGGCCAGATCAGATAGATCAGATGTACTTCTCTACCTGGGGTCCGAGATTAAAATTTGTTCACGCAGACCAGAACCAACGCAAAGTACTGCAGTATACCTCTGCACAGAAGCGCGCTAGTAAATGATGCCACCGCATGGGGCGGATGACGTGACGTCCAACCTGAGCTATTCGTGCCTTTCGTGCCCTTGCCCGCCGACCGATCCCCCACCAAACCCCCATTTTTTGCCTGTTTCCATTATCCTTCTCTTCCCTAATGTGGTGTCACTTGCCCCGGATATTCGCACAAGGTACAAGTCCCACATATCGAATTCACACCACATCGCCAAGTCGTTCCTGTCTCACGGCCGTCACATTGCGATATTGTTCCCTGTGGGCTGGCACCCAATCACACACATATTCAAAGTTGGTATAAATATATGTATATACATGAAATATGAAATGGGAAAGCCCAATGTTTGCATCCTCTCCCCCCGAAATTCGATATTTCCGCGGGTATGATCAGCCTCTCCTATCCTCACACTGCCCCTTTGTGTCTCACGACCAGACAGATGGGACCGGAATAGGACATGTTTGCCGATTGTGAGGAGCGCCCGAGAATGTCATCAGTCTCCTATGAATGTCATCGATGTGTAGGAGGCACCAGTGGCTGCGGGCATCACAATGCTTTGTCTAAACGCGTCGTTCAGGTAGGTCCCTGCCAGTTGAGGGTGGTTGTGTTTGACCCTCCTCTTCTGTTTCCACCCAGACAAGCGCAGGGTCCAGGTTTTGTCGCATTCCTCTTCGTTCTCAGGTAGGGCCCCTTCAGTTGACTACGATTGTGTTCAACCATCCCTTTCTCCTTCTACCCAGACAGGCGCAGGGTCCAGGTTTCATCCCATCTCTCACTCGTCCTCCAGGTAGGCCTTTAACAGTTGACTGCGGTCATGTTGAACCTGCAGTCTCTGTTTCGTCTCATTCCTCTCTTGTCCTCATCTCTCTTGCCACGGCGTTGCACAGCTCGACCTTCACCCCTGAGCTCATAAGGACGTGAATCCACAAGCGCTGGGTGTCAGAAAGCCTGTCGTTCTCGGACTTAACCTCAGAGAACATCACTTGGCTCGTCTCTGGATTCCACAAGAACAAATCAGGGACGCCGCCTCCCCGCTGCCGATAATCCTGCGCCATCACCATACAGATACTGGCCAGAGCTGAGCCGTCAAAACAAGCTGCAATCTCTAGCAGATCGTCGACCGCGAAGTCCCAGTTCAAGCCGACCACGCAAGTGCGCCTCTCTCTTTCTCGCTCGTCGACTTCGCGGATTAATCGCCCTGCACCGCCATTCGATAGCTCAGCAAGTCGGTGGTGTATCTCGGATGCGCGTGAGGGGAAAAACGCCTCGGTGTATAGATCCAGGGGGCAGGTCTGGAATTCCGTCTGGAAAACATTCGGGATATAGGCGAAGAGGATATCATAGAAGAGGTATGCGAAGAGGGTTTGAAGAATGCCACCTTCAGCATGGTAACCTGCGACGATTAGCCTACTTTCAACCAGAATCGAACAACTGCACTGTCCATCTCTCTCGAAATACTACTCCGAGGGAAATATGCATGAGCTTACCTTTCCACCCCTGATTTCGATACCATGAAAGGCACATAGCTTCAACGCTGCATTCGCCACCACCATCCTTCTCATCCACCCATATCGTTTTGGCACTTCGCCGTTCCTCAGCACCCGCGCGCCCAACATCAGCAGGTATGACTCGAACTTGTATACCCTCAACATTCCTCTCTATGGGCGTGATAAGCCGTGTGTGTCCAAAGTCGTGCTGTTCCCTCTTTGGGGTTTTTATAGCCTTCTCGAGCTTGACTATGCGCTTCTCCAAATCGTAATGGTATATTACGTGACAGTCACGGTCCTGTAAACCTTCTTCGGCCGTCTTCAGTGATGACCGCTTCCAATATCTTTTCAATTGGTCCTGGCTCATTCCAGCTGTTTCCGTTGAGTTGGCTCCGGCGTCTGCCAAGTAATGCTCCTCAAGAAGCGCCTTTCTCTGGTATATGCCACCCCGACGATAAGTGAAGAGCCGTTGTTCCAGAAGTTCCGTCAACACACTATGTTCACGCTCATACATCTTCAGCCGTCCAAATACCAAAGTCGCCTTGAATATAATGCGTGTATACACCGAGCAAGGCGAAAAGAGTCGTAGATATGCTCCCTCTCCGCTTTCATAGACCCGTTCCTCCTTGTGCTGCTCATCTGCTACCAGAGCCTGCCATTTGGGGTAGACCTCCTCGAAAATGGATAGCATTTCTTCCTGTACCTGATTATCCTGTAGACCATTTTCGAGTACGCTGTCAACCTGGTGTTGGAGGCGGATACTTGCTTCGAATTCAAGTAACATGGCCCTCGATGGGAATATATTTGCTGACCTACAAATTAAATAATTTGGAAAATTCCTCTTCTGAATCCGTGCCAGAATAATCGTTGTGAGTGATTTATCTGGGCCGTGTCAGTAATTGTTTGATTTGTGTGAACTGGGAACTACGCACCCGTCCATTTAGTTGATCTGTAATAAACCATGTGTACTCTTTCGAAAAGTTTCAACGTACTGGACGAAAGTCGAATGCAGGACCCAATATTGCCAAGAATCCTGAGGATGAAGTGTCTATCCCTATTATTTTCGCCGAATGTCTGATCTGACAATTTCACATTGCCGTTTGAACGAGTGGCATTCTCGTCCTGGTGAACCACGTCACTGTTCCCGGCCGAGATATGAGGGATATCTGATATCCTGATCTCAGGGGATACTATTTCCAGATTAGATTTCGATTTCAGTATCTTCAGGCCCACCGAACCAAGACCGCTTTGAGCCCGACTCATACGTCGAAGAGCGCTCAGAAGCTCCGTTTTGTTCTTTCCTCGAACCCTTGCTTCCTTGCCGATGCTCTTCAATTCATCCAACGACAGCAATGATGATACCTCCTCCAGCGTCGTGGTATCCTCAGTCAATGCATCGGCAAAAGTAAATGAGTTGCCTTCCAGTTGAGAATCCGAGTCTTCTATCTTAACATCTGTGATCAGTCCTGCCTCTGAGACCCGCGACAGAGGACGAGATGACTGTAGACTCCCAATAGCAGCGGAAATATCTGATATATCGGAATGATACCCCAGTTTTGAAGTACGATGCCAGGCCGACGTCTTTCTGAGAAATAATCGGACATAACTAGTAGGTATTAGCAAAATAGTTAGTAATAAACACGGCCAGGCGTTTCTTACAGATACTGGGCCTCATAACTCAATCCGCGCCACTCGTCAAATACTTTCCCCTCTCTCTCGTCAAATAAATGGCTTTCTTCATCAAGGACAGTTTCCAAAGCTAGGTTGAAGGCATCGACGTAAATTGACCGGCGGCCACTGGGTAATTTCTGGGAGTTTAAATTATCTTCAAGGTCTTTGGATATATTTAGATCCTTCTCGAACAGCTGTATAGCCTCGTAATCTACGATAGCATCCTTTCCCTGATCTAGATGTGGGAGAGCGCTTTCCAGCTCCGTGGGGCCGTCCGTGTCTGGCTTGGACTCAGCTGCGTCCGTATCTGTACCAAAGGTGTCGAGGTCCAAGTCAGGCCTCGAATTTTCGAAGCCGCCGCAGGTTGCTGAAGGAGTTTCTGGTTTCAGGGTCTCAACTTGCTCACCAGTCTTCCGCCGCTTCACGGGATAACCATTATCACGCTCATCTATAGCCGCCATCTGTGACAACAATTGTGGGATATCTGGCAACCCTCCATCCACTGTTTTGGGCCTGGCCGACGTGTATTATAGCCAGGCCATATCGCCCATTCAGCGAAGCGTCCTTTGTGATATAAATCACCTTATCGCGAGGAGGTGGGGTTAACTAGATGGCGGAGAGAAGTTCGCGAAATTCCTGACGCGTAATCACGTGATGTCCATTTATGCGGCGTGATCCACACATAACTGGAGAGAAGACAAAGAGTAACTGTCCTTGCCAGATCGACAGCTGTTTCTACCACTAAGGAGATGAATTAATACATACATCTCTCAAACAATGGAAGCTAAGAACCCGCCCACTGGAATCGCCGCCGCTGCCCAAGCGTATCAACTCGCCATGTCCCAACAACCAGCGGCTCAGACTGAGGCAGAGAGCACTGATATCTCAGCCAACCCACCTCAATCAGAGGCGGCGAAAGACGTCACCATGGCCGATGAGTCCGTTGAGGTTTGTGTGGCATAAGAGTGGTCTTGGTGGGACACTTGCTTATTTTGCCATAGTCACCTGCGCCTGCAGTGGGAAAAGTTCCCAACGCTCAGAGCCCGATTCCTGCCCGCACTGGTACACCTGTGCAGGCAAATATTGCTGCAGATAGCTCGTCTCGAGCGGCGTCACAGCATCCTGAGCCAGGGCCCACCGCTATGCCTGCGCATGCCCCACCTCATGGTGCTCCTGCGCGCCAGTATCTGAACGCTAAAGTCACGGCGACGTTGTTGGAAGGCATGAAGCATCTGGCCAAAGAACAGTGCGTTTAATCTGGGGCTGTGTTTTACTTATCATGCAGCGTATTGATTCTATAATAGGCCATCTGACCCACTGAGGGTGCTGGGGGAGTTCTTACTTCAGAAATCTAAGGAGATTGAGGGAAACTGAGTAAATTTGGGTGTATATTACGGGATGGAAAATGGATAGGCAGCTACGCATGATATCAAAGAGGAGATAGCAGCTGGTAATGACAACGAGCTATGAGAAGACAGGAGTGATTGGAAATGATTTCGCCAACTAAATTAGGCCCAGTGGTCAAGCAGATAGTGTTCATACTGTCACATTGATATCACGGTTCAAAAGCCAGGAACATGTAAGACGGGTGGTGCGTGCGGGTTTCAATTCACTGAGATCTAAGCTATCCGAGCTTTTAGAACAGTAACCTCGATCATAATGCAAGATATCCGGCCCCAACTCCTTAAACATCCATTCCAACGAATGATCTATGAGACCATGGTGCTGGCGGTGGAGCTCTCGTATCTCCAGGTGGGTGGGAGAACACCGACGGTCTTGTAGTAACGGGACAGGCGGTGGATGCGGGACTCGATGAGAATCAGGCGGAACTTGGAGTCCTGGTCCTTGCGGTTGCGCTCGAGGTGCTTGCGGACAGCGACGGCCTGGAGAATCAATGATTAGCATTGCGATTGCGTCTGGTGCGAATTTTGCCAAAACGTACCTTCTTGATCAACATGTAAAGATCCTCTGGGATTTCTGGTGCGAGGCCTGTGATCACTCCGTCAGTCTTTGAGACCAAACAGAGGCTGGGGTTTATGGAATAAATCCACGGCTATATTCGTGCAATATGTGCATATCCGAGTATAGTCGTGAATTCATGTCGGTGGAACCGTACCGTTGGACTTGAGGATTCTGAGAATCTTGTTACCTGGGACATCGTTAGTTTATGTTCGAAGAAACTGGATTAAAAAGATTCCACATACCGGTCACAACCTTGACCTGGGCAACACCGTGGCTGTCACGGAGGACAACACCGATTTGCGATGGGGTAGCTCCCTTCTTTGCAAGCTTGCAAATCTGGTCGACAACCTATAAAAGTGTAAGCGCGCGATCTTTGCGACCGATGTCAATTGGCAAATTGTACCTGCTCAGGAGTGGTCTTCAACCATGCTGGAGGAGTGCGGGAGTATGGGATGGCGGAGGCAGATATGCCCTTTCCGTTAGAGTGAAGGCGTCCCATTGTCGATGATTATGAAGTTGTCGAAGGGCGGAGAGTCGTCGTCGTGGGTGAGGATCAAAAGTTGTCGCTTCTCTTCCCGACGAAAAGTGCGGTCGCTTAAATTAAGCTAGGGCAGCAACTTCTGTGTGTGGTAACCGCGCTAGTACCAATCGGAATTTGGAGATTAAAACCATCGAGATTTTCTTCCTCTTGCCAGTATATTTGTACTCTCCAACTTTGGAGTTGTTGTTCGCAACTCGATTTGTCGGCCTGTGGCCTCAAATTGCCGGAAACAGTAATGGGCCACGACGACCATATCACACTGGGGCAGGTACCCTCATCGTGGTGATGTTTGGACCGTTGTGTTGATGAATGACATTGGTAAGTTTTATGACATTTCCCTTTTCATCCAGGCGCTTTCCCCCCCGAGATACAATGATGATACACTTTTTACTTATTTTCTGGTACCTCTTATGTCAGGCGCCCTCACAGGCCCGATGATCTTAACGGACTATCTGATCCATATCTCAAACATGCAGTGCATGCGAAAGCTCAATTGCCTTATTCTATCAGGATTACCTTTGGGAACATAGCTAATCATGCAATAGTTTATCGATGAATGCTTTCTCAACACTTCTCTGATTCTCAGAGCGAGGTAACGAACTACGTACTTGATATATTTCTTTCAGGCATCGTTTTGGCAGATATTTGGTGGCATAGGACACAATGAACATATTTACCATCGAAACAAAATCTTGATATGATGCTGAAACTTGACTTCGTGTGTATTCATTATGGGATGTGGCATCGGACTTCGTGATGCATATATCTCTTCACCTTTGTTCCCCCGAAACCTTACATAATCCCAAACTAAACGCCTAACACCTGGCCGAATTATCTCCCAACATAGTTCAGCAATGCTCCATGCTCCATATCCCAAGTACTATTGCGCATGAGTTACTATCTCTGCATATAAATCGTCCGGTATCTTCTTGATCAATGTCAACGTAAGCTCCTTTATGGTCTCGGCCTGTAGAGGTGGAAATGACCGAAGTATTTTTGTTGGGCTGTAACAGTAGTCAGCAATGTTTCCTATGGGACTGAGAATAGAATATATGTACCTTGGGGAGCTTAAGATGGAGTTTCTCAGCATAACAAGCTGTGCCACAATGCAAAGGATGTTCAAATGTGCACCATATGCAAAAAGGAAGTCCCAGAGGCGCAGGACTTCTGGTAGAGGTGGCGTACAGGCGCACAAGGTAAGGACGGAGGGGAATGCGTACAGCTCTGCATGCATGCCCTTGCCGATGAGATAGAGGCTCAGCTTCGGGTCAACAATTGACAACACCTTGTCGACCAGTGCCAGTCCTTTGTGGACACCACTCATGGCGCCACGTACATACCCAGGAACCTCGTGAGTGATGAACCTATGAAATGCAACGAAAGCCTCTGATTCACTCCGAGCGGCGTACAGGAAAGGAGCAGCGAGCACATTCATTCCCTGGACGTATGTCCCAGGCTCAGACGTTCCAGCGTCCGACCCTTCCGTGGTCAAGGTCAAGGCTCGGGCTCTATTCTTGATCACCGGCGTCGCAGAATGTAATTCTGGACTGCCATCCGCCGTGGCAGTATGTGTAACCTTGCTGTTGTTACTAGCGCTACTTGCACTCTCAATGCGGCTTTCTTTCGCGTCATGTAGCCTCCAAGCCACTGCATTTAATAGACGGATCAAGCTTGCTTCACTGACCCGACGTCGGAAAAGAGGGTCCGTCGCGAGTGTTCGAAATGTGTCGTTGCGGATCTTGGAGTAGGCTGGTGAAGCTCCACGGTGAACTAGCACGAGGTATGCATCAGTCTCCAGTAGCGGCGCATTCAAGAGAATCAGCCACGCATAGATTCGAAGAGAGGACTTTAAGATAGTCAGCAAAACCGCTCAAAACAAGCCTGCGCCAAGTAAACTTGCCATTCCATCGCTGTCGCTCTTGATTCCTTGGTCCAGAATTTTCAATCTCGTGGAATCCAACGCACCCCTCAGGTCGCGGTCAGGGCCTTCTCGAATGAGCCGATCGAGTGAGAGGGTTTCCGCCGCCACCGGCTTCTTCGCACTGATTTGCTTTCTACCAGTTAGTCCTGTGGCCTGGGTGCTCACGGTGGTAACATCGCTATTTGACCTCGTGCGTTGGTGGACATGAGTTGTTGGCAAAGGTGGCTGGTCTTTAGGCCTCGGAGTTAGGTTCTGCGACGTTTGCTGTAGGCGTTGTTGTGAAATCAAGGAAGGTTTGTTTGAGCCCAATGTGTGGGCTGAGTTCAATCTCCGAAGTGTTCGGTGGGTTCTAGGGGACGGAGGAGCTTGGATTGACGGAATGCTTGTGGGCGCAAGAGAAGAGAAGCTCTCTTTCGTAGGGGACGCCATTCTTGAAGATATTAAACAGGCTTCACACCGTCGGCATAATTGGAAGCGTCAAGGCGGTCTCTGAGAGATACTATATATTTCAGAAGCGGAGTGTGCTATATCGACACTTTTTGTGAGGTTAACAGAAGGACGTCAAACCCCGCGATTAACTATTACTGTATAAAGCGCGGCTGTTTGGGCCCTTCGCGTGCGCGTGAGATTCAGTGGGGTCTCAGCCTTAAGTGGTAGCCTTGCCATGCTCATCAACAGAGGGGTATAAGCTCGGATTTAGCGTACTGCTAATCCATTGCTTGTTCCAGGCTTTCCTCTCCTACTATCAGAATCATTTTGACTAAAATAACACATACTGAGGCTTGATAGCCTATAGGCAGTAGGATAGTGGTCTTAAACTGGGATTCAGCTGGTTCAAATGCAGTCTGTTTGTGGCCCCTTAAATCCTCAAATAGTTGGTCCTATGCGAATAGCAACGTTGAGCACTCGTTATGAGGGAAACAGGGAAACAGGGAAACTCTGGGTATCATCTTTTTGTAATATTTGTGAAATGAAATCAGGTAGCTGAATAGCTGAATCGATTGAATCGAAGTATACAAGGTAACGAGCTTTACAATAACCTCGAGTCTTAAACCACGTGAAAGTATCCACCCCTGTAATCTACTAGCACACCAAAGGAGCATACATACAACAGCAGTTCTATCGCTAAAATGCATCACTTTGTTCCTAAACCATCCTCAAGCCTCCCGAAAATCAAACAGCGCCCATGACTCCCTATATTTCCCAGCATTATAATCATTTGTGAATTATAGACAAAACAGTGTTGTTTTTGGAGCCCCTAAAATTTATTCATGCTCAACGGATCGAGGTGCGGTTGGTGTGCTGACGGTGCGTGTGTTGTGGCAGAATTCCAATCTCTGCCGCCTGGTGGTGGTCTCGGCGACGAAAATGAGTGTGTGGGATTTTGATATTTGGCTTCGCGGCCGAAATAATCAGGCGTTTGCCTCCCGGATCTCCCTACTGGAGACGTGACGGCTGGAGATAATTGAGTTAGAGGAAGATCGGGTTTCGACGGGTATTCCACGTCTCGGCCATTCGAGGCAAGCATCTCGTAAGTGCTAGGATCCTTACTGTAAGCTCTGGCAGCATCTGCACTAATAAACTCCCCGCTGGGCTTGGCTTTTGACCTGACTAGGTCGTACCAGCCCGTGAACATCGACAGGCGCGACATGAGAAGCAACAGCCAAATACCGTTGCACTGCGATTGTCAGCACTACGCTTCACAGCTACTAACGACAGAATGAGACTTACGGAGAGAAGAACAAGTACAGCGGTAATCGTGGCCTGGTTCATGATCAGGTCGGCGGATTTCTCCAAGCAAGGGCCTTTTTTGCCCGCGTTCGTCACTAAGCAGAGAAGCCATTCCACGGATGGGCTTGTTTCCCCTCCCGCCGTGGCATCGAGCAGCGAGACATTTGCCGCCTTAATTTGGTTATTGTCCATCACAACGAAGACAACCGCAAAGAATATGACATCGGTTATGATGATGAGGACGATAGCGATGCCCCTCCATTGAAGTTCCACAACTCGTTGAACTCGGCGATAGGCTTGTCGAGGGGTAAGGGTAACAACACTACCCGAATACGACGGAAGCGCAGAGCTGTTGGTGGTGCTGCTGCTATCAGAAAGAGAGGCCAGATAGACCTTTATGCAGTATCCAAACGTGGTGAACTGGATGATGACAGTTAAGCCAGCAAATATCAGAAGCGGAATCCAAAAGTCGGCAAGACTGTTCGTGTGGTTGATATGGCAGGTTTCTAAATCAGGTTAGCAGAGGCACATGAGGACCATAATTTGTCGGACATACCTCCAAAGCGAAATGAAACCCCGCTGAATACCATGGCAATAGCAAGGGCAACAGCAGGAACACCCCAGCCTCCAGCTAAAGCACCCCACATAACTAAGAGCCACCCGCGTCAGCTATTGATACCGTTGTCCTTGCCAGACGTTCAACTTACAGGCTTTTCCAATTACAACTTGCCAACAAATTTGCAAATGCAGCGCGAGGGCACGCATGAACACCCACATGATGCCGCACCAACCACCAGCCAAGAGAAATGCGCCAGAGAGTGCGCATGTTATACTACTCTCCATACCATGCGGCGTAATCGCGTTGGCGCATTGTTCCGGTTTCGCTCCCAAGGGGATAACAAATCCCAGCTAGAATGGATGATTAGACCACTGCCGACTGCAAGTTCCAGGGAATACATACCTGCATGATTACGACGGCAATAACAAGACAAATACTCAGATAGTGCCGATGCGTCTTCTCAACCGGCAGAACCGCAAACGAAAGGAGTAGGAACACTGTGCACACCAGTCCCACCACATTGAGCCAGCTACTCGCGTTTGTTACTGTCTGAAATGAATCGGGGTATAGCCAGTCCGTCGACGGACATGGCAAGCAACAGGTGATATTTGGCGCGAGTTCCGTACATATTCTGCCGGGAATATCTGGAAAGGCTTTATTAGCGGGGCCCAGCGAGCTCTGGCAACAGAGGGAAACTCACAGCCAGTTGTGATGTTGACGTATAATTCCTCTTGTAGGAAGGGAGCAAAACAGTTGCCCCGAAAGGCCGCATCCAATGTTGCGTTGTAAACCATATTTGCGATTCGGACTGCGAGGCGAAGACAGACTAAGATTTAGATTTCGGACCCGGCATCCGCCGCCGCAAAAAGAGGTTGAAGCTGGTCCCCTCTGGGAAGTGGCTTTCGATGCGCCGCCGTCGAATTGGTGAATGCGCGACCGTTGCAACAGAGGCAGTTCTTAGGCCATGCTATGGGCTCGATCGCAAAGGAGTGTTATCTGAGCACGATTAAGCGTTTCAGCTTCACGAATACACAACGCGACAATGGCGAGCGGCGAGGAAACAGCGCGAACTTGAAGACGACGAATCGATCGGTCTTCCTGTCGATAGGGCGTGAAATGAGCGAGCGCGTGGTCGTTTGTACGAGGAACAGAGAAGCAAGATGACAGAAAAACCTGGGGGAGACTACTGTTGCCTTAATAAGAAATTGTACTGTACGTGCAGGGTGCATGCAGTGGGTGTTCCATAATAAAACTAATCTATGGGCAATACGCCAACAGATCCCCGTTGAGCATGCCAGACCTGTGCGATGGTCCTTGGGTCCAGAATGAACCAAACGCGGTTCTTGTGGGGAACCGGGGAGGGGGTGAGGGGAGGGGTCGAGGGGGGAGGAGGGAACAGACGGGCGATGATGCGCGGGATGGAACCGTGTAGCTGCACAGTAAGGCCGAATGAGCAGGTGCGGAAACTTTCAGGGGAGCAAGTGGAAAAAATGGCGCGACGAACAAGGTGTGAGGGGTCCAGAGAGAGGGGGGCAGTGAGCACTAGGGCATGATAGCAGGGGCGGCAAGGCGACGCTAGAGATAGGAGCCAAGGATTAGGACTAAAAATGAGAAGAATTGGGATGGGTCCAGTAGAAGGGTAGAAGTCTCAGTTGCAGCAAATAGAGGGCTATACTATAGTTAGGGGAGTAGTAGGGGAGTATGGGACTAGTAGGTGACATAGAAGGGGGCGTAGTAGGGGTGTTGCAACGTGCCTAATCAGCCTACAAAGGTAGGTGTCGCATGGATGTGGGGATTTCACGGAGTTTACGCGTGCACATGGGCCAGCATACCCTCGTCCATTGATTCGCGAATTCTTCGCATCTCGGCGGTCAGGGTAGGAACGAATCAACGACGTCAGTTGATACGACCGAGGTCCCACTGGACGAGCTGCTAACGCCGCTAAAGGTAATGCGTCCGGCTGTCGCTAGATGAACCCCTGACTGCGGGGTCTCTCTGGTCTGTCTGGTCTGTCTGGACAATTCTGGTGTATGTGGCACTTCATGGGAGCATGGATGAGCATGGATGAACCCATGGAAAGCAAGTCCAGCTCTAAGCCTGGACCTGACGCGGTAAATGAAGACTGGATCTCCAGTACCACTCACTGGTATCACGCACATTACTCGCCTGAATGCTGAAAGTGTGTACGCATGTACGTACGTACGGTACTCGAGTATATCCAACAGCCAAAACTAAGAACCCTAAGGATCCTCAGGGGCTAGGTAGTTGACGGGAACGAGTGACGCTGTGAGGGTGTGAAGGTGTGGCTGCGGAGGTGGCGCCGCAGAACCTACCACATACTACAGAACTGAAGCAGATTCAACACACGACGACGACAGTATGTATGAAGCATGACATGATGCTGAAGAGCATTCAGGCAGTTATTATAGCCGACCTTTACCATTGAGATAGCCGAATACTATTTCGAGTAACTCGATAACCCGATAACTCCATGACTCCATGACTCCATGACTCCATACATACTCTGTCGCTATAGATCGATGCGACGCGATGCGATGCTACGCTGAGTCGAGCGAACTATTTGTAGGGTCGGTAGGTACAGAAGGTTCGGAAGGAGCATTCCACCTATTCCTCCAATACCAAGCCTCATCGCTCTCGAGCCTCCCTCTCCCCCGATCCCAGGTCTCCACGTTTTCACCGTTCCTCTCCCTCAGGGGGCCACTATGTTGGAACTACAGTGCTACCTACTTTACTACTGTTTACGAAATACGAGCAACGAGCAACGAGCAGAGATCAGTTGGTTTACCTACGGAGTACTATGGTATTGGACGGTATTGCAAGTATGGTACTCTATATTAACGTGATGTCGATCAAAATTATGAAGCGGGCGCGTAGTTCATCTCATGATTATCAGGAGAACCGCTACTGCCCTTCAGTGGCACCAACTGTAAGGTACCCGTGGTCTTGTCTTACTTCTTACTTCTTGCTATCTTACTAACCTCCACATGGACAACGCGACGCCTTATACGGCAACTGTTCGAGTGCTGTTCGAGTTCTGTTGGAGAAGTACTCCGTACTGCGTACTCCCTACTCCTGTTGGTTGGAGTTGGAGCATTGGAGCATTATTGATGGAGCCCTGTTCGATGTCGACGACGCCTGTCTCACGGCATTTGCTGGGCGCACTAACTGGATCGCAGATTAGTTCAATTTAGTTCAATTTAGGTCAACTGTGCGCCTTCCAATTTACGTCGATCGCGAGTTTGGTGGGTGGGGGCTGTGGGCGAATTGAAGCGCGACATGAACGTGCTATTATCATGGATAACCCATACTACCGAGGTTAGGCCACAAACCCCTCCCCTGACCCCTCCCCGTCCCCCATCATCCATCTCCCCAGTTCCCCGTCGGTTCCAGTACCATCTCTGACTAGAACCCATCTCTGACTAGAACATTTCGCCTCCGCACACTCAGATTCCTCACAAATTCTGCTCGTGCTCTAGTACCCTTCCCGTCATCCCGACTCTTTCTCCCAACGTTGGAGAAATATACCCTGCATGAACGTAACCTATTCTAAAAGCAAAGAGTAGGGATGAAAAGTTCATCGGGCAACAAAAGTCCCAGCGCTGAGCACTGGACGCAGCTTGGTAAAAACTCCGTATCCGGATCAACGCTGTCAGCTTCCGGAATCCCCGTCATCTCATTCTGCACCAACCAGCCTCCTAATATTGGAATTCATGCGCTTCTGCTGAGCCTTGCAAAGCGAAGGTTGGCGGGACTTTGCCCTGTGAGTCGCTACTATCCGTAGGCGCGGCACACTTACCTCGCTCTTGTCATGCTTCTGTCATGCTCCTGTCATAGGCGTCGTCACGTAGGCTGAACTGGAATTGAGCGTGCCGCAGACTGGTGGCTGTTCCTTCCGCAGCCAATAACGATATCAAGTACGTACTTTGGCGGCGGGTACTGCCTTGTCTATGTGTGCTTGGCCCAAACTGTTTATTTGCTTGGCTGAGAAATATTGGAATTATCGCCGGTAAGCGATGCCACTTTGCTACTTGACTACGGAAGTACTTTGTTTGAACAGAAAATTGTTTCTCTTCCCATTTCCCTTCCCCCTTTCTCACCCTTGCCTGGCCTTCGTCTACTTTCGTAGAATGGCCTGGCAAAACGTCAGGGCTTACACCAGACTGTTACAGGGCATGTCCACATCAGGTAACTCAAACGCTCTTATCCCAATCTTACGCACGGACTGCCGGAAATTGTGACGGTTCTTGTCCAGATCCAAACTCAAACCCCCTTGACAACGTCCTCGTTTGGAACAAAACATGTCGGTGAGAATATCTTACGCGGATGACTCGTTTCCGCCTTCAAATCAAGCACACCAAATATTTCCTACTACTTAGAAAGCGGGATAGATTCTAATGATCCATCCTGACACATTGTCAGAGAGAAAGCGGGGTCTGCCGAAACAAAACGTGGAGATATAAAACCATGTGATAATCGGCTTGTTGTGGGGCTTCACCCACGAAATCCTCCACTCTCCCCCTCATCGGCGTCGAGTTCGCTTGGCTGTTGTCGAAAATACCACGTTTAGATCGTCGGTCGTCTCTTCTTTGATCGTCTCTTCCTTGATTGCCTCTCGCTTCTTTACCACCGTCGTCGCTTGCACGATTACCCCATCCTCGGTCTCAGCTTTGATCTGCAGCTCCTCCTGCACCTCAGTCTTTTCGGTAAGCCTAATGGCAAATGTTCTCAGATCAGCAGCAAAGAGCACAGAATGAGCCCAGCCAGCTTCCTCCCCCCATAGCAACCGAAAGTGATTTCCGATTGCGTCGTATGTAGCTTTAGTCAAGCTCTTGTGCTTGCCTTTTCCAAACTTATAGTCCCGTTGGGCTATCTGCCAAACATGTGTATCCACTGGAACAGATTCGCCCCACCCAAGGCCCATCAAGCACACGCAGTCTGCTACCTTAGGTCCGACACCTTGTAAAGCTAAGAGTTCTTCGTGAGCTTTTCGGTAGCCTGGCCGTCCTCCCGGCTCAAGAGTTTTCCATTCCGTTTCATCGAAGGGTTCGGTGTTACTTAAACTCTCAAGCCAGTTTTCCGGCTTCTCTTTAGATACGATGACCGCTGTCCTTGCGAGATATTTCGCCCGGTAACCGAAGCCCAATTTCCTTAATTGCGACTCGACCTCCGGGCCTGCTAGGGATTCAGGCGTAGGGAAGTCATGGAAGGCTTGATCATGAACGTGACCGATCAAAGGCCCATAACTTAAACATAAGTTGTTAACCTGAGTAGAAATGTTAGACCATTCTCTCGAGACTCTGGGGATATGAAGGGTATTGCGCACCATCTGCGAAATCCGCGCAATGTTGTTGTTGCTACTGCAAATGAAGCCAACCAGAGCTTCCCAAGCATCTTGCTTCAGAATCCGAACCCCCGTGAACTTCGGTGCTCTCTTTTTGAAATTTGCATCCGCCTTGGACCACCGCTCGTACAATTCTGTTAGGTTTGGCTCAAGATTGAAATACTGCCGCAAGAGAGCCTCCGTATCGTCTTTGGTAGAATCATCCTCAACCTTGACTCCTTTGCTGCTAGACGATAGTTTCGCAAGGGGCGAGTTGGAAGGCCAAGTGACTTTATACAGCACATGATTTGGATCTTGCTTTGGATCTTGCTTTAGAGATATAACTCGGCCACGCAGTGAACAGGTCCTGCATGTTATCAGTTATTGCTGCATTGGGAAAATTTGAAGTCACGAGATTGCCCACCATTCATCCTCGTTGAGCTTCTTCCAACGAAACGATTGTCCGCATCGCAATGTAGTATCAAGAGAAAGTTCCGCAAGGCTCACAGCCAACTTTTGCCACTCGCCGGTACGTATGCTATTCATAATTTTTTAAATTATTGCAACAAAATAAAGTATAAGATTGGAAAGGGGTGCTGTTATCTTTTGGGAAGGGGTTTATTTGGCCGACTCCTTTTTCTGTTATTATAAACCTTAAAATTGAGGCTACGACAGTCTCGGCACGACTTAAATCCGACCCCATTGACAAGGAAAACATAAGTGCCATCAAGAGAACAACCAATGTGATATGAGTTGAAGATCAACGACAGTGAATTTATTCCCAATTGAGTTATCTAAAAACTGCCTGTTTAATCGCCACCATGAACGGCGACAGCTACTCATCACGAGGTATGCGATCCTATTCAAAGCATTGTAAACCTAACAAAGCAGTTGCTAATCTAATTTCCGAGCAGATGCTGGCAGGCCATCAAGGGACCCATATGTAAGTTTTCCTTCTATGAACTTTCAGCAGAATGATCAGACTGACATAATATAGGCTCCCAGAGGAGCTGACCGGGATGATCGACGAGTCGACAACAGAGATCGCGAGCGTGGTGGTGACCGAAGGAGATCGCGTTCGCCAGGCCACCGAGGCCCAAGGCCATCGCGCCGCGAGGGAGATGTAGACTCCTACTCATCCAGCAGGGACTACAGGGAGAGGGAGCGCGAGGACAGATATTCTGGGAGAGATCGCAGAGGTGGGGGGGAGAGAGACTGGGATCGGGACCGTGGCAGCTCAAGACGCGATGCAAGACGAGATGACGACGATAGGCCGCCGCGCAGGGACAGAGATCTTTTCGACGACAGACGAGGTGGTGGTGCTAGAAGGGGAGACCGTGGCGATCGCGATGGGTTCGGTGGAGGTGGAGGAAGACAAGAGCGCAAGAAGAGCGCCTCCCCGCCACCAAAGAAGAGGGAGCCAACTCCGGATTTGACTGATGTTGTTTCTGTTCTTGAGCGCAAGAGGCGGTTAACTCAGTGGGATATCAAACCACCTGGATACGAGAACGTTACGGCTGAGCAGGCTAAATTGTCTGGCATGTTCCCCTTGCCTGGTGCACCGCGACAACAACCCATGGATCCCAGCAAGCTCCAGGCATTCATGTCGCAGCCAAGCGGATCGATTACGAACGCTGCACTGAAGCCCTCGAACTCAAGGCAAGCGAAGCGTCTTTTGGTTCACAACTTACCAGAGACCTTGTCCGAGGAGGGAATCGTCGAGTTCTTTAACCTACAACTGAACGGCCTTAACGTAATTGAAGGATCAGACCCGTGTCTTACTGCCCAGGTTTCGAAGGACAAATCTTTCGCCTTGGTCGAATTTAAGACCACCTCCGACGCAACTGTGGCTCTGGCAATGGACGGAATCGGAATAGAAGAGAATGGCGCTTCTCGTGCACTATCCATCCGAAGGCCGAAGGATTACATTGTCCCAGCAGTGGACGAGACCATGCACGAGCCTGGTGTTGTCGCCAACGTGGTGCCAGATACCCCAAATAAAATCAGCATCTCGAATGTTCCACCTTATCTCACAGATGAGCAGGTTACGGAGCTGTTGGTGTCGTTCGGTGAGCTGAAGGCATTTGTCCTTGCTAAAGATAGCACCACAGAGGAATCCAGAGGTATCGCATTCTGTGAGTATGTTGACGCAGCTGCCACCGATATCGCTGTTGAAGGATTAAACGGTATGGAGCTGGGCGACAAGCATCTCAAGGTCCAACGTGCCAGCATTGGTACTACGCAGACTGCTGGCCTAGAAATGGGTGTCAATGCGATGTCGATGCTTGCTGGAACGACTACGGATGGACTCGACGAAGGGCGCGTCCTCCAGCTTCTTAATATGGTCACGGCAGAGGAGCTGATTGATAACGAGGATTACGAAGGTGCGTAGCTGCCATAATTTCCTCTATCCACTTTACTGACACAAAACACAGAAATTCTTGAAGACGTTAAGGAAGAATGCGAAAAGTATGGCAAGGTCCTGGACATCAAGATCCCCAGACCAAGTGGAGGAAGCCGCCAGTCAGCAGGTGTCGGAAAGATCTTCGTCAAATTTGACACTCCTGCATCTGCAGGCAAGGCGCTCCGCACCTTGGCGGGGAGAAAGTTTGCCGATCGCACCGTCGTCACCACATATTTCTCAGAGGTAAGAGATCACAATTTTTTGTAGTTTGATCAAGCTAATATGATTTGTAGGAGAACTTTGAGGTTGGCGCTTGGTAGTCCCAATCAAGATACCCGTATAATATGCGGACTATCTTACAACTTGTATCTGAACAGAGCAATTCCGAGTGGAGTTATGGTAATTAAGCCTCAAAATGCGCCTGGCCATCGCTTGCGAATTGATTATGGTGGGAATGAGCATGAGCTGGCAGCAAAGTGGATAATCAAGCTAGAACGAATAGGATTCAGCTTTGTACTATAATATGCTTTGTAACCATTTCATAAGTCCCACAAACATCATGCCTGTGAAGCTTGTCGACAGTAGTGATGATGTGAATATTTTGACCAAGTGAATTTGGCATCACGTGACCACCATATAAGATTACGCGCTAAATTCCGCCTCTCGTAGTAAATATATGCCATCAATGTCACCAAGTCGTGACAGCGACTCCTAACCTCACCTCCTCTCCGACAAGCTACTCCGCAACCATGTCGGACGATACCTTTGAGACGATCAGGAAGCTCCAGGCTGAGCGGAATGCAGCTTCTGCTGGTAAGAGTGGATCAAAGACATTTGATCCTTCCAGTCAGCGAACTGATGTTTCCACCAAGGCTTCCTTGACCGAAAGCTTCGACACCACCGTCTACGACCGTGCCGCTGGGGACAAGTTTGCTGGATACAACACATCGATATCAGTGGCTGAGGATGGTGAGGATGATGAAATGGCAGATGCTGACACCAGCAGGAGGCTGGTTGGGCAATACACGGCCACCAGAAGCCAGATGGACGAGTTCTCGCGGGGAGGCGGCGTTGAGGAAGAGGACATACTTCTAGGTCGGGAGAAGAGCGCGCGCATAACTGATCGAGAGACTGATTACCAAAAGCGACGACTGGATCGAATACTCACTCCGACAAGGGCAGACGCGTTTGCCTCCAACCGCCAGGCTGGAGCCGCAGAGGAAGGCGAGGGTTATCGGGAGGTTATGCGCCGGCGCGAATTGGAGCGCGAGGAGGAAAGAGTTAAGAGAGCTATTGCTGATAAGGAGGCGGATGGCACTGCAGTTCAACACAAACCTACACTCGGCGACGAAGGCCATGCGCTGAACGACAAGGAGAATAACGAGGCTGGATCTACGGAAGTTGTGGCTGCGGGAAGGAAGAGGAAGCAGCGGTGGGATATCTCGTCAGAAGCTGGAGCCGAAGCTGGAGCAGTTCAACCCTCAGAGACGAAGGTGAAGCGATCGCGATGGGACCAGACGCCAGCACCAAGTGGCGCATTAGTCGACGACACACCACGTCGGCGATCACGATGGGATCAAGCACCAGCTGCTACACCAATTGGCCAGCAAGGCCTCGTCACTCCGGCACACCCATCGCAAGGTGGTATGATGGTTCCGACTGCATTTGGAACGGATATCTCTATGCGCAACATGGCATTGTCTGATGAAGAGCTGGACCTGATGCTGCCTTCGGAAGGCTACAAGATTTTGGAACCGCCACCAGGATACGCCCCTATTCGAACTGCGTCCCAGAAAATGATGCAAACCCCTGCGTCGATGAGTGGCGGCTTCATGATGCAAGATCCAGAATCCCAGCGCTCTATGGGCAAGCAGTTGCCTACCGAGATCCCAGGTGTCGGCGACCTTCAGTTCTTCAAGGCTGAGGACATGGCATACTTTGGGAAGTTAACCGATGGAAGCGACGAAAATGCGATGAGCGTCGACGAGTTGAAGGAGAGGAAGATCATGAGGCTTCTCCTGAAGGTCAAGAACGGAACCCCTCCTATGCGTAAAACCGCCCTTCGTCAATTGACGGATAACGCGCGACAGTTTGGAGCTGGCCCTCTCTTCAACCAGATTTTGCCACTGCTGATGGAGAAGAGTCTCGAGGACCAGGAGCGACATTTGCTTGTCAAGGTCATCGACCGTGTTCTCTACAAGCTGGACGACCTGGTTCGACCTTACGTACACAAGATTCTTGTCGTCATTGAACCTCTACTTATTGACCAAGACTACTATGCGAGGGTGGAGGGTCGCGAGATTATTTCCAACCTGAGTAAAGCTGCTGGTCTCGCCCACATGATCAGCACGATGCGACCTGATATCGACCATGTCGACGAGTACGTCCGAAACACAACCGCGAGAGCCTTCGCAGTGGTAGCTTCCGCGTTAGGTATTCCTGCACTTCTACCGTTCCTTCGGGCTGTGTGCCGAAGTAAGAAGTCCTGGCAAGCAAGACACACTGGTGTCAAGATTGTGCAACAAATCCCCATCCTGATGGGTTGCGCTGTGCTTCCCCACCTGAAGGGGTTGGTGGACTGCATTGGCGGCAATCTCAACGACGACCAAACCAAGGTTCGAACCGTTACCAGTTTAGCAATCGCAGCTTTGGCTGAGGCGGCCAATCCCTACGGTATTGAGAGTTTCGATGATATTTTGAATCCTTTGTGGACAGGAGCCAGGAAGCAGCGTGGCAAGGGGCTGGCTGGTTTCCTCAAGGCTGTCGGTTATATCATCCCGTTGATGGACGAGGAGTACGCCAATTACTACACAAGTCAAATCATGGAGATCCTTCTACGAGAGTTCTCTTCTCCGGATGAAGAGATGAAGAAGGTCGTTCTTAAGGTAGTCTCACAATGTGCTGGCACTGATGGTGTTACGGCTGGCTACTTGAAGGAGCACGTTCTGGATGAGTTTTTCAAGAGTTTCTGGGTTAGACGAATGGCTTTGGACAAGCGCAACTACAGACAAGTTGTCGATACTACGGTGGATCTTGGGCAGAAGGTCGGCGTAGGGGAGATTGTAGAGAGAATTGTCAACAACCTCAAGGATGAGAGCGAAGCTTACCGAAAGATGACCGTGGAGACGGTAGAGAAGGTTATTGCCAGCTTGGGCGCTGCAGACATTGGCGAGCGTCTGGAGGAGCGACTGATTGATGGAATATTACATTCCTTCCAAGAGCAGAGCGTGGAGGATATTGTCATGCTGAACGGCTTCGGAACAGTCGTCAACGCTCTGGGAACTCGCTGCAAGCCATACCTACCACAAATCGTCAGCACCATTCTGTGGCGCCTCAACAACAAATCTGCTACAGTTCGACAACAGGCAGCCGATTTGATTTCCCGGATTGCCATGGTGATGAAGCAGTGCGGTGAAGATGCACTGATGTACAAATTGGGCGTTGTTTTATACGAATACTTGGGAGAAGAATACCCAGAGGTGTTAGGATCCATTCTCGGCGCGCTCAGGTCTATCGTGACTGTTGTTGGTATCAGCCAGATGCAGCCACCTATTAAAGACCTACTACCCCGCCTCACTCCGATTCTGCGCAACAGACACGAGAAGGTACAGGAAAATACCATTGATTTGGTTGGACGTATCGCGGACCGCGGACCAGAAAGTGTCAATGCGAGAGAATGGATGAGAATTTGCTTCGAATTGCTGGACATGCTGAAGGCCCACAAGAAGGGTATCCGTCGAGCAGCCAACAACACATTCGGTTTCATTGCCAAAGCCATCGGACCGCAGGACGTTTTGGCAACTCTCCTGAACAACTTGCGCGTTCAAGAGCGACAATCTCGTGTCTGCACAGCTGTCGCTATCGGCATTGTTGCAGAAACCTGTGCGCCCTTCACGGTCCTGCCAGCTCTGATGAACGAGTACAGAGTGCCGGAGCTGAACGTCCAGAACGGTGTGCTCAAGTCTCTGTCTTTCCTCTTTGAGTATATTGGGGAGATGGCCAAGGACTACGTTTACGCCGTCACCCCTCTTCTGGAGGATGCTTTGATAGACAGGGACCAGGTTCACAGGCAAACGGCAGCCTCAGTCGTGAAGCACGTCGCACTGGGTGTTGTGGGACTGGGCTGTGAGGATGCCATGCTCCATCTACTCAACTTGCTGTACCCCAACCTCTTCGAGACCAGCCCCCACGTCATCGACCGCATCGTCGAAGCCATTGATGCGATCCGCATGGCAGTTGGACCTGGTCTGACGATGAACTACGTCTGGGCTGGATTATTCCACCCAGCTCGCAAAGTCAGACAGCCCTACTGGAGGCTGTACAACGATGCGTATGTCCAAGGCGCCGATGCGATGGTACCCTACTACCCTGGTCTGGGAGACGAGCAGATGGATAGGCATGAACTGGCGATTGTGATTTGAAGCTTTGGGAGCGCGTGGGAAAAGGAAGGCGGGAATGGGGGACAAGGGGTCGCGGGCGTTATGTGATTGTGATTGATATGTGTACTTTAGTTAGCAGGCAGGCATGGCGAGGTAGTTAATACAGGTAGATAATACACGGGAGTGACAACCAACGCTGGATCGTTTGTTCTGTGATAGTGTAGACTACTTACTCAGTTTCTAGGATGCTGTGGTTCGTGATCAGTAACGCCGTCGCTGCAAGCTTCCATGGCTTCCTTGGCCATGCTTTATTGAACATCCAGTAAGTACCGATTAAACCCCAAGAGACTCGCCCCCAACGACATGAAACTGACATAATCCAAAACCGCAATCAAACTTCCAGTCACCTGCCCCTCTAGGTACTGTACACAATCTCCAGCATATTCAAAAACCTGCCAACTATCTATCATCAACAAAACCACAGAACCACTCTCTCCCAACCAAGGTCTTCCCAGGTACCCCCCGATGACGTTGTCCACCGCATCCATCACTCCCCTCCCCCCCTGTCGCTCCTCCCACACCGCCAATGCCGTTCCCCGCGCTAGCACCGCCGTTTGAAGATGCGACGCCCCCCCGCAACGCCACCGACGTATGATCACAGCAGCACCAATATCGCGACGTGCAGTATCTGTAGGCGGCGGCGAGAAAGGTTAGCAAGCAAGCCCGCTCAATTAAATTGCGCGTGGGAATTGCGCGCGGGAATAGCAGGTAAGATACAGTACCCCCATATATCCCCGCTCAGCTGGACGGACGGGCTGGGAGAAACTCTTGACTAAGGCGCCCACATGCTGTTTTGTTGGTACATGCGAATAAGAAGCCGAGAAGGGACCATGTACACACGGGAGAAGCCCTTGGAACAGCGGCATCGACACCTTCCGCCCACGCATTCTATGTACATCACACCGGTTAGTAGTGTTAGTAGTGTTAGTAGTCCATTAGCGCCACCAACTGTGGAAGTACTCCCTTCCCTCTCTCGCCGCCACAATAATAACTCAACCCCCCATCCCCCACCAGAGATCCTGCTGCAGAACTCCCTCCCCCCTTCCCACACACCACCTGTGGGGCCTTCATTGTTTCAGGATCCCTCCTCCCCGCCCCAAGGCCGCCACCCCCCAGTTCCCGACGTCGGAATGGCTGGGCGCTGATCGGGACGATGACGATCGCATGACGATCATGGCGGATTGGGCGTGGTGTGAACCATAATTTGAGGTGGTGTCTCATGTGGAGGTAGGCGGTGGTTGTGGTTATTTTGGTAACTGACTAACTGCTACCTATCTGTATCTGTATCAGTAACTGCTTGTTGTTCTTTTGGGTGAGGACGGGTACCGTATGATGGTATGGTACGCACGCGCTGCGGGATGGGATGGGAGGGGGATGTAGTACCGTGGCGCCGAAGTTACAGGCGGAATGCGATGCTGGACCCTGAAAATCGACCAGCACCACCACCGCAGCCGCCGCCGCACGGGAAATCGACGATAGAAGCACCAACACCAACCCACAGCGTACACTCAACCCCCCATCCCCTGCCCTGCCCCCAATCCCTCCTTCCCTCTATAGTACATACCAATGCCATACGTAACCCCCAAAACCACACCGTCTATGTGACCCCCCACCCACCAACCACTCGGCACAGTCCGAAGAAAGTGACGTCTTCCCACGCACCGCTGCGACGTCCCTGGGCCAATTGAGCAGCGTACTCTATGTGAGGAGGGCGGAGGGGGAGTGTCACATGCATGGAGATGCGTGTTTCGGGCTGGTAGAATGGGTAAAGACTCTCTTATCTGTCTCCTTCCTTTTGGCTCGGCTGCGCGAGTTTTCTTGAGAGTGGTTTTCCGAAAATAGGATGGGTGGGAGATGATGTGGGTTGATGGAATGGAGTAGGTGGCAACCAACTAACTTACTTGCACAGCCTCTCTCTCGAGTCGAGTTGTTGAGCTCGGTAGATAGATGGTGTGATGGAGATAGAGGGCAATTTCACAGGCAAATTTCACAGGTCAATTTGGGAAAAGCTGGTGATTGATTGATTGACTGTTGAGTGTTGGCCGAAGCCGCCATCCCTTTCTTTTCATTGTGGTATTTTTATTATTGAAACGACCGTTATGCTATGTCCTAATTCATCCCCGGACCCAGACAACTACATGATTGATGATGGGTATATATCGACATTGAGTGCAATGAGAATCTGCGCAACACTGATACAGTGATACAGTAAAAATCGAAGAAAAAGTAGTCTGCCCTGAACGCCACGCAGTTTCCCCCCCTTCCATTCCACACGCGGTTTAATGTAGAATCCCCCCCAAGTATTCCAGTTCCATATTCCCTCCCAGCCCCCACCTGTCCCTCTTCCCCTCCCTAAAATAGTACAGTATTATTGTAGTGATCGTGATTTGAGAAGCCAGGAAAAAACATATGGCGATTCTCCGCATGACCAACCGTCAATTTGAATATCCACAGAATTAGTCGAATAATGCAGTAACATATCCACAGATTAGACGTTTGTCCCCTCCCTCATAACATGGCTCTCGTGAAATTTTGCTCTCTCGCAACTCTCTCGCACAAACTCTCTCTTTCTTTCTCGTCTACGTCGCAGTCTTCGGAACATGGGTATCGATGCAAGGTGCAGTATTTTGGCGTTAATTTGTTTTTGAAATCTTTTTATTCTGAGTGATGGTCGTCGGATCCCGCTTCGGAAGGCGCTCCTCCCTTGTGCACCTTTCGATGCCTGCGGAGGTTCGAGACGACAGAAAAGTGACGACCGCATCCTTCAACCTCACACGCAAAAGCTATTAAATAGTCAGTAAATCTCGTCTTGGCTCCATTGGGGGTGTTCAACATACGCTTCTCGCCAGTGTGACTGTACATGTGCGTCTGGAGCGAACTGGGGCGTGTAAAGCGCTTATCACACACTTTACACTTGTGCTTCTTCTGCGCGCTGGAGGAAACCTTGGAGCTGAATTGGCCCATCATAGACGAAGGAGCGGGGGGAGCACCTCCGCCCATAAACCCAGGCGGCCTTGGGAGAGTCCTCGACGAGGCAGTCTCGATATCTGATCCGGCATTAGAATAGTCGCTGAGAGACGAATCGACAGAACCACCAAAATAAGCTGGATAAGTTCCAGAAGAAGATATGGACGAGTTTGTGGAGTGCGTGGCGGGGAATCCGTACGAGTCGCCCGATCCGCGCCCGTTGCGTGCACCGGGTCCGTAGATGTTGCGCGGGGTGGTGTTCTGGCTCATAGCGATCATCCCACGGCTCGCGTTGATCGCGTCACCAAAGTCTCGGGTCGTCTCGGAACTCACACTTCTGCTATTGAAGTCAATAAGGGAGCTTTGACGCCGACGTTCATTCTCGGTTGCGGTTGTGAGAAGGGAACTTGAGGCAACTGACGGCTGTGATAGTCTCCGCGAATTGTCCGCCTGTGCTTGCTGCTGGAGCGCATACGTCGACCGTACTGGCGCCGCAGTATAGCCCATGGAATCGTAGGGCGTGGAGGTTGCGTAGGTTGGGTGGGAGGAGCCTCCGCTAGAGTAGGAAACGCTGCTGCCGTAGGCGGGATTGGGCGGCTGGACACGGTTCTGGCTCATCACATCTTGGGGCAAGCTGAGCATCTGCTGCTGCCCGTACACGGTCCCCATGGGGGCGCTACCTGCGGAAGCTGAAGACTGAGGGGCGGAGGCGTATGGTGGCATGGAGGAGGCGTGCGAGCCAAGTCTTGCCGGCGGTTCCTTGGGTATCGAGTCCAAGCTGATGGGGTTCAGGCTGTGTGATGAAGAAGAATACAGGCTCTGGGGAGGAGGCGCAGAGGAAGCACTCCACGGGTTTGTGAAATGCGGCGAGTGATTATAAGGCATGTGATCGAAGTTCAGAGCGCCAAATTGACGCTGTTGATGGTCTATGGCCATAGTCATAATCGACAATTATTGTGTGTAAGGTCAGTTATGAGAAGGGACCGGGAGGCCGATATGTAAAGGTCGCGGTCGTGGTATGTATATGGTGTGCGGTGGTGATTTTTGTTCCTGGAAGGATTGGGGGAGGCGGCTTCCAAATGTAACTTGGTGGATATAAGGTTCAGACGATCATACAGAGAGGAAAGACGGGATCAGCGTTCCTTATGTAGGTATCGTGAAGCTGGGTTGACAGTTTGGAGTGGCGCTGGTAGCTGGTTGGCTAGGGTGTGGGACAGGGCCTAAAGTATGGAGAAAGAACGAAACTGGTAATAGTCCGAACGGTGTGTGGAGATGTGGGAAGGAAGGTTGGGTGCGGAGTAGCAGCTTTAGTTTTTTAGTGTATAGCGGTATAGTAGTAGCGGTAGTAGCGGTAGTAGTTCAGAGTAGTAGCCGGTAGAAAGAGCAAGGGATAGGGACGGGGATGGAGACAGGATAGTTTGAGTAGTTTTGAGTAGTTCGAGTATAGCTGGGGACCCAAAAGATGTGTGGAGTAGAGTAGAGTCAGTTCGGTCGGTATGGGAACCCAAGTGATTCTTTCGACGGGTAAGGATCTTCGTGGGTTGCAGGATAGAAGACCCGTCCTTTAAGTATATAGTACTCAAAGTTATAAGTACCCTTTTTTCTCGAGGACACCTTATTATCTTTCCTGGTGAAAAACTTGGTAGTTGAGTGAGTGAGTGAGTTATGAATGGGCGAATAAGGTAGTTTGGGTGGTGGTTTTATCTCTCTCTCTCTCTCTCTAACTTTTTATTCTCTCGTTTCGTTGAAGTTTCCTTAAAACCAGCTTTCTGGGATGTTATGTACGGGATTGTATGGGAAGTATTGTAGGTATGTTACGGTAGTGGGTGTAGTATTTTAATAGGGTGTAATTAGTTGGTGGTGTATAGGAGGATTGGATGTCTCTTGTTCCTCGAGGCTGGCTGCCGGCCTTGTACACATTTATGCCCTCTTTTTTTTTTTTGTTATGTATCTTTACACGCACAAGCCAGGATTAGGTGTGGTTGGTGGTTGCTTGTATGGACATCCTGTATGGCCGCTGTATCTTGGCCGTTGGCGGGGTTTGATAGGTGGGCAACTATATGGATCCAAAACCAAGATGTGGTACTAAGTACGTATTCTACGTGTTCTATGTACTGTATACAGGGCAAAGTTTGAGCAAGATAAATTGACGGGAGACGAGATTTTCCGTTTTATTTATATACGAGAATATAACCTGCATGCAGTCAAGAGATGGGATATATGATACTGCAGCGGGATGATGCTTTCCCAACGGCTAAGGGTAAGTACAGCCAAGTACGGCAGAACTATGGTACGATAGTTTGAAGCAGTTGCCGAAGGAGTGGGGAATTCGTTGAAGGTTTACAGTAACAAGGAGTACTCTAGTTGAGTATACTATAATTTCGGGGGATGATGATCTCTTAGTTTGAAGCTGACTCGCAGGACCCGATCCAGTAGGGTGACGGCGAGTAATAATAAAAGTACCTAGTACACAGTAAGTAATAAGAGAGGGTGGGAAGGAACGGGGAATGGAGGATGAGGGAGGGAGGGGTAAGAAGGGCGTTAAAAAGGAGGAACTGAAAAAGTAAGAAAGTCAGATGTATTGTATGGAGTAAGTAAGTATATGCTGTTATGTTGGTACAGCAAAAGAGAGAGTTGCCGGGGTTTGGTGGTTGGGGGGGGGGAGGTGAGCTTAGAGAGAGACAAGGCGTAAAAGAGGCGCAAAGGCGTAAAGAGGCGGTGGAGAGGAGTGGAGGTGAGAGATGAGAGAGGAAAGACGTCTCCGAAAGAATTGTGGGATAGGTTAAAGACGGGTTGGCCAAGGAGAAAGCAGCGACTTGTTTTTTTTTTCTGGAATTATGTCGAATTTTGGTGAATTAAGCCACTAAGACGATGGGAGAGGGACCAGGACCAGGACAAGTACCGAGTAGCAGCGTAGTAGAGCATAGTGGTGCAGTAGGAGGGTACGTAGATAGGTTAGTTTGAGTAGAGTAGAGTAGAGTAGGAGTTTACAGTACAGTAAGTAAAGTGGGGGTGTGGCCATAGAGTGCGGAGTACTTCCATGTTAACTGAAGAGCTAAAGACAAATCAGAGTAGAGGGAGAGTAAGGGAAAGGGGAAGTTAGAGAAGGGTGTGGGAGGGGAGGGGGGTGAATGTGGTGAATATGGTGAAGGTAGGTGAAGGTACATACATTACAAAACATGCAAATTAAATCGGTGCACGCCCCGTCGTAGATTCAGCTAGGTAAGTGGTGGGTTCAGGGTCGACGATGTTGTGGTCAAGGACGGAGATGGGACATTTAAGAGGGTCCTGCTAGTATTCCTAGTACGCCACTACAGTCACTTACAGCTAGTCTACCGTCTTCATCATCATCATCATCAGGCACTACCCTTCACGGCGCCAGTGCCGTCTCATGTACCTTTTAACTCCACAACAGCCCAGAGAACACCGCGAAATGGTGATAGGAGTACAAAGCAGGAGAGCAAAGTAGTGGTGTAATGGTGCATGCTAAGCTAATTTACAGTGGTCAGTTGTGCGTGCGTGCGTGCGTGCGTGCGGGATGCTTCCCGGTTCAACTTACCCTGCCCGGGCTTGTCGTTGTCCGCCTTACTCCACCGACTGGAGGTTGTTGCACGACGGTATGTCTGGTACTGTATGGATAGGATGGGATATGGATATGGGTATGGGATAGCAGACTGTTCCTGGCTGGCTGAGTAAGGTGATGGATGAGTGGGTGAGTAAGAGAGTTGACTGGCCAGCCAGCTTGTCTCATAGTACGTGCTATGCTATGCTGCTATGCTTGTCTGTGAAGGGATACTGACACGAGGCTGGCGAAGGGATACATCATCCATCAACCTGCGAGTTTTATGTACAGTAAGATAAGCTGATGTTAGCTTCAAGTAGATACATACATATATCCATACAAAAAACAAACAAAACAAAAAAGACACGGACTCACACTCAGGCGCTCATGCTTCATGCACTCAGAAACGCATAGGGAGTACTTTGGTTGTACAGCCAATTCCACGTACAAAGTAAAGTACCCCCCCAAACAAACCCACCCCGTTAGTTCCATATCCAGTTACGTAGGTGCCATCCGTATCTTCACTCCTACTGGCCAAGCAACCAGCACCCTCTGCCCGTTGATACGTGTTCGGCCAGCAGTTAGCGGGAGGGAGGGGAGAGGACGGACTCCACGGTAGAAAAGGGCAACCAGAGGAGAAAGAAGACGGCCCAAACGGGCAAAACAGACAGAAAGAGACAAGACAAGACAGGGCAAGAGAGGGCCAGAAAATGATCCTTCCCTTCCCCCCCTTTTGCCCTGTCTTCCAAATTCACAATGTCCACGATGGCGTCACTGGCGGAGGCCCGCAATCAATCAACTGGCCGTGGCGGATTATAGTTGGGCGCGGTGGCGTCGTGGGATCCTGCTCGCCCAGAGGAAGTGAAGGAGCAACTGCCCGATTCTGACTGCTGGCCCACTCACACCGGGATGACTAGTGCTCGGGAGGCACGTGAGCTAAGGGGAGTTATGGAGTAGAGTACCATCAGATCAGATTGAGCAAAGCAAGCAAGCAAGCACCGACGGCACGTTCCCCCTGTTTGCTGCGAGTGATGGAAAATGAGATGAGAGAGATACGATGGTGGGTAGAGTACGGAGAAGATGGAGGAGGAGCGGTAGGGCTGCCCAAATTCCCATGGCTTGCATACACAAATTGGAGAGAGGGAAAGGGGAAAAGGGAAAAGGGTAGTCTGTAACAGAGTGACATCCTCGACTGCCGGCAACAGGGTTCTTGCTGTCTCTTGTCCTCACTCACAAATCTCATCCCACAGTCTCACTCACTCCCTCAGCCGTATTTACCCTGCTATCTATCCCCTTCAGGCTCAACCTCTCAACGTCTCTACCTTTTACAGATTCATTCACACATACATAATTGCAATCAAACTCCCGTCTCAAGATAGCCTCTCGCATCACCCCATTCCTTGCAAAAACCATCACCCAAAAAGAATCATCATATAATCACATCGCTCCAAGCGGCTAACCACCGCAATCTGCTTGTTATATTGTTCCCTCCCCGTCATTTTCCATCTGCAGCCCCCCCCCTTCCCCCCCAGCAAGACCAAAAACGAACACCGGAGCATCTCTCAAAGTGGCACCCTTGCTCAACGACGACGGACCAATTAAGCGCAAAGCGGATCCTTCGAAATCTGAAACATGGCCGAAAGTAAAAAAGTTAGTGTCGTCGTCGTCGTTGCCAATGCAATGCTGGTCCTTGCGAAAAAGAAAGATGCCACAACCCATGCCTATACCCACTTTGCAGTTACTCCACTAACACGCCAGATAAAAACCCACCACACCACGGACAGCCAACCATGCCAGCGCCGCCCTTGCCCCAAAGCCGTTCGTGCCCGAATCGGCGATCGCAAGGGTGGGTGGAAGGGGGAGGGGAGGGGAGGGAAGTTGGAGACTCCATGTTTGTAGAGTAGCACTGTATCGACGACACACACATACATCTCGCATTTTTTACAACTCTTAGCTCTTAGCTGATCGATCGGTTGCAGGGAAGTCGATGCACAGCCACCATTTTGGAGCTAACACCCCATCACCGGATCTCGACCCGATATTATGCCACGCTCAGGAATCATTTCGTTTCGTTTCGTTTTCTCTTGGTCCGCAATCTCCAGGCCTCGGGGATGATGCCTGCAGTGGGAATTGAAACGAAACGAGACGACCGGACAATTGCTTGACTACTGTAGTGTACAGAGAAAGAGAGATGGGGGAAAATGCATGTAGAGAGAATTCACTGGGTGAGAGCAGGTCTGAGAATCCCACTCCTACAAGGCTCTATGGGCAGGATGCAAGGCCCATTGAACTTCCCATTCACCGAATCCAACCACCCAACAGGAGGTGAGAAGCGCATAATGCTCGTTGCCCGTCTTTTCTCCCATTGTTCCCCGAATCCGATCTGGCGTCACACAACGAATTGCCCGAAATGGCTCGTGTACAGCCAGACACAGCACACAGGCACGCACAGTACAGATCCAAGAGCCCACCGGGAAGAACAAGCAGCGGGCGTCCACATCTCATCTCGGGCGCGGACCCTAAGCTGGACATATCCTCCACCAGTGACTGATTAGTTGAATTTCATCAACCATAGTTTGGTTGGCGTGACAGCCCGGTGCCGTAATGAGACTACACCGTTGACCAAAAAAAAAAAAAAACACCATCATATTCTTCTCATCTCATCTCATATCCTTCATGTCTTGGCAGCTAACCAACCAGGCGCAAACCACGAAGTCGGGCAAAGGGACCCAGTATTATCCGCGAGATTGAAGAAACAACTTACAGCAAACTAGGCGGACTAGGTGGACTAGGAGGGGAACAGAATGCTTGGTGGATGTTTCACATTCTTCTACCCCCATCCCCTAATCGAACGGCGTATGGAGTACCTTTTCTTTCTCTCTTTTTCAGGGATCCATTTCAAGGTGGTTCAAAGTTCATGGTATCGTGTGGTTAAGTCATCGAGGTAGGTCATCAAGGTGTCTGTCTGTCTCCACCCATCAAGATCCATCCAGGGCAATCTCCCGTTTTGGGAAAAAGCCACCTCTGTCCTTCCTTCCCGAAAGAGGGAGTGGAGAAGAACGTGGGTGTGGAAAAAAGGGGAAATAAGCTGAAATATTTGCCCATCTCTATTCGTAATGTACTCTTTAAGTTTTGAGAAATTTTTATATTACATCTGTAACTGATATGGGTACAATTTACCTTCCCAAACATCATGTAGAAAGTACGTAGAGCATTTTTACTATCGGGATGTGGTCCCTGGGTGGTGATGGTGGTGGGGGATAGATTGGGATCGGCGGTGTAGTGTGTTTCAGGTGTGCTGCGAGAGAGAATGCGGTGGAGACGGGTCTGCTGGGATGGAGATTGAAGGTGGGGTTGAGGTTGGGGGCGGTGGTCAGGGCGGCGAGGAGGCTACTGCAGATACTTACAGATGGGGACGGAGTGGAGGATGGAGGAAGGAGGAAGTAAGTGGAGAAGGGATGATGATGGAATGGATGGGATAGAGATGAGAGATGAGTATGGATGACGGATGGGTGGAGGCAGAGTGGGAAAGTGAGTGGTGGCAAGGAGTGAAAAATGAATATGCGCAAGAAAGAAATGAGATGAGATGTAGTGGCAGCGGCAGAGGCAGAAAAATCAACAGTTACGCCGTGCTGACATGACATGTCTCCTTCTCCGACCTCCGCATACGAGCGCAGCTGCATCGCATCGGCCCCATCTTATTTATGTTGAGTTGAGCACAGTCAGTCAGTTTGTTAGTATGCAGCAGGCAGGGCAGAGGAGGCGATAGGGCGATATCAACGGGGAAGGGACAGCGATAGAGAGTGACAGATGCACATGCACGCAGTCAGTGCACAGTTCACAGTTCACAGCTTCACGACTTGCAGTAACTGCAGTGCAGTGCAGCGCAGGAACAGTGGATTCAATCCCAATCCCACTCCTACCGCCGTTGTAAACACTGCCATACGCCTCTCTTTCCTCCCCTGCCCAGTTCTCCCATCACCCACTCACCCACTCACCCACTCCTTCCCTTCCACACCACGGCACTGTACGCCAAACCCACCGCCAATCCATCGCCAACCCACCGCCAACACCGTCAAACCCAGCATATCCATATCATCACCATTACCACTCCCTTCCCTCTCCCGGCAATTACCGACATACTAGCCCATCGCTTGGTACGGCGATCCCATGGCCGATCGCCGTGTGCCGCCCACGCCCACGCCCACACCAACGCCTGTCCCGCCCTCACGTCTGTGATGTGGTTAGTTGATGGACCTGCGAGTGACTAACTGTATGTGCTCGACGACACGATGGGTGTAGGTAGTGTAACGTCCTTGCTCATGCTCTACCAAACATCCCGTTGCCAGTCAAATTAGACAGGCAGGCACGCCCGGGACCTCATCAAGCCCCTCCCACAATTGCCGTTCCGTCCCTCTTCACTCTCCCACTATTCCCGCTCTCCTTTACGCCTCCTCCGTCCCTTGTACTCACCCCTTCCCCCCCTTCCCATTCCGCGTTTTCCCAGTCCCATTCCGTCACCTCACCTCACCACCTCACCATCCACCACCCCCCGGCGAGCGATCCCCCACATCCGCCGCCAAGGCCTGTCACCCGGGGAGGGTACCCCTGTTGACAATTTCCAAGAGTGAGTTTTTTGGAGAGTGGATGCTCCACTGGTGGTGGTTACGAAGGGAAGAGATTTGCTGTGGCATACTGCAGCAAATGGTACTGTATAGCATGGACGGATAGATAGAATGGAAGAGTGTGAGTGTGAGTATAGGTGAGGAATAGAAGATATACCCTCACTCACTCACTCACTCACTCTACGTCTAACAAGAACACGCACTCTCACATACGCACTCCCAATCTATCCCACGCTGCCCATATTCAAACTCCCATCATAATAACTCCATCTCCTCCTCCTCCTACACCCCCCATCCCAGCTCCACCCCATCACCACAACCACTCCCTCCACCCACCCAAGCCAAGCCCGCCCCAATCTCCTCTCCCTTCCCACCCACCCTCCCACCTCCCCTGTCCCTCCCGCCAAGCCCGCCCTAACACCAGGGTCCGTGTTCCCATCCCTCACACCCAAAAGATCATCCCCCCCCTTCGAGAGCTTAATCCTCCCCAACCCCCATCGAGACAAGATCCCGAGCATCCAGCGCCATCACAAATCCACACACGGCACGCGTCCGACGAACGGCCGAATGGCGGACGCCCTCCAGCGCCTCAAGCACGCCTCAAATCGCGCCTGGTGATGGATGTGGAGGGAGGTTGAGGATGAGGCTTGGGGGGGTTATCCACTCTTGAATTTTATAAGATTGAGGATACCAGAGGATGCGCGGTGGGTGGGGATAGGGGATGCAGAGAATCGGGTGTTTGTGTTTGTGTGAACTCCACTCTTGAGTGAGTTAGGCCCCCACTCGCTGGCTGCTAACTGCCTCTAGTGACGGAGGTGCACACACATCCAGATCCCCCCCGCGCCCTACACACCGCCACCAACTACTAACCATCTCACCCTCTAACCCATCTTACCCTCTACACTCTAACCATCCTAACCCTCTGTACCCTCTACCCTCTACCCTCCCACCACTCCCCATCACCATCCCACATCCCACCCACTCCCACCACCACCTCCCCCCACACCCCCCTACTAGTCCCCCAGCACAGCCTCCTTCCCCCCCGTCCCCGCTGCAATCTCCCCTGCACCACGCCCCGCTAGTCCCCCCATCTGCCGACCCTCGGAGCGGGTTCGCATCCCCGACTTGTGGGTGTGGGATTGGAGGAATGGATGCCGTGGTGTGTGTGGTGTGGTGTGGACGGCGCGGATTGATGGGTGAGGAAGAGGAGGAGCTCGGTCGGCACCTGGAAAGGGAGACGGACGGAGGAGCGTTTGCTGACAGTCGTAAGCACGGGTGCCGGTGGTGGTTTACTGGGTGGTGTGTGTTGGATAGTAGGCTGGCTGGCTGGTGGGTGGTGAGGGTGCGGGTGCGGGCCCCTTACTTCCCCTATGTGCACAACAGCACCAAGCACCACCACAGCAGCACCGACGACGCTGATGAAGCTACCACCATTCACCCCCCATCCCATCCCCCATCCCCCAAATCTCTGTATGTGCGTGCATCCACGACGACGGGAACCGACACATACCCTCCCGATGTGATCCCGTGCAAACCTCTACATACTCATCTCAGACATTCACAGCACGTTACGGTACATCGCATACTCATCTCAGACATTCTCCGCATGCGCGCATATCGATAATCTCACAATTTTTGTTGTATGTGAGTGAGGTGAGACATTGCGTTACCACATAACACAGACACTACACAGCACAGTACGCCCCTATTCACGGGGGGTCTTAGATTTCGGGGATTTCGGGGAGGAAGGGTGGCGGGGGAGAGGGGGGGTTGTCTGAGTTGCGTCAATTCTCACTTACTCAGTCAGTAGTCAGTCAGTCAGTCGGTCACATTTCCCGCTCTAAAGCGCTGGCTGGGCATGTATGGATTGGTCAACGGCCATAGTCAAAAGACGAGAGATATATGTGCTGGCTTGTCTCATTCAGAAGGATTTTTTTTGGCTCAGGACTCTGTTATCTTCATTCCCCCCCAATCCATTCCCCCCTCCCCCTGTCTGAGAGAGATTTGTTTGCCTCCCCAGCCCGTTTGTGTGCGAAAATTTCCATTTACACTATCACCCATTAGAATCCCACTCCGTCCCGTTCCCCCTATCCTGCACTGCCATCCTTCATCCTCAGACACCGCCCGCCCATCCTATGATACACGTATCTTCTTCCCCCAGACAAAAAAATGAAAAAATTGTGATCGAGACTGTAGTAGTGTAGCTTGCGAGAAGACTTGAGAGAAAAATAGAACATAGGAAACAAGAAAATCAAATCATTAGAGGTATCCGGTGTTGCGCAACCCCCTAGATATAACTGCAAGACCGCAATAGTACATGTAGTATATGTATGTGAACAGCCGCTGAAGGTAGTCGAGTTGTCGCTGTCAAACTCTCCGGCGCAGGTTGCGTGGGTATCTCCTATCTGAACTCTGGAGAGAGGCGCGATATATCGAAACATTCGCTCGCAAATTGTCCCTCCTATCCTGAACTCCGTAAAAACAAAAAATCGCAAATAACGCCTCGCTTTCATAAACAAATCCGCTTCTTCTTCTTCTTTCTTCGGTGTCCTCTCATATCGCCGGCGCGACTGACCCGCGATTCTTCCCGAGGGTTCCAAAGATCTGCTCCGGGGGAAGACGGTTCATCTGGCTCGTCTTGTCGAACATATTCGTTGGTGCAGGCACGTAGCCCTCACGCTTGCGGCGGAGACGTTCGGCAATGATGCCAGCGACGACCAGGAGGAATATCAAGGCGAGGGCGATGGCGAGGCCGATTAGGACGATGAGGCCGAGTGCGAGGTGGCTTTTGCCGTCTTCGAAGACGTTTTGCTGCTGCGAGAAGATCTTGGAGATGCTGCCGGATCGCTTGTCGGAGGTGCTAGTTAGAGCGTATGGCTGGAAGGCGGTTCCGTTGAAGAGGACGGCAGAGGCGTTGCCGAAGGATGGCAGGTTGAGAGATCCAGTGAGCAATAAGACGTAGCTGGATGGGATGAGATCTGTAGATGTGTGACCTTCTGACAACGGAAGGACTTGGATGCTGCGGATTTCAGACTTCGATCCCAGAGTGTATCCGACAGAGCTCCACTTCGAACCATCATACTTCATCAAGAAAGCCGATCCGTTCGTTGCAACTCCTGAGACCCAGAACTGCGATGTATCCTTTGAGGCTGGAGTAAATGAAGTAATCGCTCCTGGGATCGTGGAACCTCCATCGAACTCGGTCCAGACCTGAGCCTTCGCGTCGTAGGAGGCCAATGAAGTCTTGTTCCCTGATACTTCGAGCAATCCACCGACAATGAGCGTGTCAGCACTTTGCCATGCCAGCGTGTTCACCGTCCCAGACATGGTGCCTGGACGATTCCACTGAGTAGCGGCTGCGGTAAAGACGCAAAGTCCAGGGCAGTCGAGGGAACCCGCATGGTCGAAGCTTCCAGCTACATAAATATCTCCTGTGCTTTCTCTGATGCTGATGGCAGAAACGATCACTTCATCGCCAGCAAGCGCTGGAGGCTGGATAGGTGTGGTTCTCGTCTTCAGATTGTAACTGACGAGACCGTTGATGCTGGCTCCATTTACCGTTCCCTTGAGCGCTCCGCCAACCCACAAAACGTCGTCATTGCTTGCAAGAGCCATAACTGTAGAGTCATTCCTGAGTTGAGAAAGGCCAGTCACGGTGTCGGATTTTTCCCCGTCAAGGATGAGCAGATTGTTTATCGTAGAACCATCCGTAGCCTTAGCTTCAAAGTGTCCTCCAAAGATTGTCACGTTGATTCCGTTCGCTTCGTAGAAGTGGCCAGTGACGACGCCCGATAATGTGTTATTGGCTGAAGTTGCTCTCTTGGAAATAGAGCTCGATGACTTGGTTTTTGCTTGAATATCCACGGGAAAGCTACTGATCTTTCCATCGGTTAAAGCAGCAGCACCATGGGCGCCAACCTGCGAAGAAGCTAGCGAGCCTGAAAACAACGAGCCGCCGCCGTTTGGAAGGTCAACAGCTGTCGTCAACTTGCCATCGAACGACATCTGCGTTGCTTTGAGGTTTTGAAGCCAGTTGCCTCGCGAGGGAACCCAGATTGCAAATCCAGAAACTGGAATGGACTTGTTGGCCCCGAAGGCATTGATCTCATCGAAGTTTCCTGTGAGAGAAATTACTGTTTCAAGTGCTCCATTAGTGAAGTTGACAGCAAACGGAACGATGTCTATAACCCGTCCGTTGACGCCGGCGCCCAGGGTGTTCCATGTGTCTTTTGATACATCGTAGGCAGCCACATTGTTCAGCCCCTTCGTGTTGGCTTTACTTGTGTTGTCGAATTCTCCACCAATGTAAACGATACTGCCGTTGACGAACAGGGTATATATAACACCATTCAGGCCATCGCCCGTTAGGCTGAACGAGCTGGTCTTGTTGACGCCGAAAATGTTGTTCATTCCCTCGGCGCTGTAGTTTCCTGCTGCAATGGTGATATCCCCAGAAGTGGCAAGAGCTTTGATGTCCGCGCCAGGGCTCAGTGCGCTACCAGCTTTATCAATAGCAGACTTTGCAAATTCACTTCCATCTACGGACTTCTTCGAGGGGTCGAATTCAAATAAGCTATTCAAGCCACCAGCTGAGTCAAGAAGAGTAAACCCGACTCTATTTGCCACAGCTGTCACCTGTCCAGTCTGTCCAGAACTCGGGGCAAGTTTGATGGAAGGCCGGAATGAGTCGCTACTTGCGTCGATATAGCCAATGTATATCTGATCATACTTGTCGAAGTTGTTGGTCTGAAAGACATCAGTCTGGAAAGCTGGTTCGCTCGACCCAGCGCTCATGGTACCAGTGACGCGAACTTGTCCACGAGATGCGCAACTATCGTCCTGGATGCAACCGGGTGTGTAGATATTGACCGAGTAGTTTCCAGCTTCTTTGATGTGAGGGAAGAACTCTATAGATTCGGAGTCCGAGGAAGCTTTTGATCCATCAATCTTCAGAGTAAGATAATTCGACACGCTTTGGCGAGAAGGAGTAACTTCCCAAGGCCCAGCGACAGTTGCCTTTGAGACTGTGGACGAAGAGACGGCGCACTCGGGTTCATTGAAATCGTTAATGGCATAGGAGTAAATGTCGTCTTCGAAAAGCTTGATGCCTGTAAGTCCAGCGCCACTTCCATACCAGTCGGTTATATCAATCTGGAACATGCTCATGCCGATAACATTGACGAAAAAGAAATCCTGGAAGGTAACACTGGGATCATTTGACAACGGGCATTCCGAACTACAAGACGAGTTGGCGCCAGTCGCAGGGTCAACATAGGTGAAGTTCATGATGCCATTGATCGGCATAGCAGTATACCGCCATGTCTTCGTTCCCCTTCCATCCAGATGCGTATTCCATAGTCGCAGTTTGGTAGGCTGGAATCCAAATCCAAAATCAGCCCTCCAGAATCCGCCTGCGTTGTCTGCGAGCAGCCATGTGTTGCCAGGGCCATCCGCGCCAGTTTCCTTGCAAATGATGTTCTTGGGATCGGCAAAGTCAGCGCTTGTCGCATCAGGTCCAGATGTAATCCCGGCTTTAGCTATGTTGATGATCTGCTGGTCTGGGTCGCTAATGACAGAGGCGTTTCCAAGGCCAGTGAAAGACCCCCCAAATATGATTTTGCCGGCGGAGGACTTCGTGATAGAGGTAACAGGGCCATTGAATCCAAGGAAAGGAAGATCCGTCAAGCCGTGGGTGCTGTTCAGTGAGGCAGCGTTCGTCGAGTTAGCAGCTTTGAACTTTCCTCCAATGTACACAGTGTTGCTGGATTGATCGCAGTATAATGACGAAACTTGACCTGAAAGTCCGGGAACTGGTGTGACCGCTGAAGTATTAGGGTTGAACAACGCAATTCCCTGAGATTCCACACCCCCCAAGCTGGTGAAGTTGCCTGCCACTACCACATTTGATACGCTACCGTCCTTCGAGACGAGTGGGCACATGGATTGGATGCTAGCATCTGAGGATGCGACTGATGCGAACCCTCCATCCGGGAAACGGGCCAGAACTGATTCGGCACCATTTGACGAAGGCCCAACCTCACTCTGTCCTTCATATTCGTATAATGAAATGCCATCAAAGTCGCCAGCTATACCGACGCGGCCGAACTGCGAGAGGTCGAGGTTCGGTGATGGTATGGGGTTGAACGTAACTGCTTGCGATAGTTGGGAGAGCGAGACCAAGGCGAAGCACAATTGCGACAAACGAAGCTGCTCCCCAGCTGCTCGACTCACTAACGATGGAAACTTCATCGCTAGAGCCAAGAGCGTGGGCTCTTATGGGAAATATATAGTGGTGCCCTCGATCAGGGACTTGATGTTGAAATTAGGTACGGTGGGTCGGGATTATGTCGAGGTTGAAACTGGAGTAAACACGGGTATCAATCCATCTGTGTATCCTCCAGTTGGCCTCAAAGAACTGTAACTCCGTCGGGGTATTTCGTGAATCGCCTGGTGTGCTTCTGTGAATGAGCGTGGTGTTGATGAGTGACGTGGAGAGGCTGGTTAGGAGATGAGGTGGAAAGGATCTGACTGAGGTCGCGACTTCGCTTATTCCGTGATTGGGTAGGCCGGTGTTTTGCAACGTCAACTATACGAGAAGGTTGGGAACTTCATGTCTGACGACAACCTCGGGTGGGCTGGGATCAGTACATCACTTATTATGGTCTAAGATTCACAGTCTATTGCTACATTTATAGGACATTATTTTTGTTCGACTTCAACAATTGCTGCCGCTCACATTTCAAACCTCACTTCACCTCTATATTTTTTATTCTTGAAGCTAAGGGGTCCAGCCGTTCAGGTACGAAAGGTACCATAGTTCCAGGGCAACTTAAGGGTCCAGTCCGTTTCGCCCATTTCCCTGAATTTGAAAGCTTTCTGTTTCCTGTGAACAGAACAGAAGTTAATCCAATAATTGAAAAATTATAGAGACCTAATTTCGTATCAAACAGAAAGGGGTGATTGGGCCTTCCAGGGGTCCCTGAAGTTTCATTATTGCCTCATGTGTCGAAGCTTACGGAACATATGGACAGTACAACTTCAAATTAATCGTATTTTATGGAGTTCATGACCCGAATAAATAAAGACGCGATGGTTAGAATACATATTATTGAGATTCTGCTCTTTATATTATTTCCAAACAGCACTGGTCTGATAACCTCGGTGAATCACGTGTAGTTTCAACTCCATGGACTCTTAGGGAGACTTTGAAACTCCATCCAATGGTCCTGGTCTCTTCATGGAGGGTGAAAGGGATGTCCCGTGATGGGCTTAGTACCGTACTATTGTGATAGGCGGCCTTCTTTCATCATAGGGCTGGTCGTAGTGCTGGCAGTAGGGTAGCCATTTGGGACATCATTCCGGGCTGAGAAGCGTTGCTTGGTCTCCCAGCCCATACGGAGTCCTGGAGGGGGTCGTTCCCAATGACCGAACATCTGCCTTTTTTGCTTGTTATAGCTGAAGCGCTGCAAGTTAAGCCTTCGGGCCAGGACATGTTGACTCTCCCTGCAATCAACTTCATTTCCCGGACCCAAATATGCTTGACAAGATGCTCTTAACAGGTTTCTTCTGCTTGGCCTTTGGTTCTTCAGTTCCCCCTGTCCTGGTCTTATAATCTCTTGGGCTTTCATAGTCCTTCTGTGACCCGGCCCACATGCCCTTCTTTTTGGACTTCGCCCAAGCCTCAATGCTCCTGTAATTATCCTCCTTCTTTCCAAACTCTGCGCCGGATTTCGCCTCATATACCGTCGCGAGACCTGCTTTCAACATCTCTCGTCCAACGTCGCGTCGAAATAGGCCATTTCGGACATAGACCGTGGCTACCAGACGGTCGTACTGATCGCGTTTATAGATATGGGCTCGTACCCTCCGGCCCAATATATATGACCTGAGCCAGGTAAGAGCTTCTCCGGAATATGGCTGTGCTGTTTTACCGAAATGAGCCGCCTCGGGCGCGTCGACGCCGGCAATGCGAACAGCAATCTACAATTTGTTAATATAATTAAACCAGACGCGGATGGTATCCTTACGGTGTGTTTTCTCAGATCAGCTGCCTTCTCCGGGACTTTTCGCAGCCAGCCCCAACCTGCCAATCTACCTCCAGGTGTATGGAACAGGTGAAAGTTATCGCCATCTCCTACCCTCGTCACAGTCCCGAACAGACTCCTCTTCCTGAAGAATCCGGGTTGTACATGAGTCGCATCGGGGATACGCCGTAGGTATAGTCGGTAGACGCGAACGCTCAACAGGATTGTTGCCGTCAACACGACAGTTGGGACCACCGTTTCCGGGTTGGCATAGTTAGACCAATTGGTGGCATTGAGAGTATCAGCCCAGGCGATCTGTTGCTTCTTGTTGCTATCTTCGTTTCCGGCGTCCGAAGACCATGGTGGCCATCGCATTGCGGTGGATTGTTAGCTCTAAGTACAACAGAAGCTTGTGTGGATATATCCTCGCGACGGACAAAGGAGGTTTGGCGGGGTTCCAAGCTAGTAGTCCTTGGCGTGGCGCCTTCTCAGTGACCCTACAAGATATAAGCTCAACGCAACGCGCCTAGGAAATATTTACGGTTTGATACTACTCGTTGTTACAAATTTTTACTGTATCTCATTTATATGTTCGGATTCGAATCAAACTTAAAATAATCTAGTGTTTGTCTCCCGAACTTCTATTGCCCAGCCAACCATCTACCTGGGTCTCAATCTACTGGAAGAGGCACTCGATTGAACGATGGATATTGTTTGATTTCTAGCCTTTAAAAAGGAGGGTTCATAACCCATGACGCGCTCAGTTCCCCTGCACTTTGAATGTACGGCCACTAGCAGTCTTGCGTTCCTTCTCCTCATTCTCTGGACGTGCCCGTCGTAATACCTGGAGGAAGTCGGCCGTCCGTCTACGCATTCTCGAGTGAATATATGCCTAGGGAAATCAGTACATAGAGACCAGTAGAATATTTCAGTGCGGTATTCATACCTTGGAAGCTTTGATGTGGTAGTGGAAGTAGTCACGGAAGGTTTGAATGTGTGAAATAACCTCGTCTCGTCGCTGTTTCGTAAGATGCCTGGGGAAAAGAACTTGGAAAGTTAGATTTAATACCATAGGTAGGATGGCAATATGCATACCAAATGTAACGTAGCCAATCTCACCCGTGCCCGAGTCCTTTACTCCTGGAACACCTTGGAGCTCGAGAGGGGGGTCCGTCCTGTACAGTACTTGCGGCGCATTCTGTATCGCCCTTCGTCTGGCGTCAACAAACTCCTGTATGAATACCTTGCCAAAAACTCTGTCTGTCTCTTCCCTGAATACAGTGCTGAAAATGACAGTGACTCTGTCGTGGCTGGCTTTGATATAAATAGCCTCCTCCTCACGGTAGTGGATGGCTTTAACCTCACCACCCTCTCGTACGCCCTGCGGAGCTTCTTCGGATGTAAACTTGGATGCTTCTTCATGGAGAGCGTGATGTTCCTCGAAAGCTTGCTCGAATGGTGCAGCCACGGCGTTCCGCTTCAGTAAGGAAATGCTTCGAATCAATGCATCCCGTTCGCCTATCAATTGCAATGTCAGCTTCAAATCTTTGTCGTTATTTGGGCATAGTTCAAACCTTGGTCTTCCGGCAGGTTGTCCAAGTCCACCTGGACTGAAAAGTCGTATCCATTCTCCGGTGGAACGACGTAAGACCCATACTCTCGTTCCAGGACCTTTGTTGCGCCGTGTTTGACAAGCTCGTCGTAGCACTTAATCTGGAGAGATACTAGAATTTTGGACTTCGATTCAGGTGTAGAGACATGGAAAGTAACTCCATCAAAGTCGGAGACTGTCTGGTCGATCGAAGCTGGAGGGGCACTGTCTGACAGTTAGCCTGGGCATTGGTTGTGAGGGTCGCAACTGCCACCATACCCTGAGAAGCGCTCGGTGAGCACAGATTGTATGTAGACATTCTGATAGTCTAGGAGGAGCATTTTGACTGAGGCCCAAGGATCCGACTGGGAAATCTGTTATGCTCGTAACCTTGGACGTACTGATACGTCAAGCTGTAGTGAGTTTGGTGGTGACGAATGTGGGCCCCGCAATCGATGGCTGGCTGATTGCGGGTGGTTGTTGCCTCAGGTTGTAACAAGGTACTGATAACGATAAAGAAATCGAAAAGCCGCAAAAATAAATCTGGAAGAAGACAATATCTTTTGCGCCGAGCTGAAAATATGGTCAAATCATACTTGTAAGAGAAAATTCCCCAGATATGGATTCTGAGGCTTTGCTGACCCTTTTAGGAAATATGAGCATGCGAGGACCTTCGGGCTCATTACTTCAAGCCATGCGAACGCAGTCTGGACTCTCGGCGACAATTCGTCAAGCAGCGCCCGGAACACTGGGGCTGGTCGAGCTGTTGTCGCAGCAAACGAAGAAGTGCTTTGCTGGGATGTGAAAAAGGGAGAGCTTTTGAGTCGCTGGAAAGCCAGTGACTGCAAATCACAGGTGACTGTAATTGCACAGAGCAAGACGGATCGCGACATATTCGCTGTTGGTTACGAAGATGGCAGCATCAGGATATGGGATTCCAAAATTGCCACTGTTATTGTCAGTTTCAATGGGCATAAGTCAGCGATCACAAAGCTTGCTTTCGACAAGTCTGGCGTGAGGCTGGCAAGTGGATCTAGAGATACAGATGTGATCGTCTGGGACTTGATCGCTGAGGTTGGACTATTCAAGCTGAGAGGCCACAAGGACCAAATTACTGGACTGGAATTTCTTCAGCCGAGTGCACCAATAACTACGGAGGACGACGAGATGGCCGTTGACACCGAAGAGGGCGTATCGGAAGGTTTCCTTCTAACAACTGGCAAAGATTCTCTCGTGAAAATCTGGGATATCAGCTTGCAACACTGTATCGAGACACATGTCGCTCAGTCGAATGGAGAATGCTGGGCGCTTGGTATCTCGCCTGATGGCAGCGGCTGCATAACTGCTGGCAATGATGGAGAGATGAAAGTGTGGTCGATCGACACCAATGGCCTATATGCACTCACGAAAAGTGTTGATAGGCCTCTCGACCGCCACTATCTCACATCACGAGGGCTTTTGCATAGGCAAGGAAAAGACAAGGCGCTGGAGGTCACCTTCCACCCAAAACTAGATTTCTTTGCTGTCCATGGCTCCGAAAAGGCTGTAGAGATATGGAGAATCAAGTCACCTGAAGAAGTTAAGAAGAGCCTTGCCAGGAAACGTAAGAGGAGGCGCGAAAAGCTTGTGGCGGCGGGTAAAGCCATCGAAGAAAACGACGATAAGGCCGACGATGTATCAAGTGCTGATATCTCTGAGGTCTTTGTGCAATATGTCATCGTTAGAACTGGCGGTCGAGTTAAATCTGCCGACTGGATATCCGGCAAGTCGTCAAAAAGTGTTGAACTGCTCGTGTCGACAACAAACAACCAGCTTGAGATTTACAAGGTACCAACAAAGGAGAAGAAGGCTCAGGCCGAGGGAATGCCGGATTATACGAGGGCATTCTCAGTCGACCAGCCTGGCCACCGAGTTGATATCAGAGCTTTGGCCCTGAGCTCCGACGACAGGATGCTAGCTTCGGCTTCAAATGGAAGTCTGAAGATTTGGAACATCAAGACCAGGAGTTGTATTCGAACATTTGAATGCGGCTACGCTTTATGTTGCTCATTCTTACCGGGTGACAAGATTGTGGTGGTGGGAACAAAGGCTGGCGAGCTAGAGCTGTTCGATGTTGCATCTGCAGTACTAATTGACACAGTCAAGGCACATGAGGGAGCAATTTGGACACTTCAAGTGCAGCCTGATGGAAGGTCCGTCGTGTCTGGTAGCGCAGACAAGTCTGCAAAATTCTGGAACTTCGAAATCGTGCAAGAAGAAATCCCTGGAACAAAGCGCACGACACCTAAACTACAGTTGGCACACACTCGGACCCTGAAGGTTGCCGACGACGTACTCAGTCTCAAATTCTCGCCAGATTCTCGCCTCTTGGCTGTTGCGCTCCTTGATAACACAGTCAAGGTGTTCTTCAACGACTCTCTCAAGCTCTTCCTAAACCTATACGGCCACAAACTACCTGTTTTGAATATGGATATCTCATTCGACAGCAAGCTTATTGTAACTTGCTCTGCCGATAAAAATGTTCGACTATGGGGTCTAGATTTTGGTGATTGCCACAAGGCCTTCTTTGCCCACCAAGACAGTATTTTGCAGGTAGCATTCGTTCCGCATAACCAGGATGGAAATGGGCATCACTTCTTCAGCAGCAGCAAAGACAAGATGATCAAGTACTGGGATGGAGATAAATTCGAGCAGATTCAGAGATTAGATGGGCATCACGGGGAGATTTGGGCACTGGCTGTTAGCAGGACCGGATCGTTCCTTGTTAGTGCCAGTCACGACAAGAGCATCCGCGTCTGGGAGCAGACTGATGAGCAAATCTTCCTCGAGGAAGAGAAGGAGAAAGAGCTGGAGGAATTGTATGAGAGCACCCTGACAACCTCGCTAGAGAAGGACGGGAATGATGACGACGAAGCTGGCGATGCAGGCAAGCAAACTATCGAAACACTCATGGCCGGAGAAAAGATCGTCGAGGCTCTAGAACTGGGCGTCGCAGACCATGAATTGATGGAAGAATACAAGCTGGAAAAGGCAGCCAACCCAAACACAGCTCCACCGCCAAGGAATCCCCTTTATTTAGCTCTTGGAAACATCAGCGCTGAGCAGCATGTCATGACCGTCTTACAACGCATCAAGGCTGCAGCTCTTCAAGATGCTCTACTCGTCCTTCCTTTCTCGATACTGCCACTTCTCTTCACCTTTTTGAACATCTTCGCGGAAAGATCGATGAATATTCCATTGACCTGCCGGATATTATTCTCCATGCTGAAGATTCACCACAAGCAACTTGTTGCAAGCAAGTCTATGAAGGTCGTCCTCGATGGAGTCCGAAATAACCTGAGGAAGTCTCTGCAGAGACAAAAGGATCAGATGGGCTACAACCTTGCTGCACTTCGCATCGTTGGGACCCAGATCCAAGAACATGGCGTCACGGACTACATAGATGAAGAGACTTGGGATGAGGCGGAAAAGAAGGTCGAAAAGAAACGTGGGTTTGTTCACGTATCGTAAATGTTGGGGTTTTATATAGCATAGAAAGATGCGTATGTAGGATTTGAGGCCGAGGCTATGATAGGAGTAAGGGGAATCTTAATACCAGTTTAAATGTTATTTTTTCGTGCAAATAATAAATACTTGCGGTATACATAATGATCCATAAATCCGGCGCGAGATGAATAGTTGTATGCGATATCTGATATAACCAGAAAATCTCGACAACAAAGCATATCCATATCGCAATATGGGAGTTCCCGGGCTAGAGTCAATACAAAGTAGTCAATACGATATTTATATTTCGTTGGCGTGGATTAACATGCCTGATAAGGTGGTTTTATTGGAGGCAGCCCCTCCAACCAAAACCTGGGGAAAGGTTAGCCCCACCAGCCGACGGGCCTCGGCATTTCGATCAGTCCGCTATGTACGTCGTTAGTGCGGTTACCCTCACTTCTACAGATAAAGCCGCGGCATCGCCGCTCCTTCAGTTTGGTAGATTTTTCTGTAGATTCTCGAAATGGCTGGACGCGTGAGACAACCAATTGATGTGGCAGCGCTGGAGCGCTACATTTCCAAGTCCGTGCCGGAGATCAAAACTCCCATAGACCTCAAGCAGGTTCGTCCAGCGACAGATTTCCCCGCCATAATTTCCCCCATACTAAGCAGGTATTGCAGTTCGGTTTCGGCCAGTCAAACCCCACGTACCAAATCACTGGAAGCGATGGCCAAAAATTCGTCATCCGCAAGAAGCCTCCGGGAAAGCTAGTGTCCAAAACGGCTCACCAAGTCGAGCGAGAATATAGGGTGCTTCACGCCCTGGGGAAGACCGATGTGCCTGTGCCGAAAACATACTGCCTGTGCGAGGATGATAGTGTGATTGGCACCCCGTTCTATATCATGGAGTTCTTGGACGGGCGCATCATTGAGGATGCAGCTCTGCCAGGCGTGAGCCCAGCCGAGAGGACCGAGATGTGAGTGGCCATTATGAAACAGTTATGTTGATTTTCCGTACTAATTCGAGATTGCAGGTGGCACGACGCCGTACGAACACTGGCAAAACTTCACAGAGTCAACATCAAGAGCGTCGGACTCGAAGAATTCGGCAGGGCGAATGGTTTCTACAACCGACAGATCAGAACCCTCGGTACTATAATGGAGTCACAGGGGAGGGTAAAGGACATAGAAACCGGCAAAGCCGTTGGCCCCATACCGCATGTAGACGAGATGCTTGAATATTTCAAAAACCCAAGCACGCAAGTGGCCGATAGGGGACAGATCATTCACGGGGATTATAAAATTGACAACATGGTCTTCCATAAAACCGAGCCCAGAGTTATCGGCGTATTAGAGTGAGTTTCCCATTCCGTTAAGTTATACTAAGCTGACAACAGAAACCTAGTTGGGAGATGTCTACCATCGGCCACCCTCTTTCTGATGTCGTGAACCTGACAATGCCATTCATCGATGGCCCAAACAAGCACAAGGGTTTTGTTCCCGGAGCCACCCCAGGCCTACCAACGAAGGACCAAGTCATATCTTGGTACACAGAGGTCTCGGGTTACAACCCAGAGCCAGATCTGCTGTGGGGTGCCGCGTTCGGAATGTACAGAAGCTCAGTCATTATGCAAGGCATCGCTGCGCGATATGCAGTTAGACAGGCGAGCAGTGCGAACGCGAAGGATTATGCCGACATGATGGTGCCATTCGGCGAGCAGGCGTACAGGATATTCCAGCAAGCAAATGGAGCTAGGCGGTCAAAGGCAAATCTGTAAATATGTAGATAGGCTATCATGTAAAAGGCATGGGTGGAGGTCCAATTTTGGCGGCTCATCAGAATGAAGGATAGGATTTATTGAATAATTGCATTTCACTATCTTATGAAAGGCTAAATGCAGTGCTAGCCACCTGTGTGACATAAGAGTATCCCCAATCCCCATATATTCTATCAACTAGTGCCAGTAACCATACGGTAGCATGTGTATCCTATCAAATACGATCCAGCTTCGCACGGTTCATTGCAATCTGGTCATCCACACGATCACCCTTCACGCCAACCCGCCTAATAAGGTCGTCTTGCTCATCCAGCTCCTTGCCCGTCGCCTGCGCAAGCAAATTAAGCCTTTGAGCAGCACCGTGCAGTTCGCTAAGATTTCCTTCGATTTCATCCTCCATCATATCATCCTCACTGTCCGCCTCAAACTGATACTTCGCACGGTCCGCCAGGCTCGCCTTGGCCGGCGCCTTTGCTTTATACCCCCTATCTCCGGGCTGCATCTCCTTGAACGCGCCCTCCATTCGTTGACCAGAGCTGAAGGCTGCCTGGCGCGTGGCCTCACGTTGGTCCCTCTCAGCATGGTGCTTGTCCAAGATATTTTGGTCACGGGCAGCCTTGCGAGATTGCGAAGTAAATGGGTTGGCCACATGCACGGCGAACATACTCTTGTTGAGAGTCTTCAGTTCACGGGTTCGCTCCTCGGCAATGCGGTTGTGGTTTGCAGCGAGGTCGAGGTTCTTCTCTGTGTTGTGGATACGCTCTCCCTGGGCACCGAGACGAGCGAGGGTGCCACGTCCGGTCTCTTCGGCCTGGGATGCCATGCGGAGGGCGTTTCGGGTTGACGAGACATCCTCTTGCTTCATGAAGCGGATTTCTTGCTTGGTAGCCTCCACATCCTCCTCCTCCTCTTCTTCAGCGGTTAATTGCCTGTCACCATATGTACCATAGCCGCTGTTGGCTCCAGCGCCGTAGCCACCGCCAGGCTGCGCATTCTCCGGTGGTACGCTCTGCTTCTTTGCATTCCTCTCTTTGGCATCTCCAAATAGCGCATTTCTGTTGTCTTCTGTTGTAGCCGTGTCGGCACTCTCCGACCGTCCTAATCCACCATAACCGCCGGCGCCACGCGATTGTACTGACGGAGCCCCGCCGTATGGGCTGCTTGCATTATCGTAGCGGTTCGAGCCATAGCCATTCGCACTTCCGTAACGCTCAGCGCCATATGCTGGAGGTGCGGTTTCCGTAGAAGTTGTGGATGCTGCATAAGAGTTGCTCCTCCCCGACGCTGGTCCGTTGGGTAGGCCCCCGTATTGCGACCGCTGGCTGACGGCACCGCTGGCGGGCGAACCGCTTGATTGTTTCTCTTGTCCTGGCTTCGCACCGTAATTGGCATACTTGTTTGTATCGACAGCATATGGATCTGGCGATTGTGTCGCCTGTGCATATGGGTTCGAAGAGGGGGAGGGGCGCCCCGAGTTGTTATCGGCCTCACGGCTCTCCTTCTTCTTGCCAAAGCCGAATTTCTTCATCGTTGCAACAGGGTATATCTCTGAGTTTTCTGTCTTCCTTTTTGGCTTGGAATGATAAAATTCGTGAATCTTTATGTTGATAGCAGAGTACGATGGAGGCAAAGATACGAGACTGTGGCTGATGTCTGACGTGTGTATGAGGACCGATTGTCGTTTCAAGCCAATAGTATTGGCCCCTTTAGGATAAGCTCGGGGTCTGGAAGTAGTGCATTATTTGGTGGGGTTGCCGCCTAAGTATGCCTTGCCGCCTGACTCACCGAAGCCAGTGCCACCTTGCGGATTAACTATAATATCGAGAGCTCCCAAGGGCGTCGAGGGAGCTATAACTTCTCGATTGCGTCCAGAAAATATCTTTATATTGACATTTTCATAGCAATGACTTGCTGAACTCCCCGCCCTATATCGCACCTAGCCATCGATAACACGAGGAACGAATAGCTTCCGACACCAATCTTGGTCCCAACGAACCGATAAGATCAAAATGGTTAAACGATTACACACTCTGCCATATATACTTATTTTCAAACGAATAAAAACACTAATAGCGCGGTGACGGGCTTCACCAGTCGTCCCTTGACATCTTCCGTATTGAAAAGGCGGAGAATTGGTTATGGCATCTATATTCTCCTTTGATCCAGACCCGCCGACGATATCCTCTCCATGGCTCACTCCAGCGGAGGGATCGCCCAGAGCAGAGACTCCGATTTCTCGCGGAGATTCACGAACACAAGATAGATCTTTGCTCCTCGGTTCGAAAGCATCAGTGGGAGCGGTGAATGGCACATCATTACAGCCTGGGCATCTCTCAGACTACAATGTTACCAAACTCGAGCCAGAACCGCAAACTGGACCCGCTGAGTACAAACTGCATCTTCTTTTACGTCCAAGGAGGAAATATACGTCCTTCAGTACAGGAACACATACAGCTGCTCCACCGCAGTCCAAAGTAGCAACTGGCGAATCAGCAACAGCACCAACAAACCAATCAAGACAACATCGTCTTACGCAGCTGACGACTCAATTACTATGGAGGCTACAGCAATCATCCCCTTACCATGCCTCATCCTCATCTACTAGCGAGCTTATCGTGCCACAACTGCCGGAGGCGATGGCATCCCTTAACATGCAGACACGGCCAGGTAAATTATTGGCTGGGTTAGAGTCGAGCCGTGGCGCACTTTATGAAATTGGTGTTTCAGACAGCGGTGTGCTTGTAGGCTTGGCTAAGGATGAAATGGATGAGAGTTTGACAAATCTCAGGGCTATGGCAGCCAGCTTGGGATGTTTTGTGGAAGTGACCAGGATGGTGGTAGTCGGCGAATGTGAATGGTCGCCCGCAGAAGCGCCTACAGATGAGCCGCTCGATATCTCAGGGCCTTCGAGGGACCATGCAGAGGATAAACTCCGGAAAGAAAAGCTTTGGGTAGCTGAGGCATTGGTAACACCAGATCTTAGTTTGGTCAGCAAGGATGCAGGTCGTGCGCCACATAACGGATCGCCAATATCTAGTGCTACAGCATCTGGGGCTGGGCTATCCAAAGACGCGGAATTGAATATATCCCGCGGATCATCCACCGAGCAATTGCGAATCACTTTGACTGGACCTACAACATCGGGGAAATCTTCCCTTTTGGGGACTTTATCAACGGGGACTCTTGACAATGGCAGAGGTAAGAGCAGACTGAGCCTGCTAAAGCATCGCCACGAGTTAGCTTCTGGAATAACAAGTTCTGTGGCCCAAGAACTTGTTGGATACAGGACTTCCTCTTCTCCGGCTATTGCAGCAGAAGTTATCAATTACGCAACTGGGAACGTGACCACATGGACTGATATACACGCCCAGTCTGAGAATGGTCGACTTGTTTTTGTCTCCGATTCTGCCGGCCACCCTAGATATCGGCGAACCACCGTTCGTGGACTGGTCGGCTGGGCGCCTCACTGGACGTTACTTTGCGTTGCTGGCGACGACGGAACAAATACTCCTCAGGGGGCTGGAGGGACATCGTCGGCACAGGATATCATGGGCAGCACTCTTGGAGCTGGAATCGATTTATCAAAGGCACATCTTGATCTTTGCTTGCAACTGGAAAGGCCCCTTGCAATCGTTATAACAAAGCTCGATATCGCCTCTCGGACTAGCTTAAGAGAAACATTGGGTAAGATCCTTTCTGCTATAAAGGCCGTTGGGAGAGTCCCGATGATTCTTCCTCCAGATCAAACGAAAGGCATCATGGAGTCCGACCTTCAATCCATACCGGACAAGGATGCAGATACAGTGAAGAAAATTGTGGGCACACTGAATCCAGACAATCTTACAAAGGTGGTGCCTATAATCATGACATCTGCCGCAAAGGGAACAGGGATACGAATGTTGCACTCTCTTTTCTGCAGTTTGCCAGTTCCGAGTACCCCAACTTCGCATGATTACATAGGAGAAGTCTTGAATCCTGAACAGCCTGCATGTTTGTTCCATATTGAAGATACGTTTGCTCTTCCAGCGGCATTTGCCATGCAAACATCTGTCAAAGATACGCATTTAGAGGAAGGAACCGTGGTGGCTGGGCATCTTCGATTCGGCTCTATTTCAGTCGGAAACAATATCGTTGTTGGACCATTTCCTGCGGATTCTGGAAGTGATGATGAGACTTTGTGGCCGCTATCGTCGTCAACTGGAGCAAGGCAACACGATCAGGAATTTGACCTTGGACGATCGGCATCTCATCCGTCAGCTTCGGAGCTCGCTCGAGCAGCACGACGTGAAGCAGCTTCGGCATCTGCACCTCCCGGCGAATGGCACAATGCGCACATAGTCAGCATACGCAATCTTCGACTCCCCGTTCATAACCTGCAAGCAGGGCAGGTTGGAACCATTGGCATCGTGTTCGACATACCAGAAGTAGAGAACCCGGCAGACCCCTTCGAGCGACGACCAACCCAGGCGCCTCGCCTTCGGAAAGGCATGGTTTTAGCTATCCCAAGCCACCATATGAAGGACACCGGGCTGTCTCTCCAGGCAGTCAGCAGGTTCACTGCCTCTTTCGAGGATGAGGATATCAATTCAATCACGATTGGCAGCCTTGTTGTCGTCTACATAGCGTCCATCAGGGCATCAGCCCGCGTAGTTAGGCTCATGCCGCATGCCCCAGCTTCCGAAAGGGGACAGGATATAGATGACGATGGATCGAATCTTTTCGAGGATGAGGATGACGATCCTGGGCCTCCTATATTTGGCTCGGATGGAGTCACTGATGTGACGCTTGAACTCATGACAACACGGGAGTGGATCGAGTTAGGATCTCAGGTTCTGATAATGCCTGGTGGTGGCCATGGCTTATACTATGGCTCGGAGAGGGGTGAGAAGGGTATTGCAGGACTAGAGGGGTTTGTTGGGAAAGTGATAGAGGTTGTAGATTGGTAATATTTCCCATGTTAGTGGTGACGACATCCTATGAATATATAATGTTTTGGTTCTGTTTTGCTTAATATTACATTTATGTTTTGGGTTCTTCAGACTTTCTTGAATTTGTCATGAGTCCCGATTGGCACTTGGGAGAATTCTACCAAGCTGGCTCTGCGAGCCTTTGCCATTGAAATCCCTGCTCCCACTTATTGTAGTTCTTCCGGTTTGTCGATGGTTTGAGGCATTATTCCCAGCCCTCGTATGGTATCTCCTTTTTCCTACACCCAAGTCCCTCCATTATGGCATCGAGCCCATACATTCCTCATCCGATCCTCATGATTCCTGATCCGACCACCTATGCCCGTACCAACCCATAAACCAACGTCCACGTCAACACAAACCCACTCAACCCATCAATCAACCCTCCCGTCCACAGCGTCCACCCACTGACAAAAAACCTTGTCGTGTCAAGTTCCGCAGCAGCAGTCGGGCGCACACGGAAGACGTACACCAGCGCAGAGGTGATGAAGGTGAGGAGGGCGTAGAAGAGGAAGCCAGGGTACGATTCGAGGCCGAGGATTCCGGCGGCAATGCCGAGTAAAGAGGCTGTGAGGTTGTGTAGGTTCGCAAGAGTCTGTACGCGCGTTAGATCATGAGACCCGGGATTTGAAGCAGTTCTGCGTGGCGGAGACAGTCGAGGGTTACCTTGGTGTTATGCACGATGCTATCCGGCACCAGCGGATTGATCTGTAGTTCACGCTCCGAGATCATCTTGAACAGTCGATTGGGACCTCTGAGGTCGGATGCCCGGCGGAGGAGACGTGTTCTGGATCGGAGGTGACTGTTGGGCCCGGAATGCGAGGTATTCGTGTGGTTTTGGTGGTATAGGAGTGCAGGTGACGTTAGGGTCGCGGCTGAGGCTACCGGAAGCGCGGATTGTGGTGCTGGCTCTGATTGGGTGGTGGCGGATCTGACGGCGGCTGTGTCGCGCGATCGCCGGGTTGCGGGTGGGGAATTGGCATCTCACTTTCTGGAATCTATATGCGAGTACTTTGGTACATATATAAGAGTCATCTTTTATTAGAAGCCTGATAGTTGACTCGGCGATGCCGATATATGCAGGATTTATTATTTTATTGTAGTTTGGGCTATTTTTGTGACTATTTTATTGTATTTGCAATGAAGTAAAATATGTAAAATATGTGAGTTGTTATTCATAAATATTATTCAAAATGATCAACAAAAATCATCAGAGTAAAGAGCCATGGTATAAAATCCTCCACCTCCAAACGCCGTGCCCAGTGGCAAGAACTGACAGTACCTAGGCTGCCACGAATCGGCCATAGTCATCCAAATATCTAGGTCTTATTAGCTAAGCCACAGCAGTTACGTTTATAGTACTCACTCCTGGAAGAAAGTACTCAAGGTGTACCCTGGAATTGCCACAGTGCGCCGGAGATATTTGACCGCCCGCACAAAATGTTGCTCAGCGGAGGATGGAGAGGACACATTCCCGAGGTTCATGGAAGCTTCCGCCGCCTGCAACATCAATTAGAAGGGGAGATAATATCGTGGATGTGACACTCGCCGAACTTAGGAGCTCTCCTGTCAAGCTGTCACTTCCTTCCGCCGCTACGACAGCCCTGGCGAAAAAATCGACAGCTGGCTGTAAGTGCGTTCTGGCCTGAACATGAAGTGGGCAGTGGGCGTTTTTGTTCGCTGCTAATTTAGTACTGATATATTTAACATGCCTGAGTAAATATGACAAACCCACCACCGGAATCACTCGATACACTTCCCTCCCGATGAATCATGGCTAGGAATCCTTGTGATGTTTGAAGCCAGTTATCACCCAAACCTAGAAAGAATTAGCTTGAAATTCCAAACAACACTTCGTTATCATACCTTTCAAAATGGTGACATTGTTAGGATGGTCTCTCAGAACTCTTAGCCAAGAAGACTGGCACCACTGCGAAATATCTTGTATGCAACCTTCGTCCGCATCGTGAAATGAGTAGTCTTGGAGTACTTGTATCAACCAAACTTGCTCCTGAAGCCGTGCGGTATCCTTTAAGAAACGCATGGCGTCGATGGCGCGCATTGCTAACCGTGCCGTTGATAGCCATTGCTCCCACTCCCCGGGGCGCTCTGATAGCATCTTGTTCAGTAACACGAGATTGTTTTTCACATTTGCTAGGTTGGCCTCGCTCTTCTCAGATAACGCGGTGCCGTTCTCCTTATGCTTCGAGGACCGGTGCTTAGAAGAGTCCGATGACATGATTGAAAGAAAGCTCGAGTTGCAACAGAATATAGAGACTGAGTTCGGTAATATATATTAAATTTGATAGATGGAGCTAAAACTGCCATTGACCTTGAGCCGGAGGAGACACACAAAAGGAATTCATCCCGTATTATATACAACCAGAGTCAGACTCGAACCTAACCTGCACTACAACGTAGCAACGTAGCCCTACAGTGATGGATGAGGTCTTGGTTTGGTATAGTTACCCATAGAATCCAAAGGGTTCTTGGCCCCCCAAACCAAGCCACCACAGAACACTAATCTGATACCGCACATGTGTTCTAAGCTTGACATAAGCACACTAGAAGGGATGGGTGATCACCCAAGCTTCCATCCGCGTCACGTCGATTAGGTTCGAAAAGTAACCGGGTTCCGGCGTCTGAAATGCAGAGAGCTAACCGAATGGCGTTACAGGTACTCTATCCTATATTGGCCTCCAATATGGGAACTTGGAAGCCTAGAGTCCATAGACAGGGGGGGAAGTTAGAGTTGCGGAGTGAGCGACATGCGATGGAAAGACCGGATGCCAAATGCGTGCGCGCCACACGTCATAGAGTCAACAAGGCTGTGATGACAAAGGCGACAGAATGGCTGATGGAGGGGAGAAGTCAGCCTCAGTATGGCCTGTCAACTGTAGATCCCTCAACACTGACTGGTGTTGATTAATATACACGTGTAGATAGAGCAGTAAGGGCCCAATAGCCCGAAACGCCAAGAGCGGGAGTCTGACAGTCGGAATTTAAGGTGTTTGTCAGCGAGATGGCTTCCTTTTCTTGGTCGAACAGGCACGACATTGCTTAAGTCACTTATTACCGATCCACATCTGAGTCTTAGCCTGCATGACGGATCTGTTACTCATATTAGCTGGAGCATATCTACTGTAGAGGTCTAGATAGTTCGAAAGAATCGACGACGACGTCGACGACGATACGAGCCATGCCTTCCTTTCTGCTGATCAAACTATGACTACTCCGCCAACTTTGATGGCTAACCCGCGATATTATCGTACTGTGCACCAGAAACAATAACAGGTATTGCTGCTGAAGATATTTCCAATGCTTACATAAAAGACACAATTTGAACCATGGTAGTCGTACAAATTTGTGGTATGCACGGTGTATGTAAGTATGAAACAACTGATAGGCTGTTGGCATGGGGGAGTGGCGAGGCTGAGGATTCTTGGGTTCAGCCTTGCCTGAATCGTGATCCATTTCCCACCCTTAACGAGTTCCCCGGTAATTATTGATCCAGGAACACCTGGCCGCCCTTGGTTCCCTTGGTGGAACTGGCCCACGTCAACACCAACATTCCCCCCAGCTTCATCTCCCACGCGCTTTGTTACGTTGGCTTGAATTATAGCCATGATACTGGTTCGATAGTACCACTCAACATGGACGCCGTCGTCTTTGAAGACTCACCTCTCGCTAGCTACTTTGAGGGTATGTCCCCCCTTCCACGTGCCAACCAAGGAGGCTTACTGACGGAGAATCACCAGGAGAAGGAGATGGCGACAAATCAGATACTTCCTCGTCAGATGAAAAACAAAACGAAACGTCCTCAACGAATTCAAGCCCATCATTCGCGCCGCGAGGCAGGCCAACGGTCCCCTCCAGATTTCGCCACAAGCTCATATCGCCATTGCGGATAAGTGTACCACAGGCGACTGCCGCGACTGCGATTCGGAATACTTATTCGGTAAGTTGATATCATGCTGATTATAAGCCATGGACTTCTTTTGACTTTAAATGAAGGAAGCACTGAATTCCCGGCTGGGGAAGGCCGACAATACCAAATTCCAAGAACGGTTTCGATATATTATAGTGGCATCGCAACTGCTGAATGACCGACAATACCATGGACAGGGATATGGCAGCAAGTCGCCGCCGCGTTCATCCGAAGACGCGCCTGTTACCTCCCTGAATACGTTTAGCCCACGAGGCGCTGTTGTCACGGCTTCAGTCGCGTTTGGAGTGTCATGGATGATTCGCTGGGGTTCTGCTGGCCGGGACTGGATATCCATCACGTTGCGATGCATAGTAATTGCTGCAGTGTTGGTGGCAGGTGCAATAATAGGCCAGGCATACCTGCGGCGCAAATGGCTACTCTACCTCCGCGAGCAGAATATTACCGAGGCTACGAGACTCGTTGGGCAGACACAAGATTTGGATTCTGCAGTGACAGCCGCGTTATCTCTTATACAAGAGGTTGAGCTCGTATCAAGAGGGTATCGATTGTAAGCATACAGACACAGCGGATAGATATTTACGAAGCTAACACCTACCCAGGAGCCTGCCACTACCACCGATAACACGACTTGAAGATCGCAGCCAAGCGAGAAGGTGCCTTCAGTTGCGCCGAGCATTATTCGATAGCGCCATAGACCTTATGCGTCGATATCACCAAGGCTACCTTGCTCTCCAGCCATTGACAGAACCGCTTAACCTTGAAAAATACTACGATATATATGACATAACAACTATCGATATACAAGAGGCTCTTACCGAGTACACAAAAGACGAGTTCGAAGATTACGAGTCCCTGAGGGTCTTAAAAATCCTCATATCGAGGTTCGTTACTTTGCGGAAGCTATTTCTTTGCTGCCTTTTGGCTCTTGAAGCAGACGGCGGCAAAGAAGATTTTATGAGGTGGAGAACTGCCCTAGATGAGATTAAGGGGCTTTCGGATGTAGCATCTATAGCTGATAACCGGGTACGATCCGTCTTTGAGCAAGAAGAATGTAAGCATTGCCCACTCATCGCCTTATAGAAACTGCTAACAGAACCAGCATTCCCAGTACCAACGACCCCAAAGTCTCCCCTGACTCCTGGCCGCGAACGATGGAGAGGCCAGCTGCGGAAGCTTAACACCCTATCCACTGGAATCAGAAGCTTACAAGCTAAAATGCACGTTTTACGCGAAGAATCCGACAAGACCTTGGATGAATCCGAAGACATCTCCCAATTAGGGCCGCATCTGATGATTCAATATGATGCCATAGGTGTGGATTTAAGATCGTTAATGAAAGAATGGGAAGCTGGCAAAGCAGCGCTTGCGAACACGATCGATAGGAACGAGCGACGTATTTCATCCATGAGTGGATTACTCTCCCCTACAACAAGCCTGGGTGGCCTCACATCGGTGGAAGAAGGTACCCCTGCAGATGCATTGAAGGCATTGAACGGAGAAAGTCGCCTGAGCCCAGAATTGAGTTCCGAGAATGAAGAGGTATTCGAGGCAATCGGCCTCCCACGCCCAGGCATAGGCCCACGAAGCACCCTCACCCGAGAAGAGAGAATTGTCAAGATGAAGGAGGATAGAGAGAAGCGGGAAACGGCAAGAGAAACGGCTGAGGCGAGCACGAAGATGCTTCGTGAGCTGGAATCGGTGATAAATCTACGGCCTCGGCGCAAAACAGGACCAGGACCAGGAACACGAATTACGTCGATATGATGAACGAATTTTTACTGTATATATTTGACCAAGTCAGGGCCTGACGGCGACAATTTCATTTAAAATTAATTAGTGGTGCTTTCCAAGGTGGAAGCCCACCCGCATGGCCAGGAGCCCAGGAGCATATACATATACCCGGAAATCTGTAATTAGATACATAATAGGATATCCTGCTCGTACTGTGCTCTCTCAGATGCTTCCCCTTCGTTGAAGAAATCTGAATTGTCTGACAATCACGTGACAATCGATATATTTAGGGGGGCTGTCACAGTGGAAACCACTTAACGCGTAGAGCAAACACGCTACTTGAACGCGTCCCTTGCCCCTCCACACTTCTCACTTCACGAAAACCACGTAAACTGCAATCAACGCAACTCCCGTCACTCAACCTCAACATCGTCTCTATACCTCACACACAACAAACCACAAAATACCGCCAAAAGTATGTCAAGATCACCTTCCTTATCTTCAATGTGACCATTGGTTCCGCTGCTGACTATTACCAGTGCTTGAAGCACGTCTCGAACAGGCAAACCTGCTGAAGAAGGTGAGCATGGGCCGATTACACTTCACGAAGATACAGACTAACCTGTGCAGGTTGTCGATGCCATTAAGGATCTGGTGCAAGACTGCAACTTCGACTGCAATGACTCCGGAATCGCCCTCCAGGCCATGGACAACTCGCACGTCGCGCTCGTGTCCATGATGCTCAAGGCCGAGGGATTTTCCCCATACAGATGCGACCGCAACATCGCGCTTGGTGTTAACCTTACGTCTTTAACCAAGGTTCTCCGTGCGGCACAGAACGAGGACATTCTCACTATCAAGGCTGAGGACGCGCCTGATGTGTTGAACCTTGTCTTTGAGAGCAGTGACAGCGACAGGTTGAGCGAGTATGACCTCAAGTTGATGGATATTGACCAGGAGCATCTTGGTATCCCAGAGACCGAGTACTCCGCTACCGTCTCTATGCCATCTGCTGAGTTCAAGAGAATCTGCATGGACTTGATGGCACTTTCTGAGTCTGGTAAGCTACTACCCACCGTGGCACTCCCCAAACACGTACATTATCTAACAAGCTCCGTAGTTTCTATCGAGGCCTCCAAGGATGGAGTCAAGTTCTCGTGCGCTGGTGATATCGGAAACGGAGCTGTTACCCTCCGCAGCCACACAAACGTCGACAAGCCAGAAAACAATGTTGAGATTGAGCTCACCGACTCCGTCGCCTTAACCTTCTCCCTCAAGTACCTCGTCAACTTCTGCAAGGCCTCCGGCTTGTCCGGAACGGTTAAGCTGTGCCTCTCCCCCGAGGTTCCTCTGCTGGTAGAGTATGCGCTGGCCGGCAGCAGCTACTTGAGGTTTTACCTGGCACCAAAGGTAATTTCCACCACCATCATTACTGTCTGTACTCTACTAACGTGCTCTAGATTGGTGACGACGAATAGATGGATTGGGATAGTAATGATATAAACAGCATTTGACATCCTGCAGGGCGCGTATGGTTGACTTTCATGGATACTGGTTCTTCTCGTCTGCGATTATTGTCTTTTTTTTTACGAGGAATGAACAAAAATGTTTTAGCTAAGGTTCAGACAAACATGAATACTACTGTTACAAACAGATCCCGAGAACAATAGAGTTCACCCACTGCTGTAAATGCCCTATGTGACGTGTGTAGATGCGTAGATGCGGTGACGATAGACATACAGCTTCGCCAAGACACTTCCCCACAATCCCCGAAGGAGCCGCTAGGGTCCCGAGTCATATTTCGTGACTACAAACTGAATCCGTCATCCCTCTATCATCTATATAAAGTCTATACATACATCCATAATACCCCCGTTGAGCGTCTCCGTCCTCACCGCCCTGAACACGACCGCCGTAATTCTGAGGACGGGCCGGACTAATCCATTCAGGACCCCGCACCCAACCCCGCATTACTACTCCTGCATATCGAACAATGGCGACCAAGGATTTGATACCTGAGACTAGGGTTCTCACCATCGCAAGCCATGTATGGATACACTACTACTATTAACTGGCGTCCCCGAACTGACAATGTATCTCCAAGGTCACCTATGGGTGAGTCCCTCTACGACGCGTCCAGCCCCCACGAGTCACCAACTAAGATCGCGCAGATATGTCGGGAACACAATGGCAGCCTTCGTGCTGCAAGCACTGGGCTGTGAAGCCTCGGCCATAAACACCGTGAACTTCAGTATGCCGTCCCTGCGCCCATTGAGAGCGCGCGACGGCTAACAATTGGTGAAGGCAACCACACGGGATACCGACAGGTCAAAGGCACGAAAGCGACAGCAGCTGATATCGACGATTTATACACCGGGCTAAAGAACTCGGGACTCGATGACTTCGATATGATGCTCTCTGGATACATACCCGGCAGGGAGGCAGTGGAGGTAGTTGGCACCATCGCGCGGGATTTGAAATCCAAAGCTGCTGAGAAGCCGGGGAGTTTCTTCTGGGTGCTCGATCCGGTGATGGGGGATAATGGGAAATTATACGTTGCGGAGGATGTCGTGCCGGCGTATAAGAAGCTGGTGTATGATGCGGATTTAATCATGCCGAATCAGTTTGAAGCAGAGTTCGTTGCCCCTTTCACTTCCCCAAGAGAAATTGGCTAATACCCACCAGGTGGCTCTCAGGCGTCAAAATCACAGACGTGGAATCGCTAAAGAAAGCTATCACTTCCATCCACGAAATCTATAAAGTCCCACATATCCTTATAACATCCGTCAACCTCACCGCGCTAGGCGAAGTCCCCTCTCTCTCAGTGGTAGGAAGCACGAAGACCTCACTGGATAAACCACGTATCTTCCGCGTCCAAGTCCCGTCACTCGACTGCTTCTTCTCCGGCACAGGTGACATGCTCGCAGCGCTTATGGTTGTAAGGCTGCGCGAGGCGGTATGTGCTGTTGAGAGACTCGGCCGGAAAGAGTCGTGGGTGAGTGGTGATGAGGTGTCTGAGACTGACTTACCGTTGGCGAGGGCTGTTGAGAGGGCGCTGGCGAGTATGCAAGAGGTTTTGGCAAGGACGCTGGTGAAGAGGGATGAGGAGATTGCGGCGTGGGAGGCGAAGGTTGCTGCTAATGGGGCGGGGGACGGTGTTGATGTTGAGAAGACGAGGCATTTGATGAGGACTAAGGCGGCGGAGGTGAGGCTGGTGAGGAATTTGGAGTGTTTGAAGCATCCGGAGGTGAAGTATCAGGCGGAGAAGATTGATATTGTTGGGAATTTGGCGATTGGTGCGGTGTGAAGGGAGGTTTGGTGAGTATATGAGAACACATTTAGATTACAACTATATAGTAGAACTGTTGTTCAGAGTTGGCAATGGAATGAGAATCACTAAACAGAGACGATGCGAGCGAGAGAATAGGAGACAGGTAGTTAAACCAAATCTGACCACCATCTATACCACATAACTGCATCTCATCATAACTACTCCAATTCCAATTTATTTATCCCAAATCAAGCCTTAGCAACACCGGTGCTTCCAAAGCCACCCTCTCCCCTAACACTCTCCTCCAGCTCCGCAACCTCCATAACCTCCGGCGTGTAAATCCTCTCCAACACCAACTGTGCTATGCGGTCATGCTCCTTAATCTCGAAATCCACATCGCTGTGGTTGAAAAGCAGCACCTTGACTTGGCCACGGTAATCGGCATCGATAACGCCAGCGCCGGTATCGATGAAGTTCTTGGCGGCGAGCCCGGAGCGAGGGGCGATGCGTCCATCTATCAGGGGAGTTAGTAACGGGTCTAACTGGGGTGCTCTGAGGGGTGAAAGGGGAGGGGCGACGTACAGGTTCCAGCAGGCACAGCCATGCTCAGGTCGGTATCAACAAGGCCCTTTCCCCTTGCAGGAATAGTCGTCTCCTTGCTCGCGTACAGATCATAACCCGCCGCAAAAGCGCTACCCCGAGTAGGCAGCTTCGCCTTGTCGCTCAGCTTCTTGATGAGGAGGTGTGGACCATCCTGGACCTTAGTCACAGGGACCGAAGCAGCAGCGGGGGCAGAAGAACCCATTATTCCGTTAATTGGGGCTTGAATGGAAGAGTCGTGTGCGGTCTTGGTGCGTTTAGGGAGGGGTGAGGAAATCGGGGATGTGAGGTCTGGGGGTGGTGGGGTGGACATTTTTGGGGGTTGAGAGTTCGGATGGAAACTTGACTCGACGACGACGCGGTTGGACGCGACCTGGGGGAGACGCGACTTTAAGTGTATGGCGAGGCTGGGGTTAAGCCTTGTTGATCCGCTGGGGCTGGGGCTGGGGCTGGGGCTGGGGCTGTGGAGCCCGGAGCCGATCACTGGAGCGATGAATCAGTGTAGCCGATCACCCCCAGCAACTGTCAGTTGTCAGTGATTGCTACCCGAACGGCGGCTCGCTGTTCGGTCATCGGGTGTAAGTTAATGACGAGTTAGTTATTGGTAGCACTTGTTTGCGTATCAATTGAAGATTATTTTGTTTGTATGCAGATTTGATATTCATTTAATATCCCTTGATATGGAAAAATTTGCGGAGACAGCGTTGTACTCGTGCTGCGCGAAACAGCAAATCGGGAGATTCAGTGACACATGCTCGAGCCGGTTTCAGTGTCCATTGAAACCTTCCCCCCTTCAATTCTGCGCAATTCCCTTGCATTTCATTGCTCATCTCCATTGAAATTAAAGACGATATGTAGCAAACGATCAAACGATCAGAAAATCAGAGACAAGCGGCATGCATGCGGCCTGATTGAGAAAATACTAAACATTCTGTCTTAGTCGCCCTGCCTCGTATTCGATGTTGATGTCTTTGACCTTTTCGGCTGGCACGGCAACGATTGCCGCCCCCTAAATCTTAAAATAGGACTCACCTCGGATCCCACATCATCTCGATCCTGCTGTTTCCAAGAACACATCTTCTCTCTCCTACCATACTTTTCCAAATTCACCTTTTTCGCACACCACATTCGTTTTTGCTTACCATCTCGATTCTAATTCTACAAAAGCTCTCACTCAGTACTTTATCTTAATACTACAGCAAATATGCGTTTCTCCACCATCTTCCTGTCCACGGTCGTCGCCGCCCTCTCCGTCCAGGCTCAGGCCAACAACGGCACTGCCACCACCGAGAGCCCAGCTGTCTCCGGCACCGCATTGCCCACCCCTGGCCAGCTGGCCGCCACCCGCTGTCTCGCGACTTGTAAGTCATCAACTCTCCAGTCGCGCTTTCCACAGCAGATCCTAACAACTTTCACAGGCCCCTCCAACGACAACGACTGCCGCGCCAAGTGCCAGCTCCTCGCCAACTCCGTGAACCCCATCGGAGACTGCCAGGCCGCCTGCCCCAAGGGCGACGGCTCGGCCGCCGGCAACCTGTCCTACAAGGAGTGCCTCCAGGGCTGCAACGCCCTCTCTCCCGTGCCATCCGCCTCTGAGACCTCCAGTGCTGCTTCCTCTACCTCAACTGGCAGTGAGTTTTACCTCCCACATACCCAATTACCGAAGAATAACGCGCTAATATACTATTTACAGCTGACTCTGGATCTGGAACTGGCTCCGGCACTGACTCCAGCTCCGGTGGCGCCTCTTCGTCCGGCTCCGGCTCCGACGTGAAGGCCACCGGCACCAATGCTTCTCCATCCGCCACCCCAACCGGTGCTGCCGCCAACATGGCCGTCAGCGTCTCCGTTGGTGCTGGTCTTGGTCTGTTCGCCATGATGCTCGCATTGTAAGATGGTGGCCTTGATTTGTGTCTCGGGTGGGTGTCCTTGGAATAGCGGCGTATGGAATATGAATGAGGGTACCATATCGCGTAATAATCTTTTAATCGGTCCGTTCAAGAAGTAGTTAGGGGAATTGCCAATTCAGTTCTTCCTTCAATTTCAATGTTGTATTGGCATTTTGTTCTAAACTATGTTGCTCAGCCATGGGAGGCTGAGCTTCTTCATCTCAACGGCGAGCTGGAAGAGGTAGTCTAAGCTGTGGGGGAGTTAGCTTGTGATTATATGCATTGAATACGACACCGACGACTGACCTTTCGCACTGTGTCTTTGCCTTGTGAACAGTCTCACCCCACACGTAGATCCCATGTCTCCTAACCAACACCGCATAAGTATCCGGGTATTTATCCATCGCCGCCTCCAAGCTATCCGTCAGGTCCTCCTCAAACGGCGTATTCTCAATCACCGGAATCCTCAACGTATCATGGTACCCCAGATTCCCCGTCTTCTGGAACCCCCTCCCAAACCCCTTGATCTGCTCAATATTATTAATCTCAAAGATATCCGTCTCCGCCCCGCTCTGCTCCAGCAGCAACGTAATCAACACCGCCCACTGCGAGTGCGTGTGGATGCAGCACCCGGCGTTGCGCTTGTTGAACGCTGCCAGGAAGAGCGGGGTACATTGCGAAGGCTTGAAGGACGGCGGGGAGCGTAGGTAGATGCGCTGTTTTGGGTCGGTCTGCGCCTTCAGCGAGAGCACGTAGATGTCTTCGGGCTTCATGAGCTCTTTCTGCACGCCGGAGGGTGCGAGGTAGACGAGGTCACTGGCGGGGTCGTTAGATCATGCATGGGTAGAGGTTTGCGCGATGAGGGGGACGGGGACTCACTCCTGGCGGATGCTGGCTCCCCCGCCGGTTCCTGTGACCCAGCCCAGGTGCCAGAACTTTGCGCAGAGCTCGGGGATGAGGTTGGCGGGGTGTTGGGAGTCATCCGACTTCACGAGATGGTCATTGCTGGTGTTTGTGGCAGGCTCTAGTGGGGGGGTCCCGATTACGGCCATGGCTTCGTTTTTGAGGTGTTTGGGCGATTGAAAGAGATGAAGAGACGGACGAGAGATGGGAGATGGGTAGATTAGAGGAAAATAGTTTGTTATTAAGTGGGATTTATATATGCTGAAGCTATGATGCAGTCGGTCGTCATCTCTTGACACCTTCTTTACTATTTTTTTGGGCTGTTGGTACCTTAGCGATTGCGAAATCGTAAGTGGTGCTCTATCATCGAGCTCTGATTGATCAATTTGTCTGATAGGTGCCATAGGTGCCGACCACCTGTTGTAGAGAGCAAGAGAGCTCTAGCTAGAGTACTTTCGGTCTAAAGTAAATAAGATAACGGGCGCGACAGGAACATTAACATCGACCGCATAAACCACATAGTTAGATATTGATGAGGCATGCGCGTCTCTCTTAAGAAGAAGAAGATGTTATATTATGCAATAAGTAAGAAGTTGTTTTAGTAAGACTGGCCTCATCCTTCCTTAACTTCATACAGCAAGTGCCACTGACACTGAGCTTATTATGCAATTCGGTACGTGGTCGGTGGTCCCCTCACTAGTAATTGATATGTGTTCTTTTGGATTCCCTGACCCCGGACTTAAATTCCACCGTCACCCTCTCAAACACCTCCTCTCCTCTCCTTCCATCTGCCATTGTGTATTTCCCCAAACTTACCTCCCCTCTCAAAGACACTTTGAGTTCGGGAATTCAGATTTGCACTCCTGCTGCAATTGTATTAAACCATAATTGCACTTTGATCCCTTGATTGACTTGTTAAGTCGTTGTCCATCATGCGTTTCAACGCTGCGGCCGTCCTATCGACAGCTCTCCTCGCGGGAGCTGCCCACGCCCAGGCTGAAGTAAAAGATACCGAAGCCTCTGCTGCGGTTGACTCCGCCGTTCTTCCTTCCTTCACCGTAAGCTTAAACCCTCCTCTTGCCATCTGCACAGTTCGTCGACATCCAGCTAACTTGAACACAATAGCCTACCAAGATTAAGGGCGACTTCGTCGAGCAGTTCACAGACGACTGGGAGCAGCGATGGAAGCCATCCCACGCGAAGAAGGATATGAAGGGATCCGATGTGGATGAGGAGTGGGCATACGTCGGCGAGTGGGCTGTTGAGGAGCCACATGTGTTCAAGGGCATGGATGGCGACAAGGGCCTCGTTGTCAAGAACGCGGCTGCTCACCACGCCATCTCGGCCAAGTTCCCCAAGCCAATTGAGAACAAGGGCAAGACTCTTGTTGTTCAGTACGAGGTCAAGCTTCAAAGTGAGTAGATCTAGATTCCAACTTGAACTTGAATTCCCTTGCTGACTTGATTTAGACGGCCTCGAGTGCGGAGGCGCCTACCTGAAGCTCCTCAGAGACAACAAGGCCCTTCACCAGGAGGAGTTCGCCAACTCCTCCCCTTACGTGATCATGTTTGGTCCCGACAAGTGCGGCCACACCAACAAGGTCCACTTCATCGTCAACCACAAGAACCCCAAGACTGGCGAATATGAGGAGAAGCACATGAACTCTCCACCCACCGCCCAGATCTCCAAGACCACTGAGCTCTACACCCTCATCGTGCACCCCAACAGCACCTTCGCCATCCGACAGAACGGCAAGCAGGTCAAGGAGGGCAGCCTCCTGGAGGACTTCACCCCATCCTTCAACCCTGAGAAGGAGATCGACGACGCTAAGGATAGCAAGCCAGACACCTGGGTTGACGAGGCCCGCATCGCCGACCCCGAGGCCAAGAAGCCCGAGGACTGGAACGAGGAAGCCCCCTTCGAGATCGTCGACGAGGAGGCTGAGATGCCCGCCGACTGGCTCGAGACCGAGGCCCAGGTCATCCCCGACCCAGAGGCCCTCAAGCCCGAGGACTGGGATGACGAGGAGGACGGAGACTGGATCGCCCCCAGCATCCCCAACCCCAAGTGCGAGGAGGCCTCCGGATGCGGCCCATGGACTAAGCCCATGAAGGCCAACCCCGAGTATAAGGGCAAGTGGGTTGCCCCGCTCATCGACAACCCCGACTACAAGGGCGTCTGGGCACCAAGGAAGATCAAGAACCCCAACTACTACGAGGACAAGAAGCCCTCCAACCTCGAGCCCATGGGAGCCATCGGCTTCGAGATCTGGACCATGCAGAACGACATCCTCTTCGACAACATCTACATCGGCCACTCCATCGCCGACGCCGAGGCCCTCGCCGCCGAGACCTTCGACGTCAAGCACGCCGCCGAGAAGGCCGCCGAGCTCGCCGCCAAGCCCAAGGCTGAGGACAAGCCCAAGTCTGACCTCGACATTGAATTTGGCGACGACCCCGTCAAGTTCGTCAAGCAGAAGTTGGACCTCTTCATTACCATCGCTAAGCACGACCCTATTGAGGCTATCAAGTACGTCCCTGAGGTCGCTATCGGCGCTGGTGTTGGCGCCCTTACGCTTCTCGGTGTTTTGGTTGGTCTTCTGACTCTGGGTTCCGCACCGGCGCCGAAGGTCAAGGCGGCTGCTAAGCAAGGGAAGGCGGCTGTGAAGGAGGGAAAGGAGAAGGCTGGTAGTGCTGCTGCTTCGGCGGTGGATGCCGGGAAGTCGGAGGTTAACAAGAGGACTACGAGGAGCAATGCCGCGGAGTAGAGGGGAGATATGTGTTAGTGTCTGAGGAAAGGAAAATATAAATCTTTTTTGTCGGTTTGGGGGACGGGGGAAAGCGGAAAGCGGATGGTAAGAGTATTATCGAAAGTTTGATTTAGAGCGGGGAGCACGAACCAGCCAAACAAACAAACAAACCAAAGTTGTAAAGTCAACGGCGCAGAAAGAAAGAAAGAAACACAAAAATATTATATCCATTTTTTGCTACTATCCACACTGTGGTTTTCCGGACTCTGGGAGTGGGATGCTGTGATTACTGACTTGACTGCATCTTTCGTTGAGTTCTTGCTGTTATGGTATTCAAACTGGCTTTCCATCACGGTTAACAAACTACAGACCTGCACGGAGGAGCCCCAAAAAGGGACGAAAGCATTGCCCCAAGCCTTAACGAAGCCATTCCTCCCCATTCAACTAAACATGGTTACCATCGCAGCCTCTAATTGATGATATCTAATTCACGGCATCAATCCACAGCTTCTCCTTCATACCCACTCACCCCCACCATCGAGCCTACAAACACCACCCTTGGGCCTTTTTTCCTATGGCCCTACATATTCAAGAATTGATCGCTAATAGTAGAGCGGATGCCCCTAGATATGCAATTTCGATACAACTCTATCTGAATGTATTGGCTGGTCTGAATAGCCATGAAGGGAGTCTTGTACGGGTGGGCTTGAATTAGACAAGGAGGGCGTGGGACACAAAAATATTGAAGTTTAGGCAGTATTTCCTTTTAAACGCTAATAACGCATTGAATTATTTACAATATCACACTATATCACGCCATACCAAACGGTACATCGTCTCTTACAAAGCGGCAGCCTCAGCCATCATCCTCTCACCCCTCTCCTTCAACGCAAGTTCCGCCTTAGTCGGTTTATTCGGGACGAACTTAATAAACACTGGCATCAGAGCAGCCACACAAGCACCCGCACCCAGGAATCCAGCCGTTATACCCCAGCCCAGAGTATAATGCGGAGCGCTCTTAGTAGGCCAGATCTGGCTCCCATACACAGACGACAGATTACCAACAGCGTTGATCATCGCGATCGCAATAGCGCGCTTCTCGGCCGGAAGATCAATGGTCTTGGATGCCCATGCGAGGATGAGAGGGAGCGCACTCCAGATCCCAGAGGCGACGAAGCAGAGCATGACGTAGCGGACTACGGGTGTCTCGACGATGGCGCAGACCATGGCACAGATGAATCCTAGGGAGAGAGCGGCTGTGATGTGCCATCTTCGCTCCTCGTGGCGATCGGCGGAGAAGGCGCAGATGTTGAGGCAGACTGTGGCGACGGCGTACACGGGGACAGTCATGTACTGCGCTTTGACGGTGTCGTAGCCCAATGACTTGGTGATGGTGGGGATGAAATATGAGATTGTGCCGGCGCCGACGTCGAGGACGAAGAGGAGCATGAAAGAGTATGTGCGTGGGTCGGTGGCGGCTGCCTTGAAGGCTTCCCAGTGGGAAAGTCGGTCGTCTCTAGATGAGCCGGATGCGGAGCCTGATACCGCGCTGTCTGCAATGATTCGAACGGTGGCTAGTTGGCGCTCTTCGAGGGTGAGTACTGGGGAGCTGTGAGGGAAGTCGAGGAGGATGAACTTTGCGATGATGGCTACTCCGACTGTTGCGACGCCTTCAATGATGAAAAGCCATCTCCACCCGGCAATACCGTGCGCGTCGTGGAGACCGTTGGTGATACCGCCAGCTAGAAGGCCACCGAACGCCCCTGATAGGACAGCAGCACTGTAGAATATGGCAAATCGTTTTCCAATCTCTGCTGCCTTGTACCAGCAGCTCATGACGAAAAGCACGCCGGGGAAGAAGCCAGACTCGATGCAGCCGAGGATGAATCTGAAGGCGAGCATGGATCCGTAGTTCGGAGCGCAGGCCATGATGGCACTCATTGCTCCCCATACTAGCATGATGGAAGGAAGAAATATTGAGGGACGGCTTCGACTGAGAATCATGTTGGACGGCACTTCCATGATGAGGTAACCAAAGAAGAAGATGGAGAGAACCCATGCGTATTCTATTACACGCGTCAGTATGTTTTAGAGGCAACTGATGAAGTGAAAATACTGACTCTGGGCATCAAGATTCAGGTCGTCCTCCATTCCAGCAATTCTTGCGTTCCCCTACCAAATATGTTAGCTTAGTGTACCAAAAAGCAAAGCAACAATGTTACCTACAATATTTGTTCGATCAACATAGTTGAGAATGTACATAACCCAGAGAGTTGGCATTAAGTGCATGTCGATTTTCCGTACAAGCTTCTTCTCCGCGTCGGTGTCTGGAATATAATTGCTCAGAGCTTCTTGCAACTGGATCTCCTCCTCCGTCGCGCCATCTCCCTTGGTAATGGTAGTTGTCATCTCGACATGAAGGGCGTTGTCCTTCGACTCCTCCATTGCGAAATTGTTTAAAATCGAAGTGTGTGTAGTATTAATATTTCAAAAAGGGTAAAGATGCTGTCATGACGAGATTGACCTCTTCAATGAATGTTCAAAAAGTAGACGTTGTCTCGTCTTTATCTATTCATGGCGGCAGTTGGGGCGGGAAAGTAATGCGGAGTCTAGCCCTGGGGTAAGTATTTGACGGGGGGATATATGACCCACTCTTGGTGCTTTCCCCGCGTTTTAGTGGAATGGCGCTGACACTAAATCAAAATGCCAACAGGGGGACATTGGGATCTCGGACAGAACACCGCACTCCGCCACGGACAGAACTGCGAGGGGCCAATCAAGCTGATGTGATGTCAAAGAGCCCAGAGCATTGGTTTGCGGGTCCAGTCAGTTGGAATTGGGATCTAGGTAGGACCTCGGTACATGTAACATTATTACTTATTCTACAAGATTTAAATCTCCATGGAGATTAATAGTCGAGGAAGTGTTGCTTCCTCTAATTTGTGGCGTTCCACTGTTGACTTCCAAGAGCTCCTCGTGAGTCTCACGTTCGTCCATTTATTCCCGATGTCGATACTCGGTATCCGTCTGGCCAGCAGACATTACATCGAAAAAGCCCAAGGGGAAATAATGCTCATCGTAGAACGGCACTGAAGAATCGAACATGCGAAGAATTCCAGTGTCAGAAATCGCATAGTTTGGTTCCCACATCTGCGCTGCCGGATTGTTTGGATCATCTTGGCTTATTCGTCCCGAATCCACAAGGAGATTCCTCGATTTCTCTCCTGCCTCCCATGATGTGAAACGGTCCAACATTTTACTCAAGCCGGTAGCGATATGACTTGATAAATGCCGTTCACCTGCTCTGGCATCGAGCAAAAGCCGTATGATTCTCATCACAAGATCTCGGATTAGAGTAGCATCGGCGCTAAGATTATACGCCTTCCACTTCTGCTGCACTTTCAGGAGGAAGACCGCAGAGTACGCTATCATAGTGTGGAGGTAGATTGGCACACCGACGACGGAGTTCCGGATGCCGGGTTCATCCAGGACAGTCTGGAGGATGGAAGTAGCACAGGCAATGGCGGTATTCGCTAGGTCTCGCCGATCTATGGTCAAGTCGTGCATGCCGTCTTTCTGAATCCCACGCAAGGACAGTGAGCTCACTTGCAGCCTTGCAAAGTGATAGTGCAGAACGACTCCCTTTGCAGGGTACGTTGCGATGAAAGGGTTAGGGGTGAGTCGGGACTCCCAGTGCAATCGCCAACTATCAAGCGCGTGGTTGAATTGACGTAAGAGTATCAAATCTCCCTCAGCGACCACTTGCTCAATATCTGGCCCAAAGGTATTGTAAACTCTTGTTAGGATAATGAATACGGAAACCTGGCTGTGCAGGCGGTAGTCAGCTTGTGTGATTCCTGGCAGGTTCAAAAATTTCTCATGGTTTGTAATCGTCGCATCTTCGTGAATAACAGGCGGTCGACCGTAGGCGATACTGAAGTGGTGATCGCAAACGTATATAAAGTACCACAGCCTCGCACCCTCGAAATGCTCCCGTGAGCCTCGCATCGCTCGAGAATAGCTCTGATGCAGATTTAACTCTGTCGCTATTCTAACTGCGTGGCCGGCAAGCTTCCCTGTGGTGTATAGTTAGCATTCGAATCTGACAAAGTCCTCTTGGCTATGGGGCTCCATACAACTAACGTCTGAAAGCCAGAACGCGCCAATGCAAAGAGCTCGAATACCGTCCAACGTGTGATATCGGTCAAACATGGAATCGCAAACAAGTGCCGTGAATTCGGCATAACAGATATCAAAGACCTGCTCTTTCCCGGGTACGTGTAGTGCTGTAACTGTGAAAATGGCTGCTAGCAATAGAGTTGAGGACCGTCGCACAGAAGTAAGGTTGTCATGGACGAGACCAATACCACCCCACAGGTAATGATTGAGAGAAGTACTGAAGGTTCGAAACAATTCTTCAGCATCAGCTTCGCTAACTTTGCCCTTGGAGATAAAATCGTCCTCTAAAATTGTTGGCCTGGCAGCGTAAGCATGCCCATGGAGGTTGTTGCTCCGGAGATTTCTCAGTTTGGTTACTTCATACAAAGCTCCCATAGGGTCAGTGACAAGAGTATCTGCTCTGCTTTGGGTCGGCTCTTGCGAATTCTCGCGCGTCATGGCCATGCCTGATGTTCGGAAGGGTCTCGACCTATCAGGAGCCTCGATACTTCTGGTGACAGCTTGTTGCGCCTGTGGCTGGCTGTGCTGTAGCTGGTTGTGTTGTAGCTGCGCTGCAAATGATTCTAGAGAGGGAAGCTCTAACACGCTTAAGATCTTGGACACTGCGAGAGACAGAGTCTGACTGTTTTCTTCCATAGTGGTCTTCCATCTAATCAAATTGTATTGTCAGTAAGCCGAGCATTATATATAATTAATATATGAAGATAAATTAACTAGACTGACTCTCTAAACTCAAGAAATATATGATTGAATGCTATCATATTCAAGACGTTCCTACTCCATATAACATGACATGAAATTAAACGATGATAAGACTATATCGAAATAGCCTTGAAAAGAATCCCCCCCACATCTCCTTAACAAAGTAATAAAGAAAACGTTACATGACGTACTCTGTATCCTCGCCTATAAGAGACTGTAGACTCTTATTAACTACACAGCGAACCCGCTTCTTAGAACAGCGAGTGCATATGGAACGCTGTGGTGGATTAACATCGCATTTGATCTTTCGAGCTTGGCACTCTGTACACGCGTGAACCTTTCTCGATATCTTCGGCACACGAGACGACCCATCGCTACTATGGATGCTGGCGCCCAAATGGGCTACTGAAGATGGAGAGATGCTGTCCATCTTAGAGCGTGGACGCTTCTAGCCTGTTATCTCCGATTCCAAAGCCATACCACTATCGCGTTTAGGGCGATTTTCTTAGGCTCGATGATGCCGGGTGTCCTGCAGGTCGAATCAAGGCCTCTTTTGTTTCGCGGTGGATAGGCCGATGTACGTTAGCAAGGCAAACACAAAATGGATGGAGAAGATGCACGAGAAAGCAAACTTGTTGGTTGATGGTTCTCGGGATGAAGTCCGCAATTTGGCCACACTGCGGGGTACACTGCGGGGCTAGCTGATGCTGACTAAGCGTTCGTTCCTGCCAACTGCCACCATCGCGGAGGGAACACCGAGATTGACGATAACAACCTCAACTTTAACGTTTTATTAGTAAAGTTAAGAAAAACCTCCCAAGGAATGGTACTGTACTTTACGGAGGTTGTGCATGGTTAGTATATTTAAATATATTTTCTTCTTTCTGTTTTCTTCCTCTCAAGTCCTTTCTTATACCCTGTTCTATGTTCAAGTTCACTTACATACAGCCTTCATTATAACCTCGACCATCGTCGTGCTTGTATTATCAACACACAATTACTTACACACACCACACGATCATGGCGTCAAGTAGCGCCCTTAACATTGCCTTTGCTGGGCTAGGTGCAATGGGGCTTGGAATGGCATCTCATCTAGTCTCAGAGGGCCATAATGTAACTGGCTACGATGTCTACGAACCCTCCCTGGAGAAATTCAGGGCAGTTGGAGGAGGGGTGTCATCGTCTCCTAAAGAGGCTGCGAGGGGAAATCAATATTTAATCTGCATGGTCACAAACTCACAGCAAGCTGAATCAGTATTGTTCGATTCGGCGAATGGAGCTGTCCAAGGTATGAGCATGCATCCATGGGAAGACTGGGCCAAATTGTAACATAATGTAGCACTGCCCACAAACTCAACAGTCATATTATGCTCGACAGTACCAGCAACATTCTTAAAATCCGTTCAACAGAAGCTAGATTATATGGACCGATCAGATATCCATCTAATCGACAGCCCTGTCTCTGGAGGAACCGTCCGAGCCTCGCAAGGAAAACTCACAATCCTAGCAGCCGGTACAGAATCAGCATTACAACAAGGCCACGAAGTACTCAAGCTCCTTTCAGAAAAATTATACATTATACCCGGTGGAATCGGCACTGCGAGCAATGTGAAGATGGTCAATCAACTCCTCGCCGGAATCCACATCGCCGCGGCCGGCGAAGCGATGGGCCTCGCCGCGAAAGCCGGATTGAACACGCGACAAGTATACGATATAATCCTGACCGCAGCTGGGAGCAGTTGGATGTTCGAGAACAGAGTACCGCATATGCTAGACAATGATCTAACCCCATACTCAGCATTGGATATCTTCGTCAAAGACATGGTGAGTTACATCCCCTCATCGTCTATTCTAATTTCCACAGTCTAAATTGAATAAATGTAGGGCATCGTCACCTCCTCCGCACGGTCACACGGTTTCCCAGTCCCGCTCTCCTCGGTGGCAGAACAACTCTACCTTTCTGCTTCATCCCAGGGCTTCGGGCGCGAGGATGACTCGGGGATCGTACGTATTTTCACGCCGTCAACGCCCACATTAGTGCACGAGAGCTCAAAGTTAGCAACTCTTCAACCCGACGTGCTCACTCCGTCAGCGACCCCCTTCGAGATATCCAAAGTGGGATTCGTTGGCCTAGGCGCAATGGGTGTCGGAATGGCAACCTCCCTCGTGAAGGCAGGATTCAACGTTTGGGGGTACGACGTTTACGAGCCATCGATTCAGAAGTTTGTTGCCGGCGGTGGCAAAGCAATAGCAGCTACATCGCCAGCTGAAGCAGCTAGGGAGGCAGAGGTACTAGTCCTCATGGTCCAAAATGCTGCCCAAGCCGGGGATGTTTTGTTTGGAGCTGGGGCTGCCGCCAAGTCACTTCCTGAGGGATCGATTGTTATACTGAACTCTACCGTATCTCCAACGGCTGTCAGGGATCTCTCAACACAGCTATCGAGTTTAGGAAAGGGACTAGAGTTAATCGACGCCCCAGTCAGTGGCGGGGTAGCGAGGGCGGCAAAGGGTGAACTTACGGTAAATTGGACCCCAAACCAGATCCATCAATCACCACCAACTAAAAATGTTCTAGATCATATCCTCCGGAAACGAGCTAGCCCTCTCCAAAGCCCGTCCAATCCTCACAGCCATGAGCGGCCAAGCAACGAACCTCCATCGAATCAGTGAAGGTGTCGGCGCCGCATCGTCGGTAAAGCTGATTAACCAACTCCTCGCCGGAGTGCACATCGCAGCAGCAGCAGAGGCCATGGCATTCGGAGCCAAACTGGGCTTGGATACAGCTAATCTGTACGAGATCATCAAGAATGCCGCTGGCGGGAGCTGGATGTTTGAGAATCGCGTTCCTGCTATGCTCAATGCGGATTGGACGCCTCATAGTCAACTTGCTATTTTTGTGAAGGATTTGGTAAGTCGTCCCCCCATAAATACATATGAGTTAGATTATAAACTAACTAAATAATCAGGGAATCGTCCTCGATGAAGCAAAGAGATTAACATACGCCTCCCCCCTCACCGCCGCAGCCCACCAACTCTACCTCATGGGGGAATCCCACGGCTGGTCCAAAGACGCCGACGGCGGCGTCGTCCGAGTATGGGAACTCATGACCGGTGTCTCGGTCTCCTCTAGCGCAAAGACACCTGCTGCTCCCACTCACAAACCCAGGGAATACTCTCCCCTCCCCCTCAAAGAGACACTCGCCTCCCTCCCCCCAGCAGCAGGAGGAGCAGACGACATCCTCTCCACCATCCGATCCCAAGTGGACAACCCCTCAACCCCCCTCGTCATAGCCCTCGACGACGACCCAACCGGCACCCAAACCTGCCACGACATCGCCGTCCTCACCGTCTGGGACCACAGCACCCTCTGCAAAGAACTCCAATCAGCAAAGGGCGGTTTCTTCATCCTCACCAACTCGCGCGCCCTCCCCGGTCCCGAAGCCGAGATCCTCATCTCCGAGATCTGCCAAAACCTAGCCAAAGCCGCTGCAGAGACGAACAAGACCTTCCAGATTGTTCTCCGCGGGGACTCTACACTCCGCGGGCACTTCCTCGAGGAGCTCGAGAGCGCGGAGGAGGTGCTTGGAGAGGTAGATGCCTGGATCCTCGCACCCTTTTTCTACCAGGGCGGCAGATACACGATCGACGACGTGCACTACGTCGCCGAGAAGGAGGTCCTAGTCCCCGCCAGCCAGACCCCCTTTGCACAAGACGCGACATTCGGATACGCATCCTCCAGCCTCCGGGACTACATCATCGAGAAATCCGGCGCAAGATTCAACCCAAAGGACATCTTCTCCATAACCCTCTCCGACATCCGCCTCGGTGGCCCCGAGAAGGTAGCGGAGCGCTTACTCCAGATACCGAGGGGGAGCGTGGTCGTCGTCAACGCGGCGGCGGAGTCGGATATGGCCGTCTTCGCAGCTGGAGCAATCAGCGCTGAGCAGCAGGGAAAGAGGTATCTCTACCGCACCGGCGCGGCGTTCGTCTCCTCGCGCCTCGGGATAGCTGGAAAAGCACCCATGTCGGCTGAGGAGCTGGATATGGGGTACCACTCCGGCGTCGCTACTACGGGCGGGCTCGTCATCGCCGGCTCCTACGTCCCTAAGACTACAGCGCAGCTTGCGTCGTTGAGGGAGCGGAGAGGGGGGAAACTCCATGTCATTGAGCTGGATGTTGGGACGCTGGTTGGGGAGGGACCGAAGGCGGAGGAGGTGGTGTCAAACGCATTCCAGGAAGCTAGTGTCAAACTAGGAGAGGGGCAGGATGTTCTAGTCATGACCTCGCGGCGTCTCGTCACCGGCTCAGACGCGATTTCGAGTCTAAAAATCGGTGGGGTCGTCGCTGCTGCGTTAGTAAAGGTTTTGGAGAATATCACAGTCCGGCCGCGATATGTGATCGCCAAGGTAAGCTCAACTCCCCCTTTCCTATCCCCATCCCACCATATTTCTCCGATTACAGAGCTTTCAAATTTACTAACCCGAACAAACAGGGCGGCATCACCTCCTCCGACGCAGCAACAAAAGGCCTCAATATGAAGCGCGCCATGATCCTCGGGCAAGCAGCGCTGGGCGTCCCGATCTGGAGATGCGAGGAGGAGACGTCGAGGCATAAGGGGGTGCCGTATATTGTGTTTCCTGGGAACGTTGGGGGTGATGATACGCTTGCTGAGGTTGTTGAGCGGTGGGCTGTTTGATAGATTATTTTTGTGTTAGTAGAAACTTTACAAGTTCTATTTGAATCTCTGGAATGGATGGGTTTGCCATCTGATCACTGTTTAAGTAAATAGGGGGCGTGCATTGGGTCGCGTTGCTGTGTGGGAGTTGTATAAAATGGTGGCTCTCCCTTTTGTCCTGAGGGAAGGAGCAATGGTGAGAGATATCGCTCGTTCCTTTAGAATCTCCTTCTCTTAGTATACACAGCACGACACGTATATATCTAGCAATCCTCCTCATGACCAAACAGAACTAGACACTGCCTCTGCTTTATATAGTATATACAACCCACCCACCACACTCCATCTAGCTCACACATACACAACCACAATCCCAAGAAACCCCATCCATCCTCTCCCCTCCATCACACACACAACCTTTACTAACTTAACTAGCGAATACCCACTGTTGTACCTACTCTCTCCTAGAGGAGTAGCATGCATTTCCATCCCCCCATTCCGCCGCCGTGCTCCTCCATCCCCGCACCGCACGCCGCCAGCCGACCTACCGACGATCCCTCACTACCAACCACACACAGCAGCACCCGCTCCTTCCAGCGGTGCTGGTGGTGGCGGGTACAAGCAGTGTGGCGGATATCCCAGCCGACCGGTCGGTCTGGTGCAGCGAGGGGATGGGTGGTAGATGGGTATTTAGTTGGTTGGTGCGTGTTTATGTATGTATGTCTGTATGTATATACGGAATCGACGGACGATCGACGGGCGAGACGGGGGGAAGAGAGAGAGGGGACGGAGAGGAGCAAACATACCTTACCTTACCTTGCCTTATCTACCTACCCACTTACCTCTTAAAAGAGTCAATCCGACGTCCTCGTCTTGGCTTCAATTCAATAGTTCCTCATTAGAGACGCAGGCTTTTCCATCCTATCCATGGGCTTTTCGCCACTATGGCGCTGTGCGGTGCGTACAGGTGACGCGCGCCGCGCACGGGATGCGCAAACACCGTGTCGGCGGTGTGTGTAGTAGTCCCGCGTTGGCAGCAGGGCATGGGAGAAGGTGGCGGGCGGCCAGGCCGGCGGGCGTGCGCGCGGGGTTATGTAGACCGACCGACTCAGCCCAGCCCAGCCATTGTAGAAGCGAAAGGTATTATACTGTAGTAGACAGACAGACAGATAGGCACGGCTACCTGTTATGCCCACCACTGCGAGCGCGAACGGTATCACCGACGATATCACAAACCGACCCTATCACAAACCCACCAACCCCTCCCTTCAGTGACGTGTGTTACGATACCAGAGATGGGGGCGGTTACGTCGCCCGGGTTGCGGGTTGCGGGTTTCGCGACGTGAGGGAGCGGACGGAGGAGGCGGAGTGGGGAGTGGAGAATACAGTATGTGAGTTGTGAGCGGAGGAGAGGAGGGGGGAGGGGTGTTACGGGCGACGGGCGCAGGCGGGCTTCTTATGGACCTGGCGAGGCAAGGCGGATGGGAATGCTGGATGGCTTGGCTGGGTGAGGAGGGGGATTATTGATTAGTAGTGGTAGCAGTAGGAGGAGGAATGTGACGGAGTGAATGGATGGATGGGGAACTGCATGCGTAGGGTAAGGGAGTCTGTCATCGTTGCCTTTTGTATTGCTGTGGTACTGTGTCGTATTTCCCCTCCTATGGCCAAGACGAGGCGGATGAGACGAGAGAGGCCTGCCTGGCTGGCTGGAAGGGAGGAGGCATGACGCCACTGTGACACGGGGAGGGAGAGACGGGAGACGGCGGGGAAGACGGAGGGGAAGACGGAGGGAGTTGGTATGTGTGGTATGTATAAGTATTGGATTTGTATGTACGGGATAGACGGACGGGATGGGGATAGGGATGGGGTGGGATGTGTGTTTGTAGGTATGTAAGTAAGTAAGTAAGTAAGTACATCGTACATTCGCCGGAAGGCGCGAGGATGTGCGTTTGTGCGTGCGTAAGGAGCGGATGGGATGGGATGGGATGTCATTTTTGGGGAGTCTTGGGCGTGCGTGTATTGTAGTTTTGTGTATGGTGGATTGTGGATTGTGCTGATGCTGACGGGTGGTGGTGGTGGTGGATGTGGGTGTATGGTGGATGATGGTACAGTTGGTAAAGTATAGCATATACAGACTTGAACCGTCGTATGTACTTCAAACAGCGTCAAACACACCAGTATAGATAGACACCACCGACCGTCCTCTCCCACCGACCGTGATATTACCTCCTCCCCCACCCGTTGCGTCGACCTCACCTCACCTCCTCCACCTCCCTGCCAGTAGCACCAGTAGTGACGAAATACACCCAAAAATCCCAGTCCTCCTCCGGATCCCCTACAGACAAGAACAACACCAAAGACCGAGAAAGTGGAGCTCGGTGATCACTGTCGGACTTACCTCCGCCCTTATCGTGCCAGCTTCTCGACACCTTGTTGGCCAGCGCGGAGGCGATAAGACATAAAGTCCGAGCGAGGGGCGGAGGAGGTGACGGCTGCGGAAGGAAGACCCGGATGGCGATCTGGGAGGGAGGGGAGGGGATATTGGGGAAGATATCCATGTATTGCACCGTCGCTGTTGGAGGAGGGAGAAAGGGAAAAAAAAATAGTACGCCGAGTTATTATGTATGTATGTATGTATGTAGGAGGTAGGTATGTGTGGGTATGGAAGTAGTATGTATTGACGAGACGCCCATCCATCCCACCGGTCACTGCGATGCGATGCGAGTATCACTCACTCACTCACTCACTCACTCACTCATATAACCTATATAGGCCAGTCATCAAATGCATCCTCGCCCTTCCCATCCTCCAACCTATGCCGAGTGAGTGTGAGACGTGGCATTGCAGAGAGAGTAGAGAGTAGAGTGGTGGAGTTGAGTTGACTCGTCAACGAGGCTGGTCGGTCTTCCTCCTCCCTTCACATCCATCTCCGTTAGGTCGTCTTGCCTCATCCCCACCGTGCCTGACGACAACCTCAACCTCACCTTAGACGACAGACACAACCTCAACCTTAGATCAAGTTACCCACCTCCCTACCCCCGTACCTGTCTTAAAAAAATAGTTTGCCTTCCTTGGCTGGGTTGGGCTCGGGCAGCACCTGTCAGAAGCAGCTAACCTAACTTACCTTACGAGGTGGAATCACCAGAAGTGTATGTACAGAGCACAGTACAGCAAACAGGAAGAGCACGAAATGGCCCTGCCCTGCCCTGCCCTGTCCGGCTGAGCTGACCTTGTCTCGCCTGTACGGCGGTGTCCAACTTTACCTCCTCACCTACCTTGCATGCCAATTTTCGGTCGTCGCCGCCTAGTCGCTCCTCGCTCTCAATCAAACTCCTGAATCGGGCGATGGTATGTGGGTTGAGTGTGTCGAATTGTAAAAAAATGTGACGAGACGAGCCAGGACCACCGACCGGATGCAGCTGTGCGTTGCGCCGGGTGTTTCGAACACATTTTTCCTTCTTCTTCTTATTCTTGCCAGGGTCCGCTCCTTTTTTATTTATTTTTTCACAGCCGGTTTTTTTTGCTTGATTGTCTGACGTTTTCTTTTTCCGAGTCCGGTTTGGGGGACTGGGCGTTGTCTTATGTTGGATGACGGGAGTGGACGGGAAGAGAGGAGGGGAGGGGAGGGTAACTTAGTACGGCGGTGGTGGGTGGTGGTGGGGTGTGAAGGGGTCGTGCTAACCAGCAGCAGCGAGGAGGGAGGTATCGACCCAACCACTCGGCCATCGACGCCAACCACCGCCGTTGGTTAGTACTAGCAGCCACGACCGAGTGGTTGGGGAAGTGCTGATGGATGGTAGTGGCAGGGCGTGCGAGTGGGAGTTAGTTGGCAGGAGTGACAGTAGTGGGAGTAATTGGCAGGAGTGGTTGGAGTGGTTGGAGTGGTAGAAGTGGTAGAAGTGGGAGTATTGGCAGAGAGTGACAGAATGAGTGGTAGGAATATCAGAGTGACAGTATTCCCAGTAATGGTGTTGGTAGCAGTGACATATCGTGCAGTACATACATACTGTAGGGTACATATCTCCTAACTCGCTCTCCCGTCACGCCCGTCGTATGTAACGTGGAGTCTCGAGTGAGTCCTAGAGGAGTGGTCTTCCGTCTAAAATGTATGTATTCGGTCTAAATTGTATTTGTATGTAACCGCCTTGGAACCCCCCGTCGCCCGCCGTCCGTTCCTTGTTGTCCTGCACGCACTTAGAGTGTGCATTTTACCATTTATAGTATTGGTGGTGGTAGTAAGTAGTAGTACTAGTAGTAGTAGTAGAGTACTCGTGACTGTCGACCGAACGTACTCTGATTACTATCGTATTGTACGAGTAAGGGCCTATAATACTCGCAATACGAATAGAGAATCGTGGCGTGTACGAGTGCCCTACCTAGGCTATAGGTATAGCTAGCTTATTGTTTCGTGAAGCTTGTCTGTCCCTCACGGCATGATTGTGTCGGAGTAGTACTTGACACAGTATTATGTGTTTGTGTAGGTGTATGCCTAGGTGTATGCCTAGGTGTATGTGCATCTGTATCCGTATCTGTATCTGTATCTGTATGCTGCGTGTATGTATGTGTATCTCTATGTGTGCATATATGTATCTCTATGCGTATGTGAATCTCTATTCGTATGTGTATGTGTATCTCGATATGTGCCTTCGATGGATTATGTATGTAGCTGCTTATCGTTAGCTAGTATAATCCACCATCACTTACACCACCACTGTAGTCCACACAGACCGTGCACATACCAAACAGACTTATAGAGAGAGCTACATAGCTCATCTGTACTAACTACCACTCACTACCACTCTTACTACTGATAGTTACATACTACATACCACACCACTCACATCCTCTCATACGCACTCTCTCCCCTCCCTCACACAAAACACACCACCACACATTTATTAGTATACATAGGTGCCATACTACCAAATCTACGCAACACACACACACACACAAGTCGCTACCCTCGTCTCGTCTCTCTAGTACTGAACCGTACTGTACTCTCTCTCTAAACCACCTCTTACCACCACAACCACCTACTCCCACCACCACAACCCCCCCCCCCGCTTCCGCTCGTTACCTACCACCCTCTCTCTCTCCCTGTCTCTCCCTCTCCTCCTCCGACAGATCTCTTTCTGTGACCTCTCTTTCTCCTCTTTCTCTGTCTTTCTCCTCCTCTTCTACTCAGAACTCTACAACTTCCTCCACCATACTGTTCCTCTCACCTACAGTAACCTCCCACTCTCTCTCCCCCTCCCTCCATCTCTCAGCCAACTACCCCTCACGAAACTCTCCCACTGCCTCAAGAGACACTCTCCTCTGAACGATCCACCCTCGAGGACCCCGTACAGTACACTGCCCCCGCTCCGAGTGAAACCTCCCTCGCCGGGCACTCAATACTTTATTCAAGACATCTCTCACTCCGCCAATCCTACCCTCACCGACAATTCCCACAACACCGAGTCGACTGTCACCACCAACCTTCCCTCATGAGGTAGCAGACGAGTCGACCATAAACCCCGGCACGCACAATACGACGCTGCCTCGAAAGGCCAACCCTCAAAGACACGAGAACAAACACCTTCCATACCCTTCCTCCACCGAGAAGGTGACTGTCGTCATTGGGAAACGCACACCTCGACACCCTTCGTGCAAGCGGAGAGAGGTCAGTCCATGGCCGAGGCAATGAACCCCAACTTCATGGAATACCAGATGGACATTGACGACCCAACAATTACTTCCTCGCAGGCCATGGCTCAACCAACATGTCCCTATCGGCCCACTGCAGACACACCGAATGCCCTGGCAGCCTTCCAGTCCAGCTGGGGATATAACCCTCACCCAAACACACCTTCGTTCGGCCCTTCTTCCCACCCTGGAGGGGTACACTGGCCAGGCATGCCATCTCACAATTCACCACAGCCCGACTCGAGTGCCGGTGGACCTAGTCGCCAGCTTCCATACTCAGGTCATCCTGGAAGTGCTACTCGCTATAGCCTTACTCCGTTCAACCGCACCCCAGACTTTGCTGGCAACCAGCAGCAGTTCCTGCGCCCCGAAGAGAATAGGCACCCTATACCTCGAGCACCCAACATGGATCGGTTCCACAATGCGAACGAAAACAGGCAAGGAGAGAGTCAAAATGCAGGACCTGTGCCGTCTGTAGCTACGGGAGTTCCAAACTACAGCTCTCCAGTAGATGAAGCGACGCAGAGGAGGAGTGAGTTGATACAGGCCCAGATGGCGAGAGCCCAACAAGAAGCTCAGTCGAACAGGAATACACGCCAGCCTCCCACCCTGACTGTCCAATCTACGTTCTTCCCTACACATTTACCGCAGCCTAATTTCACGGGCAGCAGGAGTCCATCTCACTTCCAGGGAGTCCAGGGAACCCGGGGTGAGCATTCTTCATTTCGTCGTCACGTAGCGCGGTTGCCCATCATCCGCCGTTTGAATGCTAACCGGGTAGCAGTCGAGACATTCCAGTATACTTCTCGAAACGTGTCGGGTCCTCCTCCCGCACAACCGCCCCGTCAATTGACGCACCTTGAACACGAGCAGCGCCGTGCTTGGATACACGAGGCGAACCTCATATCTGATTATGGTGATGAATCGGACGATGATAGTCTTGATAGCTTCGATCGGCGAGATTTGGGTGCCCGTCCCCGACCTACACCGGGTGCTGCTCATGGCCAGCACCGACCTGCAAGTAAGTATTATCGATCTCTGGGGGTGGTTGGGCAGCAGACACCCATGAGTGCTGTATTTTCAGAAGCTAATTTACCACAGTGAGTTCTGCTGAAGGTGACGAGCGCGAGCTTGCTATGGAGCGTAACCGGGCAGCCCGGAGAGCAGCTATAGCAGCTGCAAAGTTGGTTGCATCTCCAGCCGCTCTGGCATCACTGGAACCTGTTGAGCTGTCCAGCTTGACGGGAGACGACCGAAGTAAGTACATCTATATCTAGCTTCCCGTATACCAAAACTAACTGCCGCAGACTGCATAATCTGCTACAACGAATTCGGCATCAAGAACCCGGACGGGAACATCGAATGTGCAGTCCGACTCCCCAAGTGCAAACACATCTTCGGCGACCACTGCCTAAAGCACTGGCTCAAAGACTCGGACAGCTGCCCATACTGCCGCGACAAGCTTCCCTCGGAACCTAAAAGGAGCCCTGCAGAAGAGATGCGTCGTCTCTTCGTCCTCAACCGCCCGGCAACCTCCAGCGCCCAACAGCACAACGGCCCCATGACAGCCGAAGAGCGCGCCGCCGCCTTCGCAGCCATGGAAGCCCGTCATCTGGGACAGGCATACATGAACCGCGCACACGTGCAGTCGCAAATCCATGCCCTCTACGCCCTCGAGGCACAGAATCGCGCGCGTCTAGAGAACTCTGCGCTAGAACACTCTGAGGCGATTATGAGGTAACCCCCCCCCTTCTGGACCCCGGCATCTAATTGATGCCCACCACGTGCCGAAAACTGACAGCGGGATAGGCAACACATGCAACGCCAGGAAGAGTGGGCAGCGATGCACCACTCGCACGGCGTCCCGCTCGGTACCCGCCAAATGGCGGATAACGAAGCTCGCCGCCGCAACAGGCGCGGGAACAACATCCGTAACTCTACCGGCAACAGTATCAGTGCAGCAGCGCGATCCTCGGGTGTCATGCCTCGAGGGGGCGGGTCTATTCCCAATCCCAATCCCAGTTCCGGCCCCTCTGCGAACTCGAATCCGAATAGCAACGCGAACTCCCGACCCCCAACGATAACGACCAGGAATATCTTCGACACCGCCAACACCGTCGCTGCGGTCCTCGGACAACCCCGCTCCGTAACACCGCACCCTACCGTCCTCGAGAACGGCGGCGCGACACCCGCTCCTCTGTCGAGCAGGAGGTCGTCCCTACCCGTGGACGCACCCGTCCGCGACGAGGCGCGCGACATGGCGAGGGCGCAGATGTTGGGGATACCGCATCTGCCGCCGACGCAGGTGGGGGATATGGATGAGGCGCAGATGGCGCTCGCGAGTCCGAGGATGGAGTTGTTTGGGGCGGAGGAGAGGGTGTGGACTGAGGCGGGGAGGCCGGTTAGTGAGGGGTTCCTTGGTGGAGCTGGGGGGGTTGGGGTGGGGGGTGCGGGGTTTCAGGCGGGGGTTATGGATGGGGGTGGAGCGAGGCGGTGGGGGGGTGCGAGGGGGTGATGGGGGGTGTGGTGATTGAGGAGGGGAAGGGGTGAGAGATAATGGGGAAAAGGCGAAGGGGAAAGGGGGGGTGGAGGATGAACATATGCATATCGACGCGCCGTTGCATTCCCTCGCACACTGGATTTTTTTCGTTTCTTTTCGTTTCTGCATGGCTTACGCTAAGCTGGTATGGGGATGGGGGTACTGTAACGCCTTCTATGGCGGGGGATTATTTATGGGATGGACGACTTTCTGGACGGTGGGATGGCTGGGGGGTGGGATTAATGGCGTTTTTTATCTGGTGATTTCGATGGCATGGAGCATTTGCATGGTTTTGATATTTAGCTTTCGGGGGGTTAGTGGGGGTGGGAAAGGGGGCGGAGGGGGGTTATTACATACAGACATACAGACACATGATAGTGTGGTGGCATGGCATGATGGGAAGGTAGGGGGGTGGCAAGGCATGGTGGGGATCTCAGCTCTGCTCTACTCGGCTCGGCTCTTGGCTTTAGGTAGTGAGGGAATTAGGGGGGGGGGGGGGGGGGCGTAATTAAGAGCTTTTTCTCTCGTGATGTTGTAGCTTTGTTAGGGATAGAAGGGGGAGTAATTGTGATTGTGATTATAATGCGTGATGTAAGATGTAATGGTATAGGAGATTAGAGATAGGAGATGGTGTCTTCTATTCCATCTTCTATTTTACATATCTTATTCTGCATCTAGCATCTAACATCTAACATCTAACATCTAAATTTACCTACATACACGTTACCTACTATCCTATCCCTATTACTCAATTTATCCCCTTATATAGCCTTGCCTTCTTTCCCTAACCCTACCTAGCTTAACTAACTATAGACCTTAGAGATTACTGTATGTAACAACCCCCCCTCTACCCCTACCGTCTATAACTCTATATAATCACACACCCCCCAAACTGTACACGTCTAACACTACCACCTCTATAAGCTGCCTCACTTTACTTTAGTCTCGTGATGCCGCTAGGTTTCTAGAGAGAGACTCGAGGTGTTATTACCGTAGTGTACATGGTTTATTATACATACATTAAGCACACAAGCCGTAAGCATTTTAATGCACACCACTAAAGTTTCAAGTCATGATGATAGGCGTTTTTTATTTTTCTGGCGTATCTAGCAGAACATAGTAGTAGTGAGAGAATAGTAAACGAAGTCTTCTTTACCACCCGAAAGATCGATCCTGCAATAGCACAGACAACTGCACCCAAAAAAAAGGGGGGGTAAATGAGTGTGTGCCAACATCATCATCATCCTCCCTCCCACACAACATCCCAACTTCCCCCCTCCTCCATTTTTCACCCCCACCAACAGCGTGCTCAATAAATCGCCTTCCCCCCCCCAAACCTACCCCAAACAAATCGCCGTCCCCGACCTACACTTCCCCACCAACTCCGGCGACCCCGGCCACAAAAAGAACCCCGCCTGATACATCCCACACCCAGCATCCATCATCCTATTCGCATAATCGATATCCCCCGTATCCAGATTCCCCTGCGTATGCAGCGCATTAATGCAGTAATACACGTACACCCCCTTCCTATTGAAGCCGTAATAGCTCCGACTGTCCCCGGAGACGAGGTCTTGGCCGCCGGCGCCGGCCCAGCGCTTTAGTTCCGTCACGCCCTCGTCGACGCCGCCGTGGTCCAGCTCGTAGCCCCAGCAGCTGGTGTCGCGCTTGGAAATGCCGTGGCGGGGGGAGCGGCGGGTTGGGGAGGTGGCGGAGGTGGAGGCGAGCTGGAAGGTGTAGGTTGAGCCGGTGGTGAGGGAGGTCATGGTCGTGGAGCCGTCGGGGTGGTTGGTGCCGCTGTAGGCGCCGTCGGGGAGGTTCTCCATGCCGGCCCATTGGGTGGCGGCGCTGGCGGTGGCGAGGGCGAGGAGGGTGAGGAGTTGGAAATGCATGGTGTTTTTGTGGGGGGGGTTGAGATTGGATTTGGAGGATGCTTTGGAGGATGCTTTGGTTTGATGGATGGTAGATTGATAGTGGGGAGGAGTCTATCTTTTATAATCGTTTCTCTATGTTAAAGGATTGCAGGATGTATAAATACTGCGGTATATTTCTACCACCACTTACTTAATGACAAATATTTCCGTTCACATTTAGGATCGTAACGAAGGATCATGCTGCCCTGCGAGGTTGCGGAAACTATCACCTACGTTGGTTGGCTATTGTTTCGCTGTGTAGGATTTTAATGAATGGTCCTACAGCCTTATGATGTTGAAGGACTGCTGCGTTTGTTGGTTGACTCATGTTCCACTCTGTAGGATTCTAATAAATGATCCTATTCTCTTGAGATGCTGAGAAAACAGCTTCGTTTGTTTGACTGGTGTTCCACTCGGACTGCAATATCCTAACGGAGAATCATAATGAAGGATCGTGCTGCCCTACAGAACTAAGAAAATTGCCGCATCTGTTGGTTGGCTCATACTCCTGGAGAAGCCGCTGCTGTAACTGTCTCGGCCAGGGGCATGTAGGACGATTTGGCTAGCCGAGTTAAATTATCACTTTGGCATGCAGTAAGCAAGCAAACGGGAAGAAGATCACCAAGCAATAGAGTACAGTATATAAAACAGGGAAATAAAATCAGTTGACTAAGATTCAGTAGGCAAGCAAACGGGGATAGGAGCACCAAGCAGTAGAGTATATAGAAAGGAAAAATAAAATCAATTGACTAACTATGAATATCTACTAGGCCTAAGCTGCTATTAATAAGGCCACGAGCTCAAACCTCGAGCTTTGCTAAGCTATATGTTAGATTTCTTATATGGCTACCTAGATTCGTATCAAGCTTACTGGATACGCCCAGCTGAACCCTCAGCTAGGTAGATCACTCCAACTCCGGCTATACGGCTAGACAGCTGGTGCCACGAAGGTTCGTATCAATAGGTCATATCCTAGCTCAGAAGCCTAGTGGTCTTTATGGCAGCCGGCTTGTACTAAAAGACGAGGCGGGCCACAAACAGCACGGCTTGAAAGCGGGCTTGGCACGTAGGAGCTGGATTCGCAACAGCTGCATGCTCTTGTAGGAGCCTCATGCTTGCTGATGTAGAGTAGTCCAACTTAAAAACACTTTATATTGGCTTCACGGCCACAATAGGCAGCCATACTTTGATATTTCACAGCCCTATGTATGTAGGATCGTATGTTTCATTTCATGTTGAAACAGGGTCGGCCAATCGGAGGGGCAGACGTTCCGTGCGGCTGAGATCTGCCGCTGATGGCACTGCGGGCACTAATCGTTTCACCGTACGGGTGGAACAGCTGAGATATCGGCTGGGTTAGCTTTGGTGTCTATCTCGGCACGGGTTGGGATACGGGACTTGGCACTCTCGGGGTCAAAGCCGATGCCTGCCGTGGCCTGCAGATAGTATCATATATCCAGTAGATAGTTTAGTTATTCAATTAGTGCCTTTCTTCATATTCTGCTTACATTATTGTATTTTTGTGCTCTTATTCAGGTTGTGATATTCTGTTCGCAACGGAAGTGAGAAATATATCTCGGCGTTAGTGACCGTATGATAATCCAGGGAGGAGTCCAGTTCTCACTTTCGCTCCGTACAGAATATCACAACCTGAATAAGAGCACTACGGTAGAATAAAGCAAGCAGTATAGCATCAATTGAATAGCAAAAGCGTCTATGCACGTGAAAAAACTCGGTAATTTTGGCTTGTAATTGTGAGATATTCTCGAGCTGAGACGGATTTATATATATGAAGTTATTCTCAGTAGAATTGCGCTATTTTTCTAAGCACATTTTCACTCTTCTTGCGCATAGGCAAGGGTAAACAAGCTAAATAAGGAAAAATTTGCGTAGGCTACGGTGATCCCGACACAAGAGACGTTGGATGCTTTGGTAGAGAGGTTGGGCCAGACAGGACTTAAGCAAGACTGGCGCCAACCGCGAAGCTCACGTCGTCGTTGAACGAAACCTTGGAATCAAATTCGAAAGGACCACCGTTACTTGCGATATAGATCACCGCGTTAAAATGGCGCCAATAGCGAGTGGGATAACTCCAGGATCGCAAAGCATTGTTGCTGGCACCGTTGAGGCCGGTCTGTGGGCAGAACGTGGCATCTTCAGCAAACTGTTTGCTGCCATCATTACCGTTCAGGACAATCGTGTACTGGGAGTGGCGCAGGAAGCTGCCAGGAGTGTCCTTGGATTCGAACGAGAAGCAGCCGCTGAAGCCGAGGCCAGTGCGAACTGTCCAGCTAGCCTGCTGTCTGAGGGCGTCAGGGCTTGAAGACGACACGGCTTGGATCTTGACGGTGGAGCCGGTATGGGTAATGTAGTCTCCAGTGCAGCAAGCTGTTGTAGCTCTCAGCGAGATAGAGGAGCCGACAGAGAGCGCTGGGCCACTGGTAAGAGACGTGGTAGCGTATCCAGCGGCTACGATATTAGCCTGTACTGCGTTCTCAGTAGCATCAGACGGATAACCGGTAGTCATGACACCTTCGTAGAACGTGCCTTGAGCCCAATTGCTATTATCGCCGCCAATGCCTAGAATAATAGCACCCTCTTTCTTCATTGGGTTGTAGCTACTGTCTGGGCGCGCGCCGTCGTAAAGGGTCGACAGCGAACCGGATGTGGCGTTACCGCCACGGATCGCCCAATGGTTGTTTGTGTTCCCCTTAACGACTGCAGTGACGAATCGGGAAGTCTGTGGCAGGTTGCCAGGGTTGCTGTTGCGGTCAGCGCCAGAGAACAGGCCGTTCTCCAGATCGGCCATGACCCAAGGGCCGTTGCCGGCACCACTACCACCGCCGGTGCCAAAGTAGACGGTCTCCATGTGGCCATTGCCAGTATCTTGACTGTTGGTCTCAGCATTGCCGTAATCGAAGCAGCAGGCCCCGTTATAGTGAGTCCCGTCAACGACTGCGTATATACCCTCTGCTGCGTCGCCAGTAGCTGTGCCACTGGCGGTGTTGCAGCGGTAGCCGGTGAAGGGTGAGATGAAGACGCCGTACGCCTTTTTACCGCCCAGGGTGACAGGTGCGCCATGGGCGCTAGCTAGGAAGTCAAAGCCATTGGCGTCCGGGCCGCTCGCTGCGCCTCCGGGAGGAGCCTGAGTAAGGTGATTACCCTTGCCGGATTGGTCGTAAATAATGCTGATAAGGCATGTAGTAGCAGCGCAGAACGAGTCTTGGGTAGCGGCATTGGCAACGCCACCGGCAGACAGAGGCTTAACGTCAGTCGTGGCACCGTCAGCATCGCGTTTCACCTGGTAGAGTGCGCCGTTGAAGGCGTCGTATAGTGCACGGGTGGTGCTGTGGGCAGCCACGCAGGGCGTGCCGCCAGTGGCGTAGATGTCGCAGGGCGCACCGTTAACACCCTTGGCAACAAGGCCTAGGGTGAGCCCGATAGCGTAGCCGAGGCATGGTCGTGACAACATGTCGACTATTTGGTGGGGTAATAGTGGGACAGGAAGGCTTCTAAACTGATTAACGAGAAGCTTAATCAAGCACCAAGGAAAGGAGCGACATCGTGGGGTTTTAAGCAACAAAGTGTTATGGGCTTATTCTCATGATCTTCACCTGACCCATCAAGCTTTATTCTTTATAAATTTAGTCTACAGGAGCAGGAATCGTCCCCTAGTAATAAATATGCACTCGAATGTAGATCTTATGCTGATTCTACCTATGCTAGGGTACAGTCGGACCGGCACAGGTAACTATGTCCGTGTCTCTCTAGCATTACACGAACAGGAACCACGAACAGAGACTCGTGATACTCATAAAACCAGCCTGTAGGAGGTAACGTTCCGTCAAACTCCAACCTTCCTTAGTATTTTGTTGTGCCCTCGTAGAGACGTAGGAATATGACCGAGTTGCCTGCGTCTAAGTCAAAGTGAATCTAAGTTGCATTCGTCGGGGGTCAGCACTAGGCGAAAGCTAAGCTATGTCCTGATGCATCTACACACAGAAGGGAAGGTCGCCGTTGTTTTAAACGGCTTCCGTGGAGAATATGCACCCACTACCGAGACCTTCTTACCCCCCCGGCCGGCACTAGATCAGCAGAGGTGCACTACCCCGCTCAACAGCATCCAACAGGCACGTTTATAAGAGACCGAGCAAGAGAAATACTCTATAGTATAGTAATTTTTTGCGCAGACTATGTTGACATCAGGCCCATAAATTAGAGCACCATAATTGATCCTTCCAACGTAATTTATCCTACCCCGCGATCCATCTGACGTAGTCTTACGGCCTCGACATAGCAATGCTTAACACCAGCCTCGCTATTTCCAGGATCCAAGCTAGCCTCGACCTATGGCGCAATATAGAATGCAACTCGGCCTATTTTCGCGTTTTAATTAACCCGAGGTCGACGCTTGAAGGACTGCATGCTATCTCGGAAAGGCTAAAAAGCAGGGATCAAATCGAGGTTATGGTTTTGCGAAGCGTTCATGTGCCACGGCGGGGCTCTAGATGCGACGAAGCCAAGGCGAAGGATCCGTTAGGTAGGATCATGATGTGCAGGCGTAACAGCGTGAAAGCGCAGCAGCCGATATTAAAAAGGGAGAGGCGGGGACAGACGATCGGGGAAGTAGACTAATCGAGAATTCTATGGTTTTTTGACAGGTATCTTAAAATGAAAATATGAGAGTGCTATTCGATATCCGCTTGCCGTGACAGACGTGCATTTTCCCTTTCGGGTCGGGTTTCCTTTTCAGGTTCGCGGTCCGGGGAAAGAAGGGGAAAGGAACGGAGAAGGAGAAGGGTAAGTAAGGAAGTTCCCCTGGCAAGGCACTATGTATACTGTATAGTTAGCAAACAAACTAACAGTCCACTCACTCCCCAATCTTTCCGTCTTTCCGCGCGAGTTGGGGGAGGGGGCGGTGGCGGGGGCGGGTACCTACCTATCTAACTACCTGCAGTTTACCGGTTTCAATAAACCAAGGGCGGGGAGGTGAGTTTGTTCGTTTCGACCCGTTTCTGTGTTGAGATCCTTCCTGGAGATGTTCCGGGATCTTGCATTTCCTTTTTTCTTTCCTTATTTCCCTCTGCTTTTCATTTTTTCTGGTTTGTGAGGGACAGGGCTGGGAGTGGGGGCACTGATGAGAGGGCTGTGTTTGTGGAGTTGGACGGGATTGGTAATATTAGACAGCAGTTCTATCTTCGTCGAGGGATATTCAAAGCAGGTGTTTCGAAGTTCAGCTTCATTTGTATGCACAACTAGTTCTCAACCCAACTTCTTCCACCGCGTCCTCTCCACGAGATAGACGGCTCCCAACGCCCTATAAAATGGTATCATAACCACACAAAAACACCTCCCAATGCCCTTAAAACAGTCGCTGGAACGCCCCTCCCCTTTCCCATCCCCTCACTCACTCCTCTCCCTCTCCCGCCAACACCTCAGCAATCCAATCCGCCTGCACCCCTGAACACTTCTTGGCATAATTCTTATTCGTAAAAACGTGTTCCAGAAACATGACTGCTTCCCTCTTCCGTCCAAACATAACGCTACTCGGATGCACAATCACCACGTGTTTACCCCTGACCGTTCTATACGCTCCGTCGGCGCCGAGGACGGCCGTGCGGCTCACAAACGCTTTCAAAAAGCACTTGAGCAGCTCTTCTCCGGCCTCTTCGGACATTGGAATAAATTCCCCCTCCGCCGCGTCATCGAGCTCGGAAATATCCGTGCTGCTGACCAGACCTGCGCTCACGCACGCTGAGCGAAGTTGTCGACGGACGGACATCCCCGTCTCCATATGCCTGGCATTCACACCCCGAACACCACACCACCTCTTCCTCTCCCCCGCCGCCTCGCGGACATACTTCTGCATCGTCGTGAGCTGTGTGAGGACGTCGCCTTCGCGCCTTAACAGGTCTTTACGCGCGTCTTCGGCCGCGAGACGTGCTTCTTCAGAGGTGGGCTGGATGAATATATCATCCCCACTCAACACCGCAATCGCGTCGATGGCGGCGAGGAGACAGGCGGGGGAGGTGCGCGAGGCTGCTACTAAGACGCGGGCGTAGTTCGGCGAAAGTGGAAACTGTGCCATTGTCCTTCCGGTCTCATTCAGCTCCCCTGTAGAAGAGAGGGCGCCAATGGTATTTAAATGTGTCAAGGCCTTCAGCATCGCGTCCCTTGGCGGGGGCGAGAGGAGGGGAAAGCTGAAAATATCGTCGATGCCTCTAGCTTTCATCTTCAGCACCGCCTCCACGACATCCGCGCGCAGAATCTCGGGGCGTTCAACGGAGCTGAGAGCGTTGTATTGTTCCTCGGTGTAGAGACGCCAGACTTTTCCAGGGGCTTCACGACCAGCACGACCGCGGCGTTGGATGGCGGAGGATTGCGAGATTGGTTTGGCGAGGAGAGATTGTAGGCCCAAGTGTGGGCGGTACTCCTTAACCTTCGCCTTCCCCGTATCAATGACGTAGCGTACACCTGGGACTGTAATAGAAGTCTCGGCGATGTTAGTAGCCAAAATGCACTTCCTCGCATTCTTAGCTAGCGGGCGCGCGAAAGCGAGTTGCTGCTTCTCGATACTCAATTGCCCAAACAGCGGCGTACATTCCAATCGCGGGAAGGACTTCACCAACTGCTCAGCCTGCGCGACGACGCGCGCGAGCAGAGATTCAATTTCATCCTGTCCGCTGAGGAAGACGAGGATGTCGCCTGGCATGGGCTCAGTAGTGTGGATGTGGAAGATCGTGCGGAAGGAGGCTTCGAGTAGGTCAGGGAGGGCGGCGGGGACGTAGAGGGTTGAGACGGGGTGTTGGCGGCCGGAGATGCGGTAGGTTATTGTGTTGTTTTTGCCCTTCAGATCGAAGATGTCGAGGGCGGGTTTTGAGGGGACGGCGACGGTGGTGTCGAGATTGTCGGCAGGTGAGGAGGTGGGAGTTGAGCTGGCGGGGGAAGCGGCGGCGGAAGCAGCGGAGGACGAGCTGCCTTTGATGGTGTCGCTGAGGCCGGACCAGGAGGAGTAGGAGGATGCTGAGGAGCGTCTTGATTCCGTGGCTGGGTGTCCTTCATCATCGTCGCCGTCTAAGATAGCTTCTGGTGGGGGAGAGGTTGTAGCAATCCACTCCTTGATGAGGCCTGTTGGCTTGACTCCATTCGTCTTGCGCTGTTTACCACCGCCATTTGTGGTTGCGGGCGCAGGAAGTGCTTCCGGAATCGTGAAATACTCCTGCAGCTTCTCGATATCTGCCGTCGCCGACATAATAACAACCTTCAATGGGATTCCACCTCTCCCGCTCAAATCTCCAGTAAGGATATTCTTCAAAAATCCCAGCAAAAGATCCACATCCACACTCCTCTCGTGAACCTCATCAACAACAACACAACTATACTTCCTCAGATGCCGATCCCGCAGCAGCTCCTGCAACAACATCCCCTCAGTAAGAAACTTAATCTTCGCTCCCTTCGGCACGTTTGACTCAAACCTCACCGCATACCCAACCCTATCCCTCTCATTACAATGCGGGCCCAAATACGACCCCGTCTCTACCGCCACTCTCTGCGCCAGCGAAATCGCAGCAACTCGTCGGGGTTCGGTAATCGCAATCATACCCCCCACAGCGACACTCTTGTCCTCCCCATCCTCCCCCTTGATGACCACGCTCTTGCGCACCATCCAAGGCTCATTCATCAGGAATTGAGGGACCTGTGTGGATTTTCCGCTTCCGGTTTCACCGGCGAGGAGCATAATGTTGCCTTTGTATCGGAGTCCGTATTTGATGTCGGGCCCCGACAGCCAGATGGGGAGCTTGCGTCGCTCTTGGAAGATCTTCTTTTCTTTCTCGTCGAGAAGGCGCTGGCTTGGGCGTAGGCTCCCTGCGGCGCCGTTGGCGAGACCGGTAGGTTTTTGTTTCTTGCCGAAGGGTGATGGTTTGGGGGCGTCGTTTGAAGTTGCAGATTCAGCTGCCGCAGCCTTCTTGATCCCATTTACTTGGGCTGTCGCGAGTTTCACTGCTCCCTCCGTTGATGTCTTCTTCCCTCCACTGACACTGCTAGAGGCCGGTGATGCTGGTTCCGCTAAAGAGATCTTCATCGCGCCATTTCCATTGACAGGAGATTCGGCAAATGAAGTCTTCTTCGCGCCATTCCCATTGACAGCAGGCTCCGCAAACGAAGTCTTCTTTGCGCCATTCCCATTGACAGCAGTAGGTTCAGCAAACGAAGTCTTTTTCGCCCCGTTCCCATTCACAGCCCCTCCCCCACCGTTATCCCCAAACGAAATCTTCTTCGCCCCATTCCCATTAACCGCGCCGTCCTCCCCCACCAACCGCCGCCTCTTCTCGTCCCCGCTATCCCCTACCCGTCCCTTCTCTCCATTCGCACCTATGCTCCTCTTCTTCAAATTCGGCTCTTGGAAAGATTCGGACATGTTTGCTATGGCAGTCTCGTAGCTGTCAGCCTTATCTTTTATCCTCAGTTTCACCCCTCGGATTTCGTCTCGTGTGTTTCGTCTCGTGTGTTTCGTCTCGCGTGGAGATGTCGAGGAAGTCGCGAGGGCGCTGTATATAAATTCGCCTTGCCGGAATTGGTAGGTGGGCGCAAATAGCAATCCACAAAAGCTTTCCGTCCCTTTGTGCGCGCAAAGGGTTTTGAAAGTGGAAAGCGTTTGGATGCTGCTGGATAGCTTGAGCGGGCTGCGAATTTATTAATTTTTTCGTGATAGGCGTTATCGTAGAAGTTGGGGTTCGCTTATCGGGATAGCGTTGTTCCTAGACCTAGATTGGTTGGAGAGCTTCTATCTCCAGGGAATACCTAGAAAGTGAATTTTGGTGGGGGGATTGGCGATATGTGCTGTAAAATAATGAATTAAATAAATTAAATTACATGTTTGGTCTGAGTGGCAGCCTTCGGCCCTGTTTTATGCCACCCACCCTAAAACCACCTCTAAAATCACGCGGCTATATATCGGCGCTTGTCGCTTGCCGGTCGTACCAAACTCCGACCCGCTTCTAGAACAACCACGGCTTCTTCGGGGTTATCATATGAGACACCGAGAGAACGATAAAATTTTGTGAAATGGGCTCTGGCGTGTAAAGCGTCCTATACTGAGAGACAGTTGTAGTCTACACGAGGAGAGGTAGATGGGATGAGCGAGAGTCCAGTAGGAGGCAAGTCGATGTTTTCGCCACCACTATACTTAAACCGACTATATGTGTATTCTTCACATACGACCATAGCCTTAAGAGAATTGGGCACCTTAAATACTTCGCATGTGATATAACATACAATGGAGTCTATTTGTCCTTATTTGTCACAAAACGCACGTCTGTGCTCAAGGAACACTGTGAACCGTAGAGCCACAGCTTACAAAGAATATATAGGCTCCCCCCTCAAGCTTTGAATTGCCCCTTCAATATAGTCTAGCCACGAGGCGAGCCACGAGGCGATTCAAAGGTTGAAGAGTTGGGCCGAGCCCTTAGCCAGAAGTGAACATGTCGGGTCAGAGGAGGAGGCATACAGCCTATTCTAATTCACAATGGGGGCGCCACTTCACCAAAGATCAATACCCTGCTTCCTAATTATCCAACCACACACAAACATTGGAAGGATTCCACAACCAACAACCATTATAGGCTGTCAGAGACGACAACCTAATACCGCCGCGTGGGTGGAGTGCCTGGCTTCCCCTATGGTGCGGAGAAGCGGGGGAATCCCCACTATTTGTTTCCATGCTTCCTTCTTCTGTAGAATCCCAGTTCGGCGACAGAAACCTGCGTAAAGGGTGTGCACAGCTTGCGGCAAAATAACACACTATTTGCTGATATTTGTGTACAGGCCCATACACGAACTTCTGTCGCTTACTGCATATACCCCGGCATGAGGTGTGGTGCCATTGGGGGCAGGAAAAGGAAGGACGCTTCATGGATAGGGATTGCGTGGATCGGCGTAAGACAAGAGGATCAATACATTTATCTGCCTCTATGCCTCTACGGCTAACGCACCGATAAGCCGGAGAGCTCGACCATTCACTACGTGCACGCAACTGGCCTTTTCGCTATATAATGGCACTTTCCTTGAAGTCTCGGTCAGTCCTGACCTTGGCTGAGAAAAGCGTTCATCGTTTCTTCCCTCTTATTTCTGCTTTCGTGGATACGCTTCAGTTTACTGCGGCTTCATCGGCAACACGTCCTCACCATGGCTATCGCTGTCGGTGCCGTCGGTTCATCGACCAAAAAACATGACCTAGCTGTCGCTCAGGCCAGCACCCCTCGCCTGGCCAAGGTGCAATGGTGGTCTGACCCTGGAATGCGCCAGTTGTACTTCTACGCTGCCATTCTTTGTGTCTGCTCTGCTACTACTGGTTACGATGGGTAAGCTGAGAATCGCATCAGGCTCAAAACGGGCAAAAGGAAGTATGATTAGAAGGTGACTAACTTTGACAGTTCTATGCTTAACGCCTCCCAAGTCATGGACAAATGGCAAGACTATTTCGGTCACCCTAAGGGTTCTAAACTCGGCATCCTCAACTCGATCTACCAGATTGGTAGTATTGCCAGTTTCCCCGTCGCGTAAGTGATAGATATGGCTATCCACGGCGACAACAGGCGAGAGATATATTTTTTCTGACACTGGTACTTTATAGACCGTTTATGGCGGATCACTTCGGCCGTAGAATCCCCATCGCTGTTGGTTGCATTATTATGATTGTCGGTGCTTTCCTCAGCGCCTTCACTAATGGATATGGAAGTATGTGATACATGACCCCTTTCCTAACAAGTTGATTAGTTAAATGGGCCTCGCATGGAGATGAGAACTAGAGCTTTGAATGAGCTAACATTTATAACCCTTTTTAGTGTACCTTGGTGGCCGTTTCCTCGTTGGCTTCGGGAATTCTCTGGCTCAACTATCCTGCCCCCTTCTACTGACTGAGATCTGCCATCCTCAGCATCGCGGTATCGTCACCGCCATCTATAACTGTCTCTGGAACTTGGGTTCATGTGGTAGGTGATGCTCTGTGAATGGCGGGTTCGCACCAAAGATTAAAGAAGCTGACTGCAGGAATCTAGTCTGCGCCTTTGTTGCTCTTGGCACCATCAACATCAAGAACGACTGGTCCTGGAGATCCATCACCCTCATCCAGGGCGTCCCCTCCCTTATCCAAATTGTTTGCATCTACTGGATCCCTGAGTCTCCCCGCTGGCTTATAGCCAAGGAGCAACCCGAAAAGGCTCTCGACATTCTTGCAAAGTTCCATGCTAATGGCGACCGCAACGACGCCACTGTCCAGTTTGAGTACCATGAGATGAAGGAAACTATTACCATGGAGTATCAGGCAAAGGCAAATAGCAGCTATCTTGACTTTTTCAAAACCCGTGGCAATCGTTACCGCCTCATGATCCTCGTCTCTCTTGGTATCATCTCCCAATACTCTGGTAATGCTCTAATCAGCAATTACGCCAATCTTATCTATGAGGGCGCTGGTATTAAGGACCAGGCTCAGAAGACTGGTATCAATGCCGGTGAGCAATTGCTCAAGCTTATGGTTGCCATTGGCTTCTCTATGGGTATTGATCGATTCGGTCGTCGTCCTCTCTTCTTGAGTGCCACTATAGGTAAGTTGCAACATCGTCTCGTCCTCAGCTTCCAGGATGATCCCGGGTCCACTAACCTTATGCAGGCATGTTTTTCTCTTTCCTTATCTGGACCATCATCGCTGCCCGTTTTGAGAACACTGGCGAGAAAGACATCAAAAACCTTGGCTACCCTCAGATCGCCTTCGTCTGGCTCTTTGACGTCTGCTACTCCGTCGCCTGGTCTGGTCTGCTCGTTGCCTATGCTCTTGAGATTCTGCCCTACAGACTCCGTGCTCGTGGTCTCATGATCATGAACTTTTTCATCCAGGTTGCTCTTACTATCGGCAACCAGACCAACCCCATTGCTCTGAACAACATGCCCAGAAAGTGGAACTTGTTCTGCTTCTACACAGTATGTCTTTCGTCTCCGAATCATAGACTTGCCATTGTATGACTAACGCGTTTTAACCCTCTAGGTCTGGATTGCCGTCGAGCTTGTCTTCGTCTACTTTTTCTACATTGAGACTAAGGGACCTACTCTAGAGGAGATCTCCCGAATTTTCGACGGAGATGATGCTATGGTCGCTCACGTTGATTACATCGACAATGAAAAGACCTCCCAGATCGAGACTGAGACCAAGGACGGCGACGGACGCAAGCAGGCTGCCTAATATCTGATCTTGATAGACAAGGCTCGATTATGAATCTGGCTGAATTGTGAGATCTGCTGTTCACAGGCTTACATACAAGGACGGTCAGAGGAGGTCAGGGCGGAGTCAACTATTCTACTATTCTATTCTCTAATACTTATAAGACTTATAATATACGTGTACAGCGAAAGCTACAACCTATTGTTGTATGTTTTAGCCATCAGTTTTTTGCTCTTCGCAATCGTTTTTGTGCCTGCTAGTATATATGTATGTTTAAATCAGGGGCGAGGTGATTGTTCCATTGACAGGAGAAAGTATGTTTAGGACGGATAACGGCGGGATGTGCCTATAGCAGAAGTTGTATGAGTCCAGCAAGGCGATGGCCGTGGCAGAGAGTAGGAGACATCCTATATTCGACAGCCTCACTGCCGCATTCGGTCAAACAGCCCTCTGGTGCATTAGGCTCTGGATAGTTTAACAATGTAGTGGTTTCCATCATAAGACTCGGTCAAAGAGTGTGTGTTGGCGATGCAAGTATGGCGCGGCTGCATACTATGCCATAGCAGACAGTGAACAACGCCGACCAATAATCTAAACATGAGGCTGCTTATAGTTGCCTGGTCTACTGTTCAGAGTCTCAGTAGATAGCCTTGTCGAGATGAGGATAGTAGGCTAAAATAAGGCGACGTGTAGTAACAAGTAGACGTGCATATAATAGATGGACCCCCTCTCTTCGTCACTTCAGGCCTCTATCAAAGCCACCTTTTCACTTATAAGAGACATTAGTAAGAGATCTTCCTTCCACACATAGAAATTGAAGCTATTCTAACATATAAAAGACCACAAATACCGCACCATGTGTCACTGGCAGAGAACAACCTACACCCTCTGCGGACATACTCTAAAAATCGTATCCTGGTACTGTCCAGAAGCCAAATCAAATGACTGGATTCCTCACCAGGTCGGTGAAAAGTACAACAGAGGGTTGACTGCGTCGAGAGTTATGAAGTATGGAGATGAGGAGGGGTATTGCCTTCAGTGTGTTCCGCCATATCCTACGCCGCCATCCACTTAGGTACGCTGTAACTTAAATATGTGTATGAGAGTTATTGTTCTTTGGAGTCTGTATGGCCGGGTCGTCGACTACGGACAGTGAGATGGGATTTCTATAATGAGTATCATGTAATGTAACTTTATCAGAGCAGGAGCAGGATTATCAGAGCCCCGGTATAAGTGCAGAACTTGGCAAATATTCCCCCTCGCACCTCTTCATCCCCCAAAACCAAAACCAAGGCACTTCATTATATATTGCCACCTTCAGCGCTCGTCCTACCCAGGCGACCACCGTGACTGAGATTACAAAATAAAATACGGAGAAAGTTAATTAATACTGTACACTTTTAAATTTACGCCTTTTACGCCTTGTACTCCAACTTTCGTGGCATTCAATCAGACGCCCAAACAACGACACACCACCAGCGGCCAAATTCCGCCCCCGACACAAATGATTTGAGAATACCCCTCTAACATTGCTGGGACAGCATAGGATATCAAAATGTTACACCTCTCTCGTCACCACTCGCAACTCCAGCTCCCTTCCTCTTGCAAACACATTGCATCCGAGCTGTGGTCGTCGACCTTCCTCGCCATCCATCAACTTCAACGTCTTACGCCATAGAAATGGCCACGAGTCAATCTGCTCTATCATGAGAACAGTGTCCCGCTTCTAATCCTGGACGCCATCGCTCCTTCTCTGTTCCGCCGTCGTACGAGAACAGCTGGCCATCGGAGCATCAATCAACCTACTCTTATCATGACAACACTTCCCCGCGCCTGATCCTGGACGCCATCGACGTGCCAGCTAGCCCATGGATGTTAGATCAAGGCGCGCCTGCCTGATTTGGTGTTTCCAATGGGTCACGATAACATCCTCGAGCTGGCCGAAGTGGTGTCGAGTACGGAGCCCAATGCAGGAAAAGGGAAGCTCTGGGTCACGATAACATCCCCAAGCTGGCCGTGGTGGTGTCGAGTACGGAGCCCAATGCAAGAAGAAAGGGATGCCCTGGTATATAGTACGGAGCCCAGCTTCAGAAAAAGGGATGCCCTGGTCTGGAGTACGGGGCCCAACTCAGGAAAATGGGATGCCGAGACGGGGACGAGCATGGGGAGCCGGGGGTATTTGATATGATGCTGAGAGATTAACATGCCTAGGAGTACACGATACGGTTTTTACGGCAGATACGGAAAGGACGGCGATGTGTCGATGACTTACCGGACGGACATGAAGTCCGCCGCCAATCCACTGCCAGTCCACAGCAATGCCAATCTTCCGCTGGTCCATTGCGGGAAGCTGGTGGGAGGTGGGAGGTGGTAGGTGGTAGCGCCTGCCGAGCTTATCTTAGGGAGTATTCGCGGAATGGAAAGGGCGATGGCTTACAATTTCATACTATAGTTCCGTGCAATCTATGCTTGTACTTCTGGTCCGACGACACACGACGTACTATATAGTCTACAACAAAACAGCATCTCTGTCTAGGAAATACGAGATACGAAGACTCAAAAGGTGGGATAATTAATCGACTTCAATTAACTAACAGTAACGGCAATTGATACATATCCATCAGCTGATACACATACCGAACCGTGTACTGAATACCACGGTGTTTGTTCCCGGTGTTTGTTTCCTTGTTCCTGCCCCGCATTGTGCCATTGTGCCATACTGAAAATGTGGAATTCCCGCGCCAACTAACTACGGAGCCCAAGAATTGGAGTACAATAATGAGTTTAAAATATGAACTCCAATTCTGGGCTCCGTATTAAAATGTTCGAGCTTACTCCATCGTACCATCAAAGGGCTCCACACCCGTCCCTTTCCCCAAAGAAGCCGCGACAACCACCACCATCACGCAATTGACCATCGGAATTGCTCCATGCCTACCAAGCCGTTAGTACACGGATTGTCACCAAACACATGGTATTTTTGTAGGTGAACAGTCAGAATGTGAGGAGAGGTTAGTGAGGGGTTGAGGGGTCAAAGGTAATTATAGGTGGTATTTATTATCTCATTCATACTGTTATTTCTCACCAGGCACATATATATAGTCTGTCGTGTGCCCCCCCTTATACTTCTTGATTTCTTGATTACTCTTTAACTACACGCTCTACTTCACTTTATATACCCAAAGCGTCCTTTTTTAGTCCTTTCAACATGGCACCAGCTCTCCTCGAGACCCTTCCCACGGCGCCCTACCAGAGCAAGAAGGCCGTTGATACTACCATCTTCCACGATGGCATCAAGACTTCCGGACAGCACCCTCCCCTCTATGACCAACTGAGGCCATACTCCGAATTCCCAAAGGTCTGCTCTGGTCCGTCGCTGTGGAAGCCAGAGGACTACAAAGACAACCCAGAGAAATGGGTCCACAGGTTCACTGCCGAGGAGATCGAAGAGCTCGGTTCTGTGGCAGACAAGTTCATCGCAGACGGCATTCCTCTAACTGGTATTTCAAAGGTATGTCGTCATCAGTTGTCAAAATAAGCCTTTCTAACAAATTGCAGAGCAACTTCGTTCTCCCAAAGCTCGGGAAGCTCCTGTCAGATGTTAAGCACGACCTTATTGAAGGCAAGGGATTCATACTCTTCAAAGGCATCCCAGTCCAAGTATGGGATAACCACAAGTGCGCGGCTGCATACATGGGACTCGGCACATACCTAGGCTACTTCATCAGCCAAAACTCCCGCGGTCATGTCCTGGGTCACGTCAAAGACGTCGGCGACGACGCCACGCAAACCGACAAAGTCCGCATCTACAGAACAAACGCTCGGTAAGTTTCTCTTTCATTCCCCATTCTGACGTTAAACTAACCCCAACAACAGCCAATTCTTCCACGTCGACGACTGCGACATCGTCGGCCTCCTCTGCATAGCCCGCGCCCTCGAAGGCGGCGAATCCGACCTCGCCTCCACCCAACACGTCTGGAACACCCTGCAGCGCGAGCGCCCCGACGTCGCCGAGACCCTCACAAAGCCCATCTGGTACTACGACCGCAAAGGCGAGACCTCCTTCGGCGAAGACGAGTACGTGCGCCAGCCGCTCTTCTACCTCGAGACCGGCTCCGACAACCCGCGCGTCTTCGCGAAAGCCGATCCCTACTTCGTCAAGTCTCTCAAGCGCTTCTCGGATATCGGGGAGATCCCGCCATTGTCGTCGGAGCAGCTGGAGGCGCTGCAGGTGCTGGAGGATACGTGCATGAGGCTTAGTTTGCATATGGTGCTTGAGCTGGGCGATATCCAGTTCTTGCATTCGGGACCCCATGTCTTTCACTCGCGCACGGCGTATAAGGATAACCTGCCCCCGCTCCCAAGACGCCACTTGATGCGTCTCTGGCTCGCTGTTCCCGAGAGCGAGGGAGGGTGGAAACTGCCCTTCCATGACTCGAATGAGAAGAAGCGTGGTGGGATCCAGGTTAATGATACACCGCCCGTCTGCCCGTTGGATGCGGAGTAAACGGCTCGCCCTTCCAAATGAAAATGAGAAGCATTCGCCTGGCGCGGTGCTGAAATTGGACGCGGAGTACTGTTGTACACGACTCTTTCGATTCTTACACACCTCGTCGCCCCCGCTCCCATCCCGCCACCGGCCTCACATAACAGCCCACATCAGATCAACGCCCCTCCCATACGGACTCCGGCCGATATGGACACCACGCCGCACTCTTATCACCACGCGCGTGGTATTCAGACAATATTCCCCGCCACGACCGCCGTCCCAGGGACACAACTGCGCGCAGCACGTGTGCGTGATTCGCGGCCCGCGGGCGGAGCATTCGAAGACGAGGGTAGAGCAGTTTGAGAAACCCATGTCAGGGGCGCAGGGGGTGGTGATCTCCATCCAGGTGTGGTGACAGGTTGGGGAGTGGAGGGTTTGGACTTGGCACATTGTTGTGGTGGGGTTGTATATATAATAGCTTGTGATGAATGATGATATTAATGATATTTTGAAATAAGGTTTCTGTCGAGTAGAATGGATGTGAGTGGGGGTGTCTAATGGTTTATTTTGTATACCGCGGCTGCTGTGAATCATGCGCGGTGTGTGTGAATTTGTTGGTGTATATTTGAATCATAGAAGAATACACTGAATCTCCTTCCCACATGCCACTATACAATACAGATTCAACCCCCCTTCTAAATGCTATCAACATATAATACACCCACCCCGCCCACGTCTAAGGTATCAATACACCCCCCTCATCTTCAAACCACCTCACTTCTTCCCTTCTCCTCCCTCTCCCCCCAACTCTCCTCCCTCACCCTCACCCTCCAATTCCCTCGTCGCCTTCATCAGTTCGTACAGCTGCCCTAGTTGCTGATCTATCCGCCCGCACATTAGCTTCCCGGCCATTCACATCACAGCGACCCCCAAAGGGACCGAGAAGACGTACCGCTCATCTTATCGATCTTGGCTTTGTCTAGGACCTCGCCTTGCCAGGAGGAACCTTCGAGTTTTTGGGCGTAGAGTTGCCATTCTGTTAGGAAGCCGATCTGTCCATTTTGTCAGCCGGTGCTCTCCCATTGTCCCATCTCCCATGTTCCGCCTCCCCCCTCTCTCCCTTCTCTCTCATCCCCATCCCAATCCTCAACTGCCATCCAATCCCCATTTCCCCAATTCAATCCCCCAAAATCGTACAACGGCAAAGGAAAATGTAGACGTACAATATGCATCGGATTCTCCACCTCCCTATGCGCCCTAAACTCCCCCTTAACATACTCATCCCCCAAAACCCTCATCTCCCTCGGCAAACACCTCCGATGCGCCCTCAACAGCCGTCTATACAACGGTATAGGCGGGAGCAGCGCGCTGGGTGGTGCGCGACCGGCTGGTTGTAAGGTTGCGGCGCGCGCGAGGAGGGGGCGGAGGGTGCGCATTGTGTTTTGTTTGTTTTGAGGACGTGGTGGGAGGTGGGTGAGAGGAGGTAGTGGTGATGCGGTTGATCCGAGGTTCATGGGTTTGGGGTTCGAGTTGATGTCAGCCTTGTGGCGAGGCTGTGGGGGGAGAGGGAAAAGTTGCGGGGATGACGGTGGGGGTGCGATGACAACGTTGGGGGGACATTGCGCAAGTGGTTGAAGGGATAATTATTATACGACTGAAACGACGGATCGATACGAATTGAAAGACAAATATTTGGGATTTAACTATATTCCCGAACCTCACCACACCGTCAACCACGCCGTCGCGCACGGCATAAGCGCAACCATGCTCGACACCCCAGACACTGCCCACGTCCCGTTTACACACATCTACGAACCAGCAGAGGACTCCTACCTCCTCCTCGACACGTTCTCCTCTCCCTCCCTCACTTCGCTCTTTCGGTCTCTCTTCCCCATCTCCCCCTCCACCTCGCCCTCACCCCTCATCCTCGAAATCGGCACCGGCTCCGGCGTCGTCCTCGCCTTCCTCACCGCACACGCCGAGACTATCTTCGGGCGCCCAGATGTCCTAGCATGGGGCGTGGATATAAATGAACACGCCTGTCGGGCGACGGGGGAGACTGTTGCTGTTGCGCTTCGTGAGGCGGGACAAGAAACCGGGGGGACGTACATCGGAAACAGCGTCGGGGACTTGACCAGCGCAGTGAAGTCAGGATCAATAGACGTCCTAGTCTTCAACCCCCCCTACGTCCCCACCCCCGACGTACCCGCCTTACAAGACGGAGATGGGGATAAAGAGGCCCCGAGCGACAGGGAGGCCGCGTATGAGCGGGAGAGTCGTCTACTGGCGCTCAGTTACGCGGGGGGGAAGGATGGGATGGAAGTCACGGACCGGTTGTTGGCGGAGATACCGAGGGTGTTGAGTCAGAGGGGGAGTGCGTTTGTGTTGTTGTGTGCGCAGAATAAGCCAGAAGATGTGATGAAGGGGGCGAGGGGGTGGGAAGGAGGGGGGAGGTGGGAGGCGGAGGTGGTAGGGAGCAGCGGGAAGAAGGGGGGGTGGGAGAAGTTGGTTGTGGTTAGGATATGGAGGGTTAGCGGGGGTGAATAGAATCGTGTTAAGTCGGCTTTGGATATGGGTCCACTGTGAAGTGTGCGTGTGGTGACCCGGAGTGGTAGGAAGGACGATTGCATTTCATATCTGCCAGTCCTCTCGCGCGTCGACTCATCCTTTCTTTTCCCTAATAACGCCAGAACAACATTGCCATGCACCCACTCCCAAAGGCCATACAGAACCCATCCCTCCCTATAATCCCCCTCCCCATCTCCAATACCCCACTTAGAACCCCCTCCCCCTTCCTCCCCCCCTTCCACCGCCCCCCCTGAAACCCCCACCCCGTCCCCCACCCCTCCCTCCCCTCGGTCCTCCGCGCCCACCCCTCGCACCCCCCTTATCAGCCACCTCCTTGCGTGCCTTGTTCTTCGGCTTCGGAGCGTCGTCGATGAGTAGCGTGTCCAGCGGCAGAGAGTCGGGGAGGATGTAGTACCGGATCGTGCTGCCGCGGAGGTTGATGGTGTCGAGGGCGACGGGATCGCGGCCGCGCGCGGTCATCTTCACGGTGCGGAGGGCGGTGTTCATTTGTGGGGAGACGGATGTGATGGTTCCGTGGATGATGGTGCCTGGTGGTGGTGTTAGTCGTGTGTCTGCGGGGAGTGAGGGGGGGGTGGTGTGGTGTGGTGCATTGTGTGGTGCGCGGTACATTTGGGGGACGGGGGGGCTTTACCATTCTTAAGCTCAATCGTCACCGTCTCGTTCGCGCACTTCATGAGGAATCTAGAACGGAGTTAGTATCTCTCTCCACAGGTCCTATCCAAGCTCAAGGCTACACCGAGCTTTCGCACGAGGAGCTCCGCAATTGGAGGAGGCGCGGCGTACCTAACGAGCTTCATCTTGACAGTGGTCTGTCGGTCGTGACAGAGCTATCGAGATGGTGAGTCGTGGTTGTGTGGGTCTGAGAGAAAGAGGCGCGTGCAATTTGTATGTCGTGCCGCCGCCTGGATTGTGCGAGGTTGAGGCTCTGATCGCGATCCTCGAACTTTTGGAGCTAGGCTTCGTGGACGCCTTGGATGTGAGGTGTCGACTTTAAGACGCAAGGCTACACGTGACTGTTTCCCCAAAACCCAGCCAGGTTGTAGGGATTTATGAAAGGTATGAACGGATTTGGATCGCAAAGGATGACGGATCTAGATTTATTGCCTGTTGAAGACCGAGACTATGTACTGTGTAACTGTGCAACTGACCGAGCTTCCATCACTATCGCGCCCAGGATATCTAATTCCAAACTCCCCAACGCACATCAGAACCCCCAGTAACCAACGAAACCAGCATCACACCTCCCTCCAGCTATTCCAGGCAACCCCCTATTTATCCTTCTCATTATCCGACACCCTCTCCCACTCATCCTCCGTACTAACATCACTCTTACTCCTCAACGGACTCTCCGCCAAATCCCTCTTCACCAACCCCTCCACCTCCTCCCTAACCTCCACCCCACTCCCCCCTTTCACCCCCACCACAGTTTGCGCATCTGTATCACTCTCACTGCTCTCCCCTATCGCCTCAGCCTCCTCCCTAGCCTTCTCCTTCTCCGCCGCATCATGCGCCAGCAGCTCAGCCACAAACCAGTTGATACCCCACCAGAGCGATCCGCACAGGACGGAGAGCACCACGAAGTGGATAGAGAAGGTCGCGATCAGGAGCCCGAGGAAGGTAACTTGTAGTGCCGCGAAGGAGACGTTCGTAGCGAGGAGGAGGGAGGATGTGGGGCCCGGAGTGAATATGGAGGTCATGAGGTCGGTGAAGAAGGTCGCCATGGCGGCGGGCGCGGTGGGTTGGTTGCGGGTGGCTGTTTCGCGGGTTGGGGGTGGTATATTAAAGGTTCGCGACGGTGCGTGGGAGGTGTGTTTTACTGTATCTCGTCTGCGCGGTAGTTGTCAGTAAATGTACTCTATGCGCGCTTCACTTCCATCTCAGGCACGCGGGCAACTCACCCAACTTCAGCGATGTCTCTGTCTCAAGAACGCTCAGAAAAACAGGATAGACGGTATCGCGGGTATCTAAAGCGTAGCAAAGCGACTTTATTATAAGGCGACACGCGTCAGCTGGTTAAGGACAGAGTGTGCAAACGTCGTCGTCGTTGGAGAAGGAGAGAGAGATATGTTGCGTTTCTTGATTTCCCTTGTTCCCGAATGCGATGATACCGCACGGCCCCGCCTGACTGATACCCCACCGTAGCAGCAACAACGCCTGCCTGTCCGCGCTCGTGTCGTGCCTAGCTCTCACTCACACCTCGGGGAATAATTGAGCCCCCCATCCATGTAACCCCGCCAGATCATTGGGTCGCGATTCACGCTCGGGGTTGGGTTTGGGCCATGACGCGCTGGTGGCTAGTACTTTTGTTGACTTTAGGCACTACAATAAGGACGGGAGTTGAACAAGGATATCTGGTTGTGTGAGCTGTGAAGTACATGTGTAAACAAAGAGTCACTCATTCATTCAATCATAGCCTGCCAAAAGAACCTCCTTGCGACGAAGGTGTTTCCCAATCAACAGCTATCGAAGCTACAATAACTATCGCCAGCAGCAAAAAAGTATTGCAATATGATCGACGATCGACCTCCCATCGACTCCCAGCAACGAACCAGCGCTCGCCCAATAACTTTCCCCCTTTAATGCAGCGATCTATCTCGCCACCACTGTTGCAAACACCTGGATTTGCCCATCCCAATAAAACCATATGTATATATGTGTCTCCAATGCTATTAATCGTCTCTGTCCTTAAAAAAACGCCCCCCCTTCCCAAAAGCCCGCTTCTTCGCAAACGTCTGCCTGAAATAGATAAAAACACAAACACCAGAAGAGGGCGGCACACCGCCCAGTGCCCGCCTTAAAGCCGCATATGCCTCGCCTTGAAAATGGCCACCTTGTCGTCATAGAAGAGGATCTCCCGCAGCCGTAGCGCAGTTCTGTTGCCCTCCGTATCCGAATCCACCTCTGAAGCGCCGTCGAACTCGTCACTGTCCTCAGAAAGCTCATACTCAGCGCCTTCCGTCTCGACAGCCTCCGTAGCCGTCCCGTCGTCATCATCTGCCTCGCTCTCGGCATCATCATCGTCCGCATCGCTTTCAGCATCCTCATCTTCCTCGTCTTCTGTCATCTGCTCCCCTAGCTCGCCGTGCGCTGTCACTGCCTCATCGCCTGAGTGTCTCTCGTCTCCGGGACGGTTCTCCAGGATCTCAAAACACTTGTTCGAGATGCCTAGGTAGCAGAGCTCAATCTCTGGCCGCAGGAATATCATGTCCACGACTTGCATCGCGAGCTCTTTCGGGTCATACGCAGGCGTGACGTGGTCGCCGATGAAAGGGATGTTCAAGGATCGTAACCCTGGGATGTTAGGAAGCCGGCGGAGAAAGAAATGCTGCGGAATCGTTAGCAAGAGTTTCAAGTTATTCAGGTTATAGGCTTACCCAGTCTCTATAGTCAATGGCGACGCTGAGTTCCTTGAGACTAGTCATATTCCCACTTGTAATATATGACAAAGCCTCATTGGACAGCATCCACGTTCTCCAGCGGGCGGTCTCACTCGATACGGATGGACCTCTTGGAATCCTATCAGAAGAATCGATGAGAAGTTTCTTCAAACTCTTCCGATGCCTTCTGAGAGGTCCCTTGTATATAGCATCAATGGTCACCGAGCTACTAGTCTTCTGGCGGCGATCTTGGAGAAACAGAACCTCCAGAGTATTCGGGGCGAGAGTATCCTTCAGGAACGAGATCAGCGACGGCGTTGCAATGTCTGTATGGATGTGCTTCAAATTTAACTGGTACTCCATGTGAGGGGTTGCTTTGGATGAGTTCGTGCCGAGCTGGGGCCGGAACTGGCGTCGCAGCATTCTCCAGAGACTCTCATGATATGCACAGTCCAGGATAGTAAGCGACTTGAGCGTCGTCCAGTCGAATGCTTTCTGCAAGACATATATTGACAGAGGTACGCGTTCGAGCTCAAGAACCTGCAACCGGAGCTTGCCTGTGAGCAATTTCCGTTTTGGTGGTCCAGACTCGTCGGCAGACTTCTCAGAAGCTGCGCCTTTCTTCGAGGGCCGCCTGTTCCCCGACGCGGGAACACCGTAGGGTTGCGATATGTTCAGCTGAGAGATCTCAACGGCGGGTGAAATGATGTTTGATGAAACCCCCAGATCTGCATCCCCAGCATCACTTATCAAAGGCTCCGTATCGGTTTTTGATGGGTCGCTTTCGTCCTCGACATGATGCGCTGGAAGAAGCTGAGCGCCCTCAATAAGTGCGTTTGTTGATGATATATCTTGGTCGACCATATCCATCAATTGGGAATGTTGCTCGATAGCAGCTTCTGAGGCAGCCGTACCCCCTAGATTAAGGGCCTCTATGCCATTAAGCATATCTGTTTGCCCGCCATCAGGTACTATCGTGGCTTCCGATTTAAGCGCGACTGGAGCCTTTGTGCTTCTGTGGATATCAAACACGCGCCCCATAATAACGCCTAGCACACCACCAAGCCTTAGATCCCCGATTTTACTTTGGGCACCAGGCCATGTTTGATCGTGGTCAACTTGGTGGAGGCCAACTGAATCCCAGGGCATAACGAACGGGCGCTCACATGCCTTTCGCGCTATGCCGACACGAAGCGCCTGTAGGCGATCCTTCGACCTCTCAATGAGAACACTCATCTCATCGAGATAAGAGACCTCGTCGATATCTAGCACACTCAGAGACTTCAAGGGCGGCAAGACGGAGAGCGTGGGATGCTCAACGGCATTGTGAAACGAGGCCGGCCTAGAGCTCACGAAGTGAGGGTTTAACGGATGCTGAATGTTGTCTTGAGGAAGCGGGATGCCTATAGACGTCACGATAGAGTTGGGAGGTATAACTGATCCACCAGGGGCAGTAAGGCTCGAGCCACCAGGCGGAGTGGGCTGGTCCAGGGAGTTATCATGCCATCGTACGAGGAACTTCTCCAGTCGGCATTCTCCAGGCTTATTATTTCGCTCCAGCGAGGAGAGGGATAAGAAGACATCCCTCAGAACTCCCGTCGGCATATCCCAGACGAATGTCTCCAGATTAACCATTCGGGCCACTGCCAAAGCCACCAGCGTCCCAAGCATCTTTCCGCTCTCTTTCGTTATCATATAGTCCTGCACCCAATCGGATGGCCCATTGCCCAGCGAAAACTTTCTCGTATACATAGAGTAGTTGTTCCCTATCCGCAACCTAGAGCCAGGAGGGGGCGGTGAACCTGACGCATCAGCATCTGACGGCTGTGGCTGTGGCTCTTGAGCTAAAGATAAAGGTTCGTATAGTCGGTGAGACATCACCAGAGTTGACAGACCATAAGTCAATGCATCAACTCCTGTCCTTGTATCAGATGTCGACGTAGCATCGGGCCATACGATGTCGAATCGGGAGTAGATGTGTGGTATCGCAAGGCAATGGAGAGCCGAGTGCGTGAGAGCCAGAGCCGTGAGGTCATTCGTATGTGTGATCTATAAGACAGCACACCGTTAGTACACATAGAGTATATGTTTTGATAAGGCGTTACATACCTCACTTACAATCTCCTTTAGCACATCTACAGGGAGATCCAGGAGCTTGAGCGGCCCTTGCCGCCGCGGAGCAGAAGGCCATTCGGGATCCCTTTTTTTCGGGGGTTTCGACACCGTCTTCCTAAATCCACTGTCGCCTTTTGGATTCTCTTCGACATGCCCGTTGTCTACCATGGCGAGAGGCAGCGCCGATCCCAGTGTGGGAGTAGCGGCCGGATCATTGGACGACGCTCCAGAGGTTGCAGCTTTTGAGTGGTGCGTATGTCCTGTATCGGACTCTGGGGTCACAGAGTCAGGATTGGAGGATGTATGTGCTTGCTCGTCGTTCATAATACAAATCTTGCCGGATGAGTCGATATCGCGTGTCGGCCTGGTTGGCCTTCCTTGCTCGGTCGGTAACTTAGATTCCAACGAGGCAAGAGCGATGGAACAAGGTCACAAGGGATAGATCGAGATTCAAAATACCGTAGAGTCGGCAGGAGAGGTCAATATCACCAATGAATAGACGGGGAATGTTGTAGACTGAATTTGTTTCTATGAGGCTGTAGACGCTTAGGTAAAGTGAGGTACCCAGTGGCCGTGAGCCGCAAGGCGGTTGTCAACTTTGTCCTCTAGCCAATCACATCACGCACGAACATTTGGAGCCTTTGGAGCCTCAGGCGCTATTATCTGGGGTAAACTTTAACTCACAACCAGAACACGCCAGTCCATATTGCCAACAAATATGATGTTAATATGAACGCGACCATATAGAACCGTACTGCTAGCATGTCAGTGTTCAGCAAAGGTATAGCAATGGTCCATGGGGTTGGCATCCTCTCCCAGAAGCAAACGAAGTTGTGAATTCCACAGTGTAAGTTTTTCAACTTGGAATATTTATGGGGGAAATTAATTTGATGGGTCCTTCTGAAGATATTAAACCAAACAAACTTACCAAGCTAAGCTCCGAAGTCGATCCTGTTATAAAAATAAACACACCCTTGAGTGTCACATTATGTCGTCTAAATGCATCCCTACCTTGGATCTCCATCTGACCACATGTGGCAGATAGATGAATCTCATCTCTTGCCCTATCACTCCGACTGACTTGGACTCCGACGCGAGCTTGGCTGAGAATCTCACCTAAGACGGCTGCACGGCTTCAACCTGGTCCTCTCTTTCTGTCCTGTAGAGGTAGGTGCTGACGGGCTGAAGAGGGGGGGGGAGCTATATCAAGAAGCATCCATGTTGCATCGGGGAGGGATCGCCTGTGCTCGACTCGATCATCTGCCGTCGCTATGAGAAGGATTCAAGACGAAGAGATTGGCCATCACATTGATTCTATTATCGTCACAATTTTGGCTTGTTTCGTTTCTAAATGATCGCTGACGGGGGTAGATGTGAGGGGTAGACGATGCCATCCATGTCTGATGGGTAGGGCAAATGTATTTTTGGAAGCAGCTCTATGACAAGCTGTCTGCACGGGCTCTGTGTGGATAAGAACGAAACGCAACCTGGTGGACCTGGGGGGGCGGGTTTTAGACGCGCTTCCCGGAATGTCAAGCGGCAAGATTGAGCTTTGGCGACAAGCCACTGCCGCTCCAAGTGGGCAAGATGTGAGAATTCTATTGTTGGTATGTACCGTGCACGCTATAACGAGCTAGAGATACTTGGGGCTATAAGCTAACTGCTTTATAGGTAGTGAGTGTCTCAGGGATGACAAATTTGGCAGCGCAATCTTAATCGCTGGTGCCGCACTACTGCAGAGTGACTGTCTGTCCAATCATTATTGACTACTGTTGCTAATTTTGGAATTTTAGGGTTGTTGCTCCTTCCTCCTCGTGAATTCTCGGGATTAACCTCGGAGCCGAAGGCCATCTACTGGGCCGCCATGGATGTTGTTGTTATTATTACATCTGTCAAAAACAATGTGGCATTCCATTCCTGGAGATCTCACTAGATGTTTCAGGAATCCTTGCGGGGAGAGTGGAATGGGACGGCTTGGATTGTTGTGGATTGTTGTGACGACTCGTCGATGTCTCGGCGGGACTCCCTGGTATTCCAGTGAAGAACAATGATACCACACTTCACCACGTGCATTTGGAGTATTCTTTTTGCCTGCCTTCTTGGGGCTCCCGTGCGTGCGGAGTTGCACAACAGAGCCGGCTTGTACTGTTTGCCCATCTCAACGCTGATCATTTGGAGAATTCCAAATTGGTGGGGGAGACCAGTCGGACTCCAACCCACATAACGCTAACCCCCTCTCGGATAGCCTTGTTGTTCCGTCATGTGAGTGGCAGGAAGTCTCTCCGCTGGACTCGGGATTCGGGTGAATCGAAACATATACCCTTTCTGGCAACAACTGCTGTTGGGGATCTACGGCGTCTCCGTCTTTTTTGTCTCCATCTTTCCCTGGCCCGTTTCGTGGTGTTGTCTCTCTATCTTTGGCGCGCATGATTGTCGTTATTGTTAGTCTAAGATAAGTTTTACCGCGCGCTGAACAGAGTCTAAGCCTCAGTGTAAGCGCCTGCGGCCTCTCTGACAATGGTCGTGGAGATGATTGGGGCATTCTTGGCACAGCCATGAAGAAAGCGTTATTCTGGAATGCTGTTGTACTCAGTGTGTCTAGGTGTGGCGCCTAAGATGTCGGTACGGAACGCAGCGGAGAGGGCGGCGGGGGGGCCAAGTGCATTATGCAGCACTGTACAATGCAAGCGAGAGAGTTATGCTCGAGGATAAACTAGGAGATGCAGGGGAGAGCAAGGGGTGGGGAGACAGGGGGTGAACAAGGCCTTGACGTTGCGGAATGTACTGAATTGCTGCGGTTCTCGTGTTCAAGCCAATCATAACCGAGAAGTGAGGTGCAAGGGGTGTGGCCCAAGACTCAGGGATTACGATCCTTCGACGACAAGGCATGTTGTTTTTGGTTGTGAGATTTAGTGGTGAACAGAACAGAGGTATTATTGCAGGAACCAGCCTGGGGCATGGTGCCTGAGTGCGCATTCGCCCGTTGCCAAGCCCTTCCTGCTCATCGCCAGTGGCACTCTAAATGGATTTCCGGGCTTGGTGAGAGAGATGCCTCGCCTGCATCTCTGCGGCCCTCGTGCAAGGCTCAAGGCTCTTCAGCACCGCGGAGATGCTAGATGAGGCTCGGGGGGAGTGGGCCTTCATACAACCGAAGTAACACGGCGGGGCCATCACGCTGTATATCCACAATTCGGCACCTGTTAGAATAGAGTGCGGACTCATCCATCGTGATGTGTCATGTCATCACCAGCGGCGCTGCTCGGACACTCACGTCGCCAAAACAGCCGCGCAACGTCTACCGGATAAGGAGATTAGACGGCATGTTCCTTGAATCTAGCACAGCAGGCAGCGCCACCAGGGGCTTCTTCTCGGTAGCATCTTACAGGGAACGAGGAAGTGGTGATGGCGTGTTGGTGGTGGATAGGAAGGGTCGGCGAGGCGAGGCGACACCAACCCGGCCATACCGTCTTCCTCCTAGTGCGCTTCAATAATAAACCTGGTGTGTCTCGAACGGGAATATGGGAAGGACATGGGGCACGCGCGCTAGAGAAACGGTGACCCTTACTGTGGAGTATAGTAGGTATTTTACTGTACCCACTGTACCTTGTGGGCTGCAGAAGAATCCACCATCACCCACTGCACCACCCACACTTTTGTGCCTAGCTCTGTCCTACACTGCTGGCATGCGTCGTGCTGGGTACCCCGGCCCAACCCTTCCAAATCCTCTGTCCAGTTCAGTCGCCGAGTACCCAGCACGTACTTCTTGCTCTACTTTGTGCCTCTTCAGACATGCAAATCCCTTCCATGGCTACTTCGTGGCTACTTCGCTTCTACTTTTTATGGCGTTGTGCTTGTTCACAAAAAAAAGTACGGAGACTGGGAGGGGGGTGGGTGAGAAGGGAGGGGGGCCAGAGGGTCTTGCTTCGTCCTATCTGACCCTGTCGACCTCCACTCAGAGCTGCAATGAACTTGAACTGGCTGGCATTAGAATGGCCTTGCACGACTCCACTACAACGTTCCCATGCCACTTCTCCGCTGACATTTTTACCCCCCATCCACATTTATTCTACTTAAGCCTTGCTAGCCCTGGACCTTCATCGAGGCGGAGGCGTTGTTGATATCCAAGAGCCTTGTAACTCCAGAGTTAAATCGAACCAGGGCACCAAAATAGCATTTCTTATTCTGAGACTCGATCTATCTTGAATCTCTTGGAACCTCTCCTCCTTCTCATCTTTCAACATATACATAGTATCCCGCCGGGTCCACTCTCGACTCTCATAAATACAATCTGCCCCCATCTGGACCGATCTCGCTCTCACCTCGACTCATCCTAGAACAATTGGCATCACTGACCACTTGGTCTTCACGTACGTGCAACCATAGCCATTCGTCATCTCTTGTCATCTTCTATACTTTTTCAAACTCTCCTCCATCTTCTCATGGAGCCTTATCCTCAGTTTCCTAGTCAGGAAGACTCACAAACGTCTAGATCTAGACCTCAAAGACAACTATCACTCGCCGAGTCGTCTGCCATAGCAATCCATAACCAAGCACCTTTATCATCATCCTCAGAATACGATCAGTCTACCCCGCAACAGTCCCCAGCATTCTCAGCAACTTCCTCGCCACCACTCTTTGCGCCGCTCCCCCTCGCATCTCAGAACACCACCTTGCAAGGCTGGTCATACATAGACCCCTCTCAGTCCTCACAAACACCGCTTCTACGTCTCGATCCAGCTCAAGACCAAGTTATCCCTCCGCCGTCGAGATCTAGCTACACGAGCGAAGGAGACCCCTTCTCCCAGAGCAGTATGACGTGAGTTGCCCAGACCCCCAATTGCTACGAGGCCACTGCTAACATTTCTAGTACTATGGGTGTTCAATACTATCCTCCATTCGACGCATCACTGAACCGTTCAGCTTATTCCTGGCCAGGTGAGTTTCTCTAGGAATGACCGTCACCAACTACACAGACTAACCTAACCCAGTGTTTGACCAAAGCACCAGCTACCAGGACGGATCTGGGCTGCTGGATCCCTTCGCCGAGCAGGCTATCGTCTCCAGTGATTCGCGGTCTATTTCGTCAAGCCCGCCCCAAGGCATGCTTACCACCGAGCAGCGCGAGCTGAAGCGCCAAAGAGATCAGGCGCGGAGAGATTCAAAGGCACAGATCAGGCGGGACAGGTCATCAAGCAACTCATACCACCCATCTCTCTCAACTACGCCAGACATCCTTCCCAGGACTCTCACAGGCTATTCTCAACCCACGACCTCAGCATCAATCTCTTCCATCAACCTACCACTACAACAGCCATACATGAGCCCTCCCCAAATCCCGAGCACTCAATCACCAGAACTATACCAGGCCCCGTACCCAATGTAAGTAACACCTGTCTATGAAGGAATTGGACCGACAACTAACACAACGGCAGCATTAGCAACGACTTTTCAGGTGGATACCTTATGCCATACACCACCGCACCAGGCGAACCATCTATCCCTTCTCTCAGCTCCCGCCCAGTCACCATGCCCCCCATGACTTCAGGCCCGGAAATGCAATTCTACTACGGCAACCAGCAGCAGGCGAATGCTCCACAAGAGTCCCCCGACACTGTGCGCGTGGTGCACTCGCGCCCGAAACCACAGTGTTGGGACCACGACTGCAACGGCCGCAAGTTCTCGACCTTCAGCAACCTGCTACGCCACCAACGTGAGAAGTCCGGCATGGCCAACAAACCCACCTGCAACAAGTGCGGCGCGGAATTCACGCGCACGACGGCACGCAACGGGCACATGGCGCACGAGAAGTGCAAGCAACGACGCAACTCATAGTCGGTTAGCCAGCCAGCTGCTTAATACAAGCGCCGCGGGGGCGGCGAAACTAAACTATCATCTTCGTGTACATATTTTACGAAAAGCTACGAGGCTTAATTGGACAGTTCCTAGAGTAGGAGGGTGGGCGGTCATGGATGTTGGAAACCGAGCGCGGCTTGCCTTGCAGCCAGCGCTACGTGTATATGGATAGAGAGAGTGGAGGCTGTCTGTTGGAAACAGCCTCGTGCGTGCGTACTGGGCACTACCTCAGATTGGCATTCTTGGAATGGGCACACCCTCATCTCCCACACTCGCTTTAGCATTTAGAAATTTAGCTAGCCAACAGAGCTGCAGACCCAAAAAATCAAACAAAACTGATACCCGGTAAAATCTCGCAGCAAACAAAAAAATCGTGCATATGGGGGGATCAAACAACAGTGAATTAGTTACAGCGGCGTTGTCCGGACCCCCCTTACTTCCAACAACTGACTGCACCTCAAGAGCCCAAACACCAAAAAAGCGTATCCCCATACCCCGGTTCGTTGGTGAGCCGTTCGAACCCACCTATACTACTAACTGGCCAGAAGTGGCTGCCTAGTTGGTGCATAGTTAGTTAGTGCATGGTTGGTGCATGGCGAATGCGACCTCACCGTAACCTTACGCACTGTACCCTGCGCTATCTCCAGTCACGTAAGCAACCATCAGCAAAGCAAACCAAATAAGCAAGTAAGGAGAGTCTGCCAGCCAAGAAAAACCCACTTGAAATACTAAACTGGTGAAATAGAATGTCCCAATTAAGGGTAACCTTCTCACTGGCGGGATTGAGAATCCGGAAAGATGCGCAATTTGCGCTGATCGTCTACCCGTTTGCGTGTAATTCCGATCGCTGGCTCTCCTCTCCACACATTTGCGTGCGATTAATCGTATTGGCCTGTCACGCGTTTGCGTGCAACTCACCCCGAAGACAAGCCGCCTTCAATACCCCAGACTCGATCATCGCTCCACGGGGCTCAGGGACGAGCTGAGTCAGGTGATTCCTGTGCTTGTCTAACCAACACCACGCCGGGTAAGGCAAGTTCGCCAGCGACCAGGTAGCACAACCTCTGTGTCTCTGAATAAAAGCCCCCAACGGACTCATCTGCGTGGAATGAGACGGCGAAGACATTCTGTACGCTCCATTGCACCACGGTAAGTAAACCCGTGCACCGCGACCGGAACCCCCGAATCCTCCCCCCCTACCCCACTATTCACTAGGACACCGAAAGACGACAGATAGACAAGGCTCCAGGCACTCCAGCTCCAGAACACATGCCAAGCACCAAGCAATCCCGCGCGCACGCACCAGCTGCAGCCCCAGAGATAAAGGCCCGAAAACAAAACCGCTCTTTTTCCCAGTTTTCCCGTTTAGCCGCGGAATTCTCGCGACAGATGGCGGCGCCCCTCGCGTCAGCGATAATAGATTGCGGATGTGAGGGGACGGCCAAGACCCCGTACGGCCGCGAAAACACCCGCGGATCCGAACCGCAGTAGACGCGGCTGGGCCGTGCCCCTCGCTAGGGGGGTGGTTTGTACTGTACCGTACCTGGACTCGCCTGGAACTTCCCGCTCCCCCCTTCCCCCCGCCGCTGCCGCCGCTCCGCCACGCATCTGGTCAGCATCATAACTCAAAATACACACGCGCGGCGGCAATGGTCGCTGCGCCTCGTTTTTGAGTTTGAGAGGTGTGTCGTGAAACTATATGCAGCGTTTAAGGGCCAGTGGGTGTGATGCTCAGCCGCGAGCGCGATTGGCGCCATGTATCGGATTGTATTTTGTATGTGTGTGTGGGAGGTGCTATTTTCGGATGTGTGCAGATGATGGGTGCGACTGTGGCGGCCGGGGGCTACGGGATTGAGAGTGTTGCGCACGATCGCCCACGCGCAGCGTCGATCGTGGAGGGGAAGAATGGAGGTCTCGGTTGTACATCTGGCGGCCGGGCGGCGCACGGCGGTATTTGCAGTGAGATTGGATTCCATCGGGCGCGGTGAGGATCGGTTTTTGCGATTGTGTTCGCCGAGATCCTGTGCTCTACAACACAGCAGCTTGCGTGAATGTGAACAGGAGACCGGACCGTTGACCATCTCAGGTAAAGAGACAGTCAGCATTACGATACTACAACAGCTATTCGTCGCTGCTACGTTTGACAGAGATGCATCCGCCTTTGCGCTGTGGCACCAACATTCTCGATCGCATTTCCTGAATCAAACTCCGCTCCGCGCCTCTCCGCAACCCAGTTGGCTGGTCCCCCCGCACCCGTCGGCCGACAGCTCTCGTACAACATGACACGGCGAGCAAGCCACGGGGTGAAGAGCGGCGGACATTAAATTCCTGGCGGGCGTAACCACCCATCATCAGCGCCCGAGACATCGTCACACTTCAAAGAGAAGAGTACTGTACTGTACATGCCACTCGGAAGTACACCGACAGCAGCCAAGAACCATCCTAGCAACCCAGCAACCACCCACAAGCCCAACCGCGTGGCGCGACCCCCTTTCCCTTGGTTGTCTTGTCGCTCTAACCTTCTCTCGGATACAATCTCAGCCGCGACAGCCATCCCATGCGACCCTGGTACAAAATGTCTCGCAAAGATATTTAGCGTCCAAGATCGTCACCAGGGGAGTGGAGAGCGGGGGACCTTCCTGCCTCTCCCCCCTCTAGGCATCGAACTGTCGAAAATTGGGGCTTGCGCTAGGGCGCGCCATTTTCTCCGCCGTGTCCTATATTGCATAATGATTTGAGTTTCAGAGATGCCGAATCCCGGATATCACATGGTTTTTATCGGGTTCCCAATCGAGTAACCGGTGCTCGTCTTTTCTTGACCGGTTTCTCCCCTGTCCTGGCTGCTGCTGCAAATTACACTTGGCAGCTAGGGTGCTGACGTAAGGTTTTCATGCAGTTACATGTATGGATGGCTCAAGTCAGTGCGTGCGCTGTCGGCGTCTTGGTGGGTGGTTTGTGCGCTGTAGGATTCAAGGTGGATACTTGCACCTGAGCTGTATCAGGAAGGAGCATCTGCACGGATTATCCGCGCATGCCCTACAAAAGCATATAGGAGCATTCATGTTGTTCTCAAAAGGCCGGCCACATCGCCCAGCAATTGCCAGCGACGAGCTGAAGCAGCGGGCATCCTCAGCAGCACTTTCCATTGGCAGCACGATGCCAAAGACGCCTTAGGATTTGACATAAAACAGCGCAAAACTCTTCTCTCCATAGCCAGTCGTTCCCTCGCAGCCTGTCACATGGAGATATGCAGTCTGTAAACTCCGGTTCCATGCATGGTACTATATCACCTCTCCCCTGCGCTCCAAGCGTCATCGTTCGTTCGTCAGTTTGTGTCTCCACCGTTTCCGCTGGAGCATCTGGGCCGTGTCCTCCCTGTCCGACGACGCCACTTTTTGGCCCCCACCCTCTCCACCCTCCCCACCCACCCCACACGGACTAGGTGCTATTGGTGTGGTGGCCCATAGAGGTCTGGTGTTATTGAGTGATTTGCTGGGCGTGGTGAAGAGCATTTGACATGGAGTGCTAGAGTCAACTTCCGCTATCACACTAGGATGGCCTCCCTTCATTCCGCCTTTCAAACCCTGGCGACGACAACGATAACCACAACCTAACAACAACGCCGATGAATCCCCTTTTCACACCCTGGACAGGTGCAGAAATTCCCCTTCCAGCCCGCACCAGCAAGCCACGTGCACCCTGGTGGTGCCACGACTGCAACCCCTCTAGATTTTTGGCCCCCAAGTCACGCAAATAGATGCTAGTGCTGACATCGACAACGATCAAGCTGCATGCACTGAATCGTAGGGTAGGACCGCGATGCCGTCCTTCCCTCTCACTGCTGAGTGATCAGGAGGGCCGGCAGTTATGGAAGCGTTGTTATTGTGCTCTTGCTGTTCAGTATCTAATTCCTCGTCCTCTAATTCGCCTCTAAGACAGGATCCTCAGGGCAGGGAAGCTTGTCCTGTGCGCCCAATCCGTTCCCTTCCTGTGGCCTAGATATCACCATCACCACCATCATAGTATTGACGAACTCCACCAAATTTCTCACTTCCGCTCCTGCCGCCACTTCCCGCCTTCCCGTCTCAAATCAATCCACTCCCCAACCCCCGCCCACCCGATCACCCGCAGCCCATCTTAACCCTCATCTCATCCGATGAACCGCACCCCGCATCCTTCGGTCTAGCCCAGCAGCCACAAAAACGCCCGCGAAAACGCCCTCAAAACGCCCTCGATATGCGTTCCTTCAGCCCTATAAACATTCATGAATACGAGCGCATGTTTCACAATCAACCCTAATCAGCCTGCATCACCTCCTCCTCCCTTCCTCCTCCTGCGGTCTCCCATCCAGTGCCTCACAGCTATACGTCATACCCACCCTCTCAGCCCTATCGGCCAACTCTCCCAATCCAGCTTGTCCTCCGGCGCTGTACAACATCATAAGCGCGACCCCTACGTCGCTCTGCCGTACGAGAATCTTAAACTGTGCTCCCAGCTATCCGTTCATTTTCAACCAAGGACTCCCTCCCGACATCCACGCGGATGCGTGAAAACCCCAGCGACGTAGCCCCCTCCTTTCCCTTCAACCCCCGACCGTGCATGACCTCCCCATGCACGCGCAGATGTGGCAGTATGCCTAATCCGCGGAGCCGCATCTATAGGCCCAGAACGTAGCTTGGATACGAGGACGAGCTTCCTTCGCGGGCAGGGGGTGTTGTTACCTTGGGGGCTAAGCAGCTACGCATGTGCATATGCTGCCATACGAAGGCGACCACAGTGCGACCTGAGCCGTCCACTTCCAAGGCACGGAGATAATTCGAGTCCGTGAAGGCAGCTGCTCAAGGGTCCAGCTGTTTATGCAGATACAGATTCACATCACGTCCCCGATCTGTCGGGGCCGCACGACAGCGACATGCTGCATACGTAGGGTATGATACGAGGAGGAGAAATTGCTTTGTTTCTATCATGCCCTGCTGTCATATCCGCCTTATTTCCTATTCGGGCATGTATATAGAGTACGGTATCATCCGCAGCTCTCCTGATCCCCTGCGTGGCGTCCCTCAACGTTGAGCCGGGCCGATAAGCATTGCATATAGCAAAGGTATTGTACTGTACAGTACGGTACCTCTTGTCTCGATCCTTCGCATCGCCAGTTTTGGCCCGGCACCTCGTATGCCTGGGTGGAGACACCCCGCCCCCCCAACCGCCCCAACCGCCGTTATTCAGCCTCCTTGTCTCCCTGGAGCACCCCAACCTCCCCCTCAGCCCTACTGTCTGCATCTCCATCCCGGATGCGCAGAATGTCCTCGATCCTGCGCCTCCGCTCCTCGTCCTCGGCGCTCGCGGAGTCGCCAAACACGCCATCCATCTCTTCGAGGGTCTTGCCGTTCGTCTCGCGCACGAAGAAGAATGCCCATATCCCTGATAGCACGCAGAAGATGGCGAAGAAGAGATAGGCGCCCCATTCCGTGTTCTGCACCAGCGGTGGCGTGATGAGTCCGATGATGAAGTTATTACTGCGTGCACGATTAGTGATCTGGCTGGTTTTGGGGGGGATTATCTGATGAGGTGAACTTACAACCAGTTGGAGCAGACGGATAATGCGACTCCTTTTGCTCGCAGCGAGCTGGGGAAGATCTCCGATGGCATGGCCCAGGGTACGGGTCCCCAAGTAGCCCCAAATGCGAGCATGTAGAACAGTAGGAATGCAACTGATGTCCAGCCTGAATTGCGGTGATGCGTCCAGTCTTTGCCAAAGACGCCGACGAGCGCGGCAATGATGATGTGGGAGACTGACATCAGTACGCTTCCCCATACCAGGAGCGGCTTGCGACCGACGCGGTCCATTGTGTAGAGACTGGATGCCACGCCGACGAGCTGGCAGATATTGAGGACACCGGACATGATGAGCTGCATATCGTACTCGAGGCCCATAGTTTTGAACAAAGTCGGGCTGTAATAAACCATTGCGTTGACACCCACGAATTGTTGAAAGAACATGAGGCCCGTACCGACGTGAGTACGCTTGATACACCCGGGTCTGAGGCAGTCGAGCCAGGACACGAGCTCCAACTTGATCCGGTTGAGACGCGTCGGCTCAGCGTGGAGCGTTGGGTGGCGCTCAGCGCTAATTTCTTGGTGGCACATCACCTCGGCCCTGATCTCCGTCCATTCTCTCAGGACGAGGGCATTGTCGGGTGGTAGCTGGCGCAGTTTGGACAGCGAGTCCAATGCCTCTTCGTGGCGCCCCTTAGATATGAGCCAACGCGGGGAGAATGGCAGTGCAAGCACTCCACAGCCCAAGACGACGCCTGGAATGATCTGGAGGAGGAACGGGAGGCGCCATGACCATTCACCGGGTATGAATCTTGTGCCGTAGGTAATCCAAAATGCGACCACAATTCCACCCACGATTGCTAACTCCTCGAGCACGAGTAGGGTTCCTCGAATCTCCGGAGGGCTAATCTCTGAGATGTAGAGCGGCACGACCATGGAAAGCATGCCAATCCCGACTCCACCGATCAGTCTCGCGACGACGAGCATGGCATATCCATTCGAAGCAGTCTGCAGTATGCTTCCGACGAGGAAGATCACAACCGCTACCATGATGGAGTATTTTCTCGATATCTTGTCCGCAATCCATCCCTGGTTCATGGCTCCGATGAGCGCGCCAAGTTCGATCATGGCGGTCAACAGGCCCTTCCAGAACCCGGCTCCTCCTGCGGTATCCGAGACGCGTGGGAACTCCGAGAGGAATTGCTCCATGACGAGGATGACGGACACGACGCCCTGGTCGTAGCCGAAGAGGAGGCCGCCCATGGCGGAGAACGAGGCGCATGCGAGGACATATGGGGATCCGAGGATGCCGGCGAAGCCCGATTTACTGCATGGCTGCTGTCAGGGGTTGGTCGCGGGAAAGAGTCTATGGCAGACTTACACATATTGTTCGCGAGGTACGATCTGTTTTTCAAGCTGGGCTTCGTATTTGGTGGTTTTATCTTGAGTAGGGTATCCATTGGTCGATGGGATATCAACCTCTTCGACGGGCATACCGCTTTGCACCATCGTTGACTAGGCCTTGGGCTCTCGTGATACAGCAAACGACGTCAATCATGGATTCTCTCTCTTCTTATATTTTTTGCTTGTCTTCTTCCGTACAACTAAAACACTCTGGCTTGGCTTGGGAACGAGGTAGTCTGACGGGGAAGGAATAGAATAGGTGTATAAGAGAAGACGAGGAAAGAGCTGTTACTTAGATTGTTATTACCTACCACGACCTTTGGTGTTGGATTGGTTTTGCTTCCCCACACTCTGATTTTCCCACTCTTTACACGTCTTTTGCTCCTCATAGGAGGGCGATCCTAATATGTGGGACTGTCTAGATTTTTTTGGAGGGGGACACACCAAAACGTCACGGGACTGACGTAAGAAAAAGGGGCAAAATAGATCCATCATCGATTTTTGGCTTACTCAGTAGACTTGGCCCATTTGGCTCCATAGGGCATTGAAGAAGTGACACTCATGATAATAAGTAAAGAAAGAAAGCGACTTGCATAATGGACATAAATACAGTATGCTGTACTGCACTGGAGCAAGTCCCATCTTCCCTTTGACGAAGAACGATGAGACAATGTTTTTGTGGACTGGTTCAATTCGCGGCAGATAGAAAATTTATGTCCGGAAGTCATGTGACTTCGTAATAGTTTCGCGATTTCCCAACTGGGGACTACAAGCACTAGCGTGTTTAGACAACGTGACGCAACACAACCCCGCGATACAGCGACTGTGCGAAATATGATACCCAGAGAGTTATAATTATCATGAAATACCTCCCGTGAGGAGGCACCAACTTCAAATATGGCGCAAATGGGCGTCAAGGCGCGTCAAAGACAGGTTTTCAACTCCGTCTTCGAGAAATACACTGTCGCTGTCTCTGAGCCCACTCCCAAGTCGACGCCAAACACCGGATTCACGGCGCCTGGACAGCCATTTGGAGGATTTAGAGGGACGGGGAATCAGCATCTTGTGACCCGTAGTGCGGATTATCAACCTCCATCCGATACCCGGTCGGACTCGTCACGACATGTCCAGGACCAGGTCACTTGGGACAGATCATGGCACGTAGTGACCAGCTGGCTATCATTCCAGGATGAACCCTTCAGTCCTTATGGACAAGAGATTCATAGCGCGGAGAAGGCGTCGCCTCCATTGAAATACGGAACGGCTTTACTGGATGTCTTGACGCCGGAAACCCGCCTGCCATATGCGGCGCATCATGAAGACCTTGTGAAATGGTTGTCCCAAAGTATGCGGTCTCATTTTTTCCGGACGGTGCAGCCATGGCTTGAGAATGCTGTTACTGGGTTTGGCCATGAAGAGCTGCTGCAGCGTACGCTGCAGGTTTTGGTGCAAGCTCAAAGTTTGTACCTGGATAAGGTGACTGAAATAGAGAAGACATTGAGCCACCGGAGCTCCTCCTTACCGGAATCATTTAAAGGCGGATTTCATCGTGACTTCCAGGCTCTGGTGAGGAAATCTGTGCCCGATTCTGTCTGGGAGACCGTTGAGTGGTATGTGAATCGAGAGATCCCTATCGTTCTCGCTGTTCCTCGCGTTGTGGACGGCACCCGGGTATCTCCAGACAAGATGGAACAAGAAGATGCCAGGACGAAGCTTCTGGCGCTTGCACAGGCATTGCATAATGTCGGCTTAGGGGGCGAGAAGTTCCAGATCATGTTCGCCGAGGCCATGAATACTAGCATGTCTACATACGTTTATGGCACTTACCAGCGTGTATGGAAAGATGAGCCATCCCCGCCAACTCTCGCGGAAGTTACAAAACGGAGAAAGTCTCAGCACTTCAGGAGCTCACTCGTTGGCCCCTCATCGCTCTCCACCGAGGAAGAGCCCCTAGTACCGAGAGTGGTGAACCACTCAAAGCCATCCAGATGTGTTACAGATCTCTGTGCCTGGACAGAGAACGAGTACGCTCGACTAGCTGTCGAGATATTGAGTCAATTAGACTCCACCGAAGTCGCATATAGCGACCTGGAAAAGTGGAAAGAAATGGCTATTGGACGCCTCGCAAGCCTCCGAACTTCAGAGTTATTCGACATTGTTGTCCATTGGCCCAATGGCGGCGGAGCAATTGACGACCTCAGAACCGCTATTACTACGCCACAGCGTCGCCTGCAGTTAACTGAGGCCTTTACTGTGGAGCTTAAGGAGCGACTGCTACACCCTGGGAAGTCAACCCTGGAGATTTTGAGAACATATATTGCTATGATATGCTCCTTCCACGCGCTGGACCATTCAAAGGTTCTCCTTGATCGTGTCGCCTACCCGTTACAAGTTTATCTGTGTTCGCGGGAAGACACCGTGAGGATTATCATTACTGGTTTGCTGGCTGATAAGGATGTTGAAAAGGGCAAACCCAGCAGCTCTAATGGAGACAAGCTTGTTGAGCTGGCATATTTGCTTAACAGCGGCGTTGATAGTACACAGGGCCCTGACGATGATATGGATTGGAATGATATGGAATGGGTTCCAGATCCAGTGGATGCTGGCCCTGGATATAAACGCCGAAAGAATGTTGACATTATTGGAACATTGATTGGTGTACTCGGCTCCCAAGATGTCTTCATCAAGGAGTTCCAGAGTATCATCGGGGACAATCTCCTCAAGAACGACGGAGATTTCGACCGAGAGGTAAGTCCATACAAACCTGCGTATCTTCCCATCTAACACCCCCCAGATCAAAGTCCTCGAACTCCTCAAAACCCGCTTCGGCGAATCCAGCCTCCAAAGCTGCGAAGTAATGATAAAAGATATCCAAGACTCTCGACGCCTCAACAGCGCCATCCGGCGCGCCCAAAAACTCGACCCCAGCGCCGAAGAAATCACCACCGCAAGCCTGCACACCCTCCGCACCGCCCAAGACGACATGAGTCCCGAAGGCCTCCTCAAGCCCTCCCTCCACGCCAAAATCCTCTCCCGCCTCTTCTGGCCCCAGCTCCAGGACGAGACTTACAAAGTCCCCGACCCTATCGCACACCTCCAGCAGCGCTACGAGGCGGGTTTCGAGTCTCTCAAGAACGCAAGAAAGCTGGCGTGGTTGCATGCTCTGGGTCACGCGACGGTGGATATCGAACTCGAAGACCGCACTATCACGGAGGTGGTCCACACTTACCAGGCTGCCGTCATCTGGGCCTTCCAGGGCGCGCCGCAGGGTGCTGAACCGGTCTCGAGGAGCTTCGAATACCTCGCTGAGCACCTCCAAATGGACGACGGGCTCCTGCGCTCTGCGCTTGCCTTCTGGGTCGGCAAAATGGTCCTCCACTCTCCCCGCCCCGACGAGTTCGCCGTTCTCGAAACCCTCAACCCCGCGGAGCGACAGCGCTCCGACGCCGCAGCCGCAGCTGCCGCGGCTGGTGGAAGTACGGATGATGGACCTGCGCGGGGGTCACAGGTGGAGGATAAGATGGCTATGTACTGGAAGTTCATCCAGGGGATGCTAAAGAATAGCGCGGCGAAGATGCCATTGGCGCAGATTGGGATGATGCTTAAGATGCTGATTGTAGAGGGGTTCCCGTATAGTAATGAGGAGCTTGCGGAGTACCTTTCTACGAAAGTGGCGGCCGGGGAGCTGGAGTTGGCGGGGGGGAAGTATAGGTTGGTTAAGAAGTAGGGGGCGCGTGCGTGGGTATACCCGGATATATTAATAATGGACCTATGTTATCTACACGCGCCGTTCATTCCTTCCGCCTTTGCCGCCATCCCACCATAGCCGTCGCCCCTTTACTCCTTCCACAACCACCGCTCCTTCCACTTCCACATCCACAACTTCAACCACCGCACCTGCCCTTCCTCATCATTAATATACACAGTCCCATCCCACCCCCCCAACGCATCGCCTCACCTCGCTTCACCTCGTCTCCATGAGCTTTTATTGATATCCCAAATCCTCAAAATCTCAAAAAACTCCTCCTCACAGGCGTCTGTGGGAGTTCTCATATAAGCCAAAAAAATTGCAAAAAATAGAGGATTCTCCTAGAAGGGGGGAAATACCCGCACCCAACCACTGCATACAACTTCTACGTGCAATTGAACTTCGTGGGTCCTCCAGGATGATTGACAGGTACTGAGCGGGCCAAACGAGTGCAGATCGCTGTTATGCTCCTTCAGCCACGCAACCATCCCTATCAATGGGAGGAGACATACAGTGCATTATATTGTTGGTTCTGATCTGGATAGATGATGTAATGTGTGTTTTTTTTTGGGGGGGGGGTTATGCTGGCAGTCACGAAGGGGATCATTCATAGTACGCGCTTGCTCACGTGTACATATACACAATATTAATATTGCTTGCTTTAACATTCTGCATTCAAACCACCAACCAGCTTAGCTTAGCTTAAACACCCGGCCCCTAATGATGCACCGGCATCGACACATCAGCCTTCGTAGCCAACGCATCCTCCTCCTTCCACAAACTCGTCACCGTCTTCTGCTGCGTATAAAAGTTGAGTCCAATCTTTCCATAAAACGTATTCGCGCCACCACCCGCAATACTCTTCTTGTTGCCCGTGAACGAGAAGTTCGACACGCCGATGGGCACGGGGATAGGGACGTTGATGCCGACCTGGCCGCACTCGATGTGCTTCTGGAAGGCCTGTGCGGTGGCGCCGGACTTAGTGAAGATGGCGACGCCGTTGCCGTATTCGTTGGCGTTGATGAGGTCGATGGCGCTGGTGAGGGTGGGGACTTCGAGGGCGATGAGGACGGGGCCGAAGATCTCTTCTGTGTAGCACTTCATGTGGGGCTTGACGCCGGTGATGATGGTTGGGCCGACCCAGTTGCCTGTTTTTCGTTAGATATGTATGTATATTGAGAGAGTGAAGGGGGTTACGAACCGTTAGCGAACTTGGGGTCAGCGGGCTTGTAACCCCTGCCATCGAGGAGGATAGTAGCACCCTCCTCCTCGGCGCTAGCAATCAGACCCTCAATACGCTCCTTGCTGTGCTTGCTGATAACCGGTCCCAGATCAGAGTCCTTCTCGAACCCACCGTTAAGGACAAGCGACTTAGCGAGGTCCGCAAGCTCAGGGAGCCAGTCCTTGCTCTCAGCAACCATGACCAGGGTGCTGAGGGCCATGCATCTCTGTCCCGCAGCACCGAAAGCAGCGCCAACGATGGAGTTAAGAGCATGGTTCTTGTTACAGTCTGGCAGGACGGCAGCGTGGTTCTTCGCGCCGAGGTTAGCCTGGACACGCTTGCCGTTCTCGGAGCCGCGGCTGTAGATGTACTCTCCAGCCTTGTTGCTGCCGACGAAGCTGATGGCCTTGATCTCCGGCGCGTCGAGGATGAAGTCAACGGCCCTGTGCGAGCCGTGAACAATGTTCAGGACACCGTCTGGAAGACCGGCTTCCTTTGCGAGCTCGGCGAGAATCATGGCCGCGCCGGGGTCACGCTCAGATGGCTTGAGGATCAGGCAGTTACCGGTGACCGTGGCGATTGGGATGGACCAAAGTGGAATCATGGCGGGGAAGTTGAACGGGCAGATAGCCGCAACAACACCCAATGGCTCGCGGTAATTCCTCGTCTCCATATCCTTGGCCACCTCCAACACCTCACCAGTAAGCTGGGACGTGATACCACACGCGCTCTCCGCGACCTGCAGACCACGGTGCACATCCCCCCTCGCATCAGAAACCACCTTCCCCTGCTCCAGCGTGATGGACGCAGCCAGACGGTCCCAGTTCTCGCGAATCAGCTGCACGAACTTAAACATGATCTGCTGCCTCGACACGATGCTCGTGGCGCGCCATCCCGGGAACGCGGCCTGCGCGCTCGCCACGGCGGCGCGGAGCTCCTCGTCGGTGTTCTGCGGGACGCGGGTGACGAGGTTGTTGGTGGCGGGGTCGTGGAGGTCGATGAACTCGCTCGTCGTGGAGGCGACGAACTTGTTGTCGATGAAGAAGGGGGTGTCGACGGGGTTCTGGATCTTCTCGTGCGAAGTTGGGTAGGAGGTCGTGGTGGAGGTGAGCTTCACGCCGGCGGAGGAGGCTTGCTGGGAGCGCGAGGTGATGTGGAGAGTGCGGATGGTGGGCTTGGAAGCTTGGATTGGGGTTGTGGTTGAGAGGCCGGCGAGGCGAGGGGTGAGGGAGGGCCTGGCGCGGGAGGCGAGCGCGGGGACGCTGCGGGCGATGGAGCGACGCATTGTGAGTTACCGGGATAGGTAGGTGAGAGGTAAAAGATGAAGCTGAAGCTGAAGATGAAGAGAGGGAGAGAAAGACGTGAGAAGGGGAAGGAGCAGAGGAGGAGGGGAGAAAGAGACTATACGAGTAGCAGGGAGCGGGATAGAGCTTTATTCGCCCAGAAACAAAGTCCACAATACTAAAGACAAGTGGCTGGCCACAGTTTACCGTTACCTGCAAGCTATTTCTTTCGCCGAAGCCGCGGAGGTACCGCAAATAACTTCCTAAACGGGGTAACGATGTCAGTTAGACGGGGTGAATGGCTGGGTGCTTTGTATGGCTTGTATGGTTATTGTATGGTGATTGTTGGGGAAACACGTCCTTTGCGGGGTAATGGAGTGTAATGGACAGGGTGGAGATGGACTCTTTACCGACGGATAACCACGGTAATCGATGAATTATGGGGCGAATTGGGGATTTGGTGGGATTGGAGTCATGTGATTGGTTGGAGATGGATGCGACGGTAGGCGGCTGTGTCAGTGCTGGGCGGTTGTCCAGGCGAAATCCCCGAAACTGAGCGAGATCGTCTCCAAATCTCCAAATACCGTGACGGGGATTGAGTGGTGGGCGCGAATTCGCGCCCATCACTCAATGTCGTTTCCCATCCGTCGCCACACCTTTCTCGCTATGGCTCCGAGCTCGCGAGTGGAGAAAGTTAGATCCCCCTCTGCTGTTCCTAGCTGCTGTGGTCGCTCGAATATCTCCTCGAAAGACAGTCGCAGCATCCCATCAGTGACAGGTCTCCCTTCCTGCAACGTAACCTGGATTTGCTGATCCACCACTGCCCGCAGTGGATGGTTAGCTCTAGTGTCTCCGTGTTCTCGGCCCCTCTTCCAGACTGTAAATACGATCTCTGGTTGCCGCCGGGAGATCTTTATCGTTATCACCTGCGTAACGTGAGATTCCTCGTGTTCTAGCCATATTTTGGCATCACGGCCTAAGGCCCGACCACTCTCTGATGCACCGGCCTCTAATATGAAGGTCGAGTTGGTAGGAGGGAGAGCTGTATCTGGGCCCCACGAAGCATCAGGCTCTTTGCTTATGTTGCTCATTGACCTCGTCGCCCCCCCTGTTGACATAATATCATCACGGCATCCCATTGCGTCGATCTTGATGATAAAGCTGTTGCTAAACTCCCTCGCGGCGATTTCATGTGGGAGTCCTAACATTGTTAGGAGAAGGATCTCAGTATTGTGGTAGTATAAGGCTTTGTGTGCTCCTGGTACCAGAGTGGATTTGTCGTTGTCGGGGTTAAACCATTTATTTGGGTATCCTGTGACTAGAACAGTGTGGTCTCCAACAGGGTCGCGGGCGTTCGCATTGAGAAAGAACGATTGCACGGTCTTAGTGAAGTCTTTGGGGTTTGTGAAGTCGATCGTGGCTTCCACATCTGACACCCCTTCGAGGTCCACGTCTGGTTCAGCACGCATAGCCATCTTGTATTTATGTTAATGTTACAATAATCTTTTAAATGTCAACTAGGGAGTGTAACATTTAAGTCGTGTAGTTAATGTTTATTGTTAACTCTAAGTTATTAAAGTTGTTGATATTAGAAGAAGAGTAAAGATGTTTACTTAAGCACTAGTAATTTTGCTCGTCGAATGATGTATTAAGCACGTGGCTATTATAGGCTACTGGTGTGATTTCTAAGCGCGAACCAAACCTGTAGAATTCTATAGGGCTACGGCCTTTACTTATGCCATGGCCCCGAAGGCTATTCTACAAGGAAACACTACAGTATAATACATCATAGGTTTTAGAATGATGATGCCTGATTCTGCCTAATTCACAGGGCTAGAATCACATCCCTCCTAATTATTAAACTTATTTCTATATTTAAGTAAGCTGTTAAACTTACTTCTACCTATAATTACAGTATATAAATGTAATGCCAACTCCTTATGTGCCATAAACGCCTTTTGTGTATAAGTAGTTCCCTCTCAAAGAACCCTTTCCCAGTTTTCAACGTAGCCGCTTTAAACCAGCTGCGCTGCCAGTGCACTCTCCATAGCTGGCTGTGGTATATCAATTGACACCGCTGGGCTCTGAACAGCCGGCTTCGAGGTCCCCACAGCTGGCTTTGAGTTCTCGACGCCACGAGTAGACAGCGGCTTCCGCTTCTCCTTCTTCCCCGACTGACCACCCGCAGCATCAGCCGTGCTATTCTGCTTCTTCTTCCCCTGCTTCACCGGAACCACATCCAACCCCAGCGCATGATCCACCTCCTTAGCCCGCTCAACCAGCTCCGGAAACCCAAGCAGCTCACAGATCCCCGTATAACTCTTACTCCCCGTAACACCACGATACACCGGGTCCTTCCCCGGAACCAGGTGCCCAAGGAGGTACTTCGTATTCCCCCACCGATTCTCCACCTCCATACTCGTCCTCAGATACAACTCCACCACCTCCCTCCACGGCGCTAACCCCCCATCCTCCTTCCTCCTAAAACAACTCGGATTCGTCTCCGCCGCCGTCGCAATCATCGCCCCCTCAACCCCAAACGTATTAACCAGCTCCTGCGCATCCTCCGGACACGTCACATCCCCATTCGCCAGACACGCCACCCCCATCTCCCGACAAATATCCGCTATCATCGTCAACTGCTCCCTAATCGCCTTCTCCCGCGGCCTCATCGGCGTCGTCCGACAATGAATCGTCAGCCCCGTAATCCCCGTCGCGCAGAGCCTGCGCACCAGCGTCTCGGTCTCCTCCCGCGTCTCCAGCAGGCGAATCTTAACACTAATCCCTATCTCGAACTCCGAGGCGATATTAGCCACCAGCGCTTCTAGGATCGCACATAATTTATCAGGCGTGCGCAGCAGCGCTGCGCCCATGCCGCCGCTCGTGCTAAACGGCTTCGGACACCCGGCATTGACGTCGATGCCCGCGACGTCGCCGGCGATCAGTTTCGCAGCCTCGACCGCGCGCTCGGGGTCCGAGGTGCCCATTTGGAAGATGAGTTTCTTGCCCTCGCGCGCGGGGTGGAGGCGGAAGATGACGCTCTCCTTTTGATCCTTGCGGGGCCCATGAGAGCCGTTGCTGGAGAGGCGCGTGAAGTCGACGGTAGAGAGGGCGGAGTTGAAGGTGCGCGTAGTGCCGATTATGGAGCGGTCGACGGTTTCGGGGCCCCAGACGAGGTCGGCGCCGTAGTGAAGGGCGAGGAGGCGCGAGGGCAGCTCGCCGGAGCGGACCATGGGGGCGAGGACGAGTTTGCAGCGGTAGTCGACCCCGTTGCGGGGGATGGGGACCCTTTTGGGAGAGTTCGTCATGATGGAGGTTGCGAGGCGTAACATAACATAGCAAGGGAAGAGGGTGGATGTGAAGTGAGAAAGGAGAAAGCCAAGAAGTCCATAGGGAGTGTATCGCCGCCACAATTTTGAATCGTTATCGGTAGGAGCGGGGCGGAGGGCGGAGAGGAGCGGAAGGTTAAGGAAATATTTCCCGCTCCGCCTGTGAGTGCCATGAACTTCCGCTGACAACTCCGCTAATATCACGTGATTTATCGTAACTTTCCTCCACCCTCTTTTCCCCTCTAGGGCTCAAATCTACCCGCAAAATACCAAGGATTCCGCCATCGCACGTGCATTCTTAGCCCCTCCAACCCAAAATCCCACCGTCTCCGCCGCAGCGGAAACTTGTTTTGGCCTATGGCGGAAATTCTTGGCACCGAAGTTCGGCATAGAAGACATATTTTGCAGTGCCTCGGGTGCCGCTTGGACGGCCGACCCAGAGCTAATATTTCCCCTTTTCCTTCCGCTTCACCCCATATAGAAGGCCTAGATCCCCTAATTCTTACTCCTATATATCCCGATATTTTATAAATCTATTGTCTATTAAGCTTGTTACGCTTGCTACGCCTGTTTAGACGCATGTCATCACTACGAGCCATTCGCCCTACGCTCCCCAAAAGCAGCCCGAGACTATATCCGCTACCCCGGTCGCGGACACCCTTCCACTCTATTCTCCCTGTGATTGCTGTACAGCTGCAGTCTCCCGCTGTAGCTGGAGTAAGACTGGCGAGCCTAAGCCCCACCACCGCTGCCCGCCCCTCCTCGACTTTCTCCCGCACCACAACACAATCGTCTCACAACACCACAATTAAACCGTCACAGTCACGGACAGCACAGATCGCCCGTCACTTCTCGGGTTCGCATTCTTTAAATTCTCCATCTCCCTCCAGCCTGCCTGCTGGAAACGATTCTACAAAAATGGCTCCTCAATATACCGTTCGCAAGATTGGTGCTGCCAACACCCTCGAGCACCGCGTTTACATCGAGAAGGATGGCGTGCCCGTCTCCCCCTTCCACGATATCCCTCTCTACGCCAACGAGCAGCAGACCATCCTGAACATGGTCGTTGAGATCCCAAGATGGACCAATGGCAAGCTTGAGGTATGACTTATATCCCTTACGCTTTCTACGATTTATAAACCTCATTTTCACTACCCCGCACCACACCGCCTTCGCATCCAAAACCATGCTGACAACACCCCTCTAGATCTCCAAGGAGGAGACCCTCAACCCCATCAAGCAGGATATCAAAAAGGGCAAGCTCCGCTTCGTCCGCAACTGCTTCCCCCACAAGGGCTACCTCTGGAACTACGGCGCCTTCCCCCAGGTATGACCCCTCCCCCCCTCGTACGACGGGACAAGAGACAACACACACACTTACACACCCCCACCAGACCTGGGAAGACCCCAACGTCATCCACCCCGAGACCAAGGCCAAGGGCGACAACGACCCTCTCGACGTGTGCGAGATCGGCGAGCTCGTCGGCTACCCCGGCCAGGTCAAGCAGGTCAAGGTTCTCGGCGTCATGGCGCTCCTCGACGAGGAGGAGACCGACTGGAAGGTCATCGTCATCGATGTCAACGACCCGCTGGCACCTAAGCTTAACGACGTCGAGGATGTCGAGCGCCACCTTCCTGGCCTCCTGAGGGCTACGAATGAGTGGTTCCGCATCTACAAGATCCCAGACGGAAAGCCTGAGAACCAGTTCGCTTTCACTGGCGAGTGCAAGAACAAGAAGTGCGCACCCCGTGGAATTCCTTAATATGAGAAGAGCGCGCGCTAACAATATCCCAGGTACGCCACTGACGTTGTCCGTGAGTGCGCTGAGGCGTGGGAGAAGCTCATCACCGGCAAGACCCAGCCCGGCGATGTTTCTCTGTAAGTCTTACCCCATTCCCCTTCCGCAATGCTAGACGCAGCAGCTAACAAACACCCCACAGCACCAACGTTGCCGTCAAGAACTCCCCCAGCCGCATCTCCCCCGAGCAGCTGCCGCACATCCCCCAGAACCAGGAGCTCGCCCCAGCCCCAATTGACCCAAGCATCGACAAGTGGTTCTTCATCTCCGGCGCTGCTAACTAAGCGCGCCCTGGTTGGGGATGGTATGGTGGTAGACCGGAGCAATAGATTTCTTTGTGGAAAGTCACGCCTGCAGCTGGTGTCGTAGATTTAGCTGAATCTAAAAACGATGATGTTGAGTCTTGTCATTGTGTCTTGTGTTGATTCCTCAATAATGCGTGTAATTTGCAGAAAACACACAGCAGGGTACACACCCAGCATGCAATATAAAGGCAAAAGCCATCGCTCGATTCCCCGTCGTGACTGCCACACCAAACTCCCAAAACAGCCCAAACATCCCACTATCATACACCCTTCTACGCCATAGTCCCCAACCGTCTGGTAACACCCCCCCTCGCCCTCGCCCCCC